TCTCAGAAATGGATGGCAACTTTGACAGAAAAAGTTACGGATTGGTTCCAAAGACAGAACCATTTCGGTTATTGATTGGTCCAATAAAAGACTGTAATGGATTAAGAGTGAACTAGAAGTACCTTAACCGATGTTATATCTTCTCTATTGTGAGTTTTCCATTTCTGGGGTTTACATGTCGCAGTTGATTAGATATTCAAGGGCCTGTTCCTATTTTCACGATTTTCAGGCAAGAAGTGTCAACTGATGGACAAACTCGAAACACAAGGTTTCAAAAGATGTAGATCGATGAAAATTATTAAGTTTTTGTCCTTATAGTGATTTCACTGAGAAATATTCTATTTCTTTGTGCAATATGAAATTTACTGTGTGATATTCGTTAGGTTGCCTGTTAGTTCTGTTGTTGTATACCATGTTTTCATTTGAGAACGTGACATTACATACTTGGATTTTCTTTCAGACTTTGTACTGTAGTAATACGTCTTTAAAACCAACGGCTCTTAATTTCCGTATACTGTAAAGCCAATATCACACATTGCCACATTTGAAGTCATTACACAAAGAAGGCTTTGACACCATGCGCCTCGTTTTCATGGAATTATCCCGTCGGAAGGTTAAAAAGCGATACCGTCAAACTCGTCTATTATCTGTAAATAGTACAACATTGTATACAATCTCACGACAACGTCAAACGGAAAAAGGGACTCACAATACGTGGTGTGGTGGAAGTAACCTTCAACTGGTACTCTGGCTAATGTCTTAATGGAGGATTATATGGTTTTGTGTTTTAGTAAGATTTATTGACGATGTGCTCTGCTCTTGTTTGTGTTCATAAAATGTTTCGGCCAAGTGGACAATCCAACGCAATGATTGTTTTGTTGAAAGAAGCTTTATCTGGTATATTTACCCATATCATTTAATGTGTTAATTGATAACTTCACATAACGTTTGAATCAATTTCATAATTTTGTATAATTTGTTTGCCTTTCACTAAAATAGGTTGGTTTCGGTTGAAAACCGTATTTTTGTTCCCAAATTTAAACAAAATAAGGCTAACAATTATTTATGACCGTAACAGCACCATACAAATAGTGTTATACAAATCTCGAGTGTTTCTGAGTCTCGTGTGACACTTGTCCTGGTCAGATTGTATCCATGAACCAGTGAATGTTTAGCTTTGAGTGAGCACCTAAATTATGTGGCCGTCTACGTCCGCCATTTTGAAAAGACCGTTCCTTAACGGGTACACGACAGCATGAAGTTTTGCTGTCTGCACATTCACAAAAAAATGCATTGCATTTCCCTTCGGCAGACGTGTCTGTTGAATGAGTCGGCACCATAAAACTCAACACTACATCGACGTTGCCAGCATATGTGAAAAGTAATGTTGTTATACTGAAAAAAGTACAAGGAGAAAAAGACCATGTATTCCGGAAGGCTAAGCGTCTTCTGCTTCATCGACGACACCCGCCATGTAAATTTTGGTCAATCCAAGGAAATAATGTCACGCTCTCAAATGAGAACAATGCATATAGCAACGGAGTCAACGGGCAAACTAACGGGTATCAAACACGTTCAGCTTCACATAGATATAGAATATTTCTCGACGTGATCATGCTGACGACCGAAAAACCGTATCTCGACAAATAACTGAATGTCTTAGAGGGATTCTGAAGCAAACTCGATATACTTTCGGGTATGACACATCCTGCCTCCAAAGTTGGACGAAGCAAGCATATCGCCGGACTTTCGATACAAAAGCATCCGTAATTCTAACAGTTACTAGCTTAATTAGAGCGAAAACGAATTGGGTTAACTTAGGCTTGATCCATTCAGATTTAGCCCGTTAAAATCCAAAATGGAAACCATACACAAGGTTGCAGCCTCGCGTGCCAGTGGATATGTTTTTTAAAGATTTTGTATACTGTAATTATCATGGGTTTTTCAGGAGGGCATATATCTTCCAGTTTACAGTCCTATATTTCATACCAGTATTATTACAAAACCTGCTTATTCAGTGTTCTAATGCCTCGGCCTATATCCATGAAACCATTCTCATGCTCAAGCATAGATTTTGTGCTCAGGCAGACACATTTTATAAATCGCCTAAATCATATAAAATAATACAAATGTCAAATATAAACATTGAGTATAACTTTGACTTGAAGTCCTTTCATTTTTGTTAATCTTTGGCGAAATCAGCCTTATTTATTAATTTTTAACTTAATATATAATGCTTGAGCACGAGAACGATTTCGTGAATACGGGCCCTAGTTCGTGCTCCTTCTCGTAGTAATGTCATCTGGTTTGTAGCTCATTGACAAGTGCGATATTCCCGCAACAGTAATGGCTTAAAAGGGAGCTGCTTTGGAATACGGTGAGTGTTATCGCTCTGAAGAGCCGCTTAGAATTACTTTTGTTGCCATCTTACTTCTGTAAGACTTCTGCAATATAAAAAAAGTTTTTTTCGCTTGCTTTCTATTCGTCTCTTTCATATATGAAATTTTCAAAATTCCTATTAAAAGTTATACAATTAGGGACCAAGGAGAACCTTCATAAGAAATTGAGAAAGATCAATACAGTTCTTCTCAAGAAAAAGCGAAAATCAAGAATTATTCATGGAAAGACAAACGGGGGACCACGGACGAAGGCAGATTTGAACAGCCCTCTATGTGATGACGGTGGGCTAAAATGTTTAAACTTTCTATAAATTTTCCCAAATACTTAATGTGGTTGTTTCTGAAAATATCTAACAGCTGTTCAGGTATTGTCACACAGAAAAAATCAATATTATGCCAACACGCACTGCCAATGATAAATGGTTTTAACATATTTCATAAACTGTATAAACCCCCAGTTTTCAGTACACACAAACATCATAACCAAATCCCACTCCTGTACATCCAGGCCAATGAGAAATTATTCATTATCAAAAAAATACAATCCAAACCAGGAAAAGAGAAAATAACGAGTGGATAAAATGTTGTCATAAACAAGCGAAGAACAATATCTGTACTGTTTGGTTTAACCCGACACACCAATATCATGTAGGCCTTAAAGACTGAGAAAAACTCAAATTAGGACCTAACTCATGCACAAACCGGCAGATCCATCACAGAAATATATAAAAAAAAATCCTCAATGGAATCTCCCGAGACAGGTAGAGAACAAAAATATGCTATTCAGAGACGTTTATGTAACTTACAATGTGCTAGTACAGAATATCAATACTCTTCAAAGACATGTCCAAACCACCAAAAGACCCTTCAGAAACATGTACAGGAAGGCAAAGCACCATTCAGACTTAGAGATATGTACACTACACCGATGGACCCTATACACATGTACAGGATACCAACAAACCCTTCAGAGACGTGCACAGAACATCACGCATCCTTCAGAGATGTGTTCAGAACACCCAACACATCATTCAGAGATGTGTTCAGAACACCAACAGACATGAAGAGAATACCGGAGCACCATTCAGTGACGCGTATAGAATAACGATGGACCTATTAGAGACATGTACACTCCACCAATAAACCCTTCAGATCCGTGTACACAACACCAAAAGACCCTTCAGTGACCAAGACACCCTTTAGAGATGGGTACCCAACACAAGAGACCTGGACAGAATATCATTAGTCCTTTCAGAGAAGTGGACAGAATACCATCATTAATGCAGGACACCAAGAGACCCTTAAGTGACCTGGACAGAACACCAACAGACCCATCATAATTATGTACACAACACCAATAGACAATTCAGAGGCGTGTAAAGAACATAAATAGACCATTCAGAGATGTGTAAAGAACACCAATAGACCATTCAGAGACGTGTAAAGAACACCAATAGACCATTCAGAGACGTGTAAAGAACACCAACAGACAATTCTGAGATGTGTAAAGAACACCAATAGACAGTCCAGAGATGTGTAAAGCACGCCAATAGACCATTCAGAGACGTGTAAAGAACGTTAATAGACCATTCAGAGACGTGTAAAGAACGTTAATAGACCATTCAGAGACGTGTAAAGAACGTTAATAGACCATTCAGAGACGTGTAAAGAACACCAATAGACCATTCTGTGGTGTGTAAAGAACACCAATAGACAGTTCAGAGACATGTAAAGAACACCAATAGACAGTTCAGAGACATGTAAAGAACGTCAATAGACCATTCAGAGATGTGTAAAGAACACCAACAGACAGTCAAGAGATGTGTAAAGAACACCAATAGACCATTCCGTGATGTGTAAAGAACACCAACAGACAGTTCAGAGATGTGTAAAAAAAACCCCACTAATAGACCATTTAAAGACATGTACAGAACACCAAGAGACCCTTCAGAGACATGTTCACTTCACGAATAAACCATTCACAAACCTGGACAGAATACCAAGAGATCCTCCTGAGACCTGGAAATAACACCAAGAGACCCATTAGAGATATGTACACTACACCAATAGACCCTTCAGAGACGTGAACATAACACAAGGAGTTCCTTCTGAAACGTATACACCCTTTAGAGAGTGTACAGAATACAAAAAGAGACCTTGAAGTGACCTGGCAGAACACTGGTAGAACTTTCAGACAAATGCACACAACATAAATGATTAAACACTTTGAATATGGAGAACGTATTAAGTTCCCTGAGGTTCATTTTACACCAGCTTTATTATAAAGAAGGTATAAAGGGGACTAGAGTTCATTATAAACATGTCCTTCACTAATAACTTAGTTCCTTTATCTCCTAGACTTGTAATATGCATGCATTACTGTAAAGAGTTCAAGTGCCTTGTGTAAGTTCGATGCTGCTCATTATAAATGTGTTAACTGTAGAGATATATAGTTCCATACAAAAATGTTTTAATGTAGAAAACTAATTTCTTACTCCCCTCATACTTTGATGTAAATACTTGCTTATCTCCCCTTAATCTTGTTGCCTGTGTTTATTAACAGGATCCATGGTAATGAAATAAGAACTACAAACAAAGCAATTCATTTCTAAATTTCCCCCTTAGGGGGTCTTTTGTATTAACAAATGACTACATTACATTGTCTATGGAAGCACACTACAATGTAAAGAGTAACATTGATATGAACCATATTCTAATTAAACAGGTACAGTTATAGTTTACCTATAACAACACTCAAACCTTACACAGATGAATCTGTTAACACAGATAAATATTTTACATAAATACATAATGTATTAACAAATCAATGTAGAGAACCAACAGAGTTTATAGGAAGTTCTATAAAAATCAACAACTGATGCGCTCAGTATTTGGGAGAGGGGGACTGACACAACTGACTATACAGGTATTATGAGGAAATAGAAGAAGAACAGGCAATTTATATCATAAACCATTATACAGTTTTGATAACCCTTGTAGTCTCAAACCTTAGGACATATGGAGCCCCAAATCCAGGATCTACAGCCAGGCACCACAAATTAAGACAAAGCGAGTCTGAAATCCAGGACCTACAGCCTTTCACTCAAAAATTAGGACATATAGGACCTACAGCCTTGCACTCAAAAATTAGGACATATAGGACCTACAGCCAGGTACCATAAATTAGGACATAGGGAGCCCTAAATCAAGGTCCTACAGGACAGAGAACCTAAAATTAGAACACAGGCAGTCTCAAATCAAGGACTTACAGCTGGTCACCTCTAAAGGACTTAAATAGTCTCAATTTTACGACCTCCAGTAAAGCCAAATCTAGGACCTACAGTCAGGTGCATCTAATTAGGACATAAGGAGCCTCAAATCCAAGACCTACAGTGGGACACCTCTAATTAGGACATAAGGAGCCTCTAATCAAAGACCTACAGTGGGACACCTCTAATTAGGACATAAGGAGCCTCAAATTCAAGACCTACAGTGGGACACCTCTAATTAGGACATAAGGAGCCTCTAATCAAAGACCTACAGTGGGACACCTCTAATTAGGACATAAGGAGCCTCAAATTCAAGACCTACAGTGGGACACCTCTAATTAGGACATTAGGAGCCTCAAATCCAAGACCTACAGTGGGACATAAATGATCTCATTGCCAGAACCTACAGCCAAGGCACCTCTAATAAGGACAAAGGTAGCCTGAAGTCCAGGACTTACAGACTGGTACCTCTAAATAGGACACAGTCAACCCAAAATCCAGAAAGGCAGTCTCAATCCAGAACTAATAGCCATGCAAATCAGAATATAAGTACATTCGAACCCCTGGGCCTACAGCCAAGCACCTATAGACAGGGCATCAGTAGCCTTATAAATCAAGGACTTAAACCAAGGTACTCCAAATTTTGACATATGCAGTCTCAAATTCAGGATTTAACTGAAGGGCGGCACCTAAGATTAAAACACTGGTAGACTCAAATCTAGGACCTACAGCAAGGCATCCCTGATAAGGTCATAGGTAATCTCAAATCCAGAAATGAAAGCAAGCTAAAACTGTTGGGAGAATCTTCAAAAGGCAAACATAAGAGTGAAGTTTGTCACAAAATATTTCTATTTCTTTTTTTTTCTTTTCTTCAATTTGAACACATGATGAAATGTTAAAAAACTCATGATTTCAGATATCTTAATTTAATTGATTAGACTAACATTCTAAAATGTGAATTGTAGAACAAAGTGAGATAGTGTACTGTACATTATTTGTGCTGCATCCTAATTGTAGTTTGTACATGAGTGACCTTGACCAGACCATCTTGTATGATGAATTATAAATACAATGGGTCCAGCAATCACAAAGTTTTTTTTAGAAAAGTTTTGGAATGTAAGTTTCAGAGTGGGGTCTTCAGCATTGACCAGCCTGACGTGACAAACCCAGTCCATACCTGTAGCCTTGTCACCTTTGGCACGTATGTGTACATATCCATCAGTATATTTGGCCATGATTTACACATTGCACACCACAACACTACAAAAACTATAGAAATTTAACATATTAAATGACTTAATAATAAAATTACAATACAAAAGTGTATAACAAATAATATAATAACATATAATTGTTCTAAATACTCCAATGCAGGTGAAACCAAGCAATAAATAATCAAATTGTCCATGCTGTGACAAAGAATGGAAAGTCAATGTGTTGAACATGTTACATAATGACATCAAGATACATTTTTATCCTGCGACTGCTATTGTCAGAATACACCTGCCAGATTTTTTTTTTTTTTTTGCTGTATTCAGCAGAATTACTTTATATGATTTTCCTAACCACAAATTTCAAAATATTCACATCTGTTGAAAGAATTTTTTTATTTGTTGTAATTAACAAGTTTATTGAAACAAATTAATAAAATTGCTGTTAATTTGGAATTATAAGCAGATCAGTTAATTTGGTGTGTGTAATCAGAGAAAACTTGGTGTAACATCAACAGCAGGTAAACAGAGATTGATCAACATACTCTTGAAGTTACAAACTGTTGAAATTTCAAAAGTCTGAATTTTCAATCAATGTGGCAGGATAAATAGACAGACATAGTCGGTGTCTTAGAGTATAAGCGGTACATTGGCTTGGGCAAGCCATTTTTGTTTTTCTACACCCTCGTCAAAATACATGCTGTATATTTTAGGACAATAACAATGTTTTCTTTACATACATTGATATCAATGTCTTGGAATGAATTAGAAAACAAAAATGTTCATTTTGAAAAGAAAGCTAAATCCAGGAATTGTTCCAGTTATATGAGATAAAGTTGCAGAAAAGACTATAGCATCAAAACAGACTAAACAGTACATCTTATAATGTGTATTCACATCATCTATTACAATTTGCGATAGGTATTTAATATCAAGCTTGATCATTATGCTATACACACTTCCTGATTCAACAGAGCTTTAATATCATATTGAACTTAACCGATACCCCATACCATGCTTTTACAAGTAATGTTATTTATACCTGAAGAAATCATACATTTCTAAAACATATCCACATTATTGTTAAACAGTGTTAACATGTGATCACAAAAACAAACAGCTTCAGAAACCTGCACAGTCAGAAAGTTTGTAGAAAGAGTCAAAGGTGTGTCAGTCCTGCCCCCTCAGTCAGCTCTCAAACAGCTCTCGGTAGTGGTCTATAAGGTACTTGGTGAAGTTGTTTAGATAGCCCATAGCAGACAGTGAAGCTTGACCCTTTGGCCATAAAAGGTTTGGCCCAAACACAATGGACAGGTTCATGGACGTCATTTTATTCTCCTCAGAATGGTCTACAATCTAATATAAAGAAAAGAAATAAAAAATTGATATTAATTTTGAAAATTCCCAGATGTTTGAAAATTACAGGTAACATAAGGATGAGATAGTCCTTGTTACATACTGTATGTTACGAAAAAACTTTTTAAATACATGCAACTTGTATATGTAATGATCAGATTTTTTATGACATTTATGGGTTTTATTAATGACATCTCTTTGCAAGCAAACACCATATCCCATGCTACAGAAAAAGTGGGACTGTTTCTATGACATGTGGGAGAAATCATAGATCTAAACAACAGAGATGGAAAATTAATCATTTACTTATCAAGAAAAGAAAAAATTGTCACCAATAAATTAATCTGAACATTGTACCTCTATCTTCAACTGCAGATGTATGTCATACTTCTGTCAGAGACTGGTAAAATATATGTCTTACTTCTGTCAGATACTGGAGATGTGTATGTCATACTTCTGTCAGAGACTGGTAAAATATATGTCTTACTTCTGTCAGAAACTGGAGATGTATATGTCATACTTCTGTCAGAAACTGGAGATGTATATGTCTTACTTCTGTCAGAACTGGAGATGTTTATGTCATACTTCTGTCAGAGACTGGTAAAATATATGTCATACTTCTGTCAGAGACTGGTAAAATATATGTCTTACTTCTGTCAGAAACTGGAGATGTATATATCATACTTCTGTCAGAAACTGGAGATATATATGTCTTACTTCTGTCAGAAACTGGAGATGTGTATGTCATACTTCTGTCAGAGACTGGTAAAATATATGTCTTACTTCTGTCAGAACTGGAGATGTATATGTCATACTTCTGTCAGAAACTGGAGATGTATATGTCATACTTCTGTCAGAAACTGGAGATGTGTATGTCATACTTCTGTCAGAGACTGGTAAAATATATGTCTTACTTCTGTCAGAAACTGGAGATATATATGTCATACTTCTGTCAGATACTGGAGATGTATATGTCATACTTCTGTCAGAGACTGGAGATGTATATGTCATACTTCTGTCAGAAACTGGAGATGTATATGTCATACTTCTGTCAGAAACTGGAGATGTATATGTCATACTTCTGTCAGAAACTGGAGATATATATATCATACTTCTGTCAGAGACTGGTAAAATATATGTCTTACTTCTGTCAGAAACTGGAGATGTATATGTCATACTTCTGTCAGAAACTGGAGATGTATATGTCATACTTCTGTCAGAAACTGGAGATGTGTATGTCATACTTCTGTCAGAGACTGGTAAAATATATGTCTTACTTCTGTCAGAAACTGGAGATGTGTATGTCATACTTCTGTCAGAGACTGGTAAAATATATGTCTTACTTCTGTCAGAACTGGAGATGTTTATGTCATACTTCTGTCAGAGACTGGTAAAATATATGTCTTACTTCTGTCAGAAACTGGAAATGTGTATGTCATACTTCTGTCAGAGACTGGTAAAATATATGTCTTACTTCTGTCAGAACTGGAGATGTTTATGTCATACTTCTGTCAGAGACTGGTAAAATATATGTCTTACTTCTGTCAGAAACTGGAGATGTATATATCATACTTCTGTCAGAGACTGGTAAAATATATGTCTTACTTCTGTCAGAAACTGGAGATGTGTATGTCATCCTTCTGTTAGAAACTGGAGATATATATGTCTTACTTCTGTCAGAACTGGAGATGTTTATGTCATACTTCTGTCAGAGACTGGTAAAATATATGTCTTACTTCTGTCAGAACTGGAGGTGTATGTCATCCTTCTGTTAGAAACTGGAGATATATATGTCATACTTCTGTCCAAACTGGAGGTGTATGTCATACCTTCGTTAAAGACTGGAGATGTATATGTCATACTTCTGTCAGAGACTGGAGATGTATATGTCATATTTCTGTCTTAAACTTGAGATCTATACATCATTTTACTGTAGATTTATATGTTATCCTTGTGACAGGTACTGTTTTTATACCCATACATCATACCTCTGTCAGAAACTGGAGGATGTATTTCAAAATGATATAATTATCCTCTGGGAGTTCCTCCCTCAATATCCTCTGAACTTCTACCATTTGGCGTTCTTCATCCTGATCTGAAAATTTGTTAAAAAATAGGCCCAGTTATCAATACAATATACATTATATTTTTCAGAGTTCAAATCCTCTTTATTCACTAAAAGGCAGATTATATGAAGCATTAAGAGTTAGGAAAGAACAGAAATCAACTATAAATTGAACATTACTGTGAAGACGGACGATTGGCTGGTACAGGTCAAAGGTCAGGAGGGGTTCCTGTAGCTCCCTAAGGAAAGTTTTAAGGATAACAGCTGCAATATGAACATCTCCTTCAGTATTGAAATCCACAGGCAGACCTACAACAGATCACCAATACACATGAATGGTCAATTGTCTATGATTGTGTGACATACCTCTGTGTAGCCATTGTTGGAAATACTACTGGTCAAATATACTATACATTAACAAAATATGGAACTGACAATCAATGATTGGTACATGAGTACTAAGAATCAGACAAGCACTGCTTTGTGTGACGAGTATTACCTTGATTAAATTTTTTCTGGACTTCTTTTAAAGTGCGAGCATTTGCAGATCTCCGGAAAATGCCTTCAACATCTAATGCTGAAAAAAAAACCCGAAAAGTTGTTATCATACAAGTATCTTTTTAACATAGAAATGTCATGCAAGGTAAAAATTAGTACACCGTAACTCTACACATAGGTGAAACAACATCAGAACTAGGTAAGACATGAATGCTCCTTCACCGTACATATAGTAAGCATCATTATTTCACAAATCTCTAAAAATAGTAAGATGACTCTTAAACCCATAGTTGATATTATTATAATATTGTTTTAGCTTTGATTTTCAAATTTTGAATCCTTGAATTGATTGGAGTGATGTCACTAAATTTGTTGATGATTTTCTGTAAACAGCAGTTAAGCACTAAAAACCATTTCCAGGAATGAACAACACATTTTGGATTTTCATAGATGCTCTACTGGCTGACCTATCACAGCCCCCTTTGATCACTTAAAGAGAAACAACATCAAAGATATTCATGGACTTGAACTTATCGGCAGTCCTGGGTTATTCAACATAAATCTCCATCCATAACATCGATATCACACACACTGACCACAAACACTTACCACTGGCCCTGGGTAATCTCCCCAATGGGTGGGTATCATATACAGGCCACAAACAATTACCAATGGCCCTCAGTAATCTCCCCTGATGGGTGGGTACCATATACAGGCCACAAATAATTACCATTGGCCCTGGGTAATCTCCCCAATGGGTGGGTATCATATACAGACCACAAACATTTACCATTGGCCCTGAGTAATTTCCTCCACAGGTGGGTATCATATACAGACCACAAACAATTACCATTGGCCCTGAGTAATTTCCTCCACAGGTGGGTATCATATACAGACCACAAACAATTACCATTGGGCCTGAGTAATTTCCTCCACAGGTGGGTATCATATACAGACCACAAACAATTACCAATGGCCCTCAGTAATCTCCCCTGATGGGTGGGTACAGACTACAAACACCTACCATTGGCCTTGAGTAATCTCCCCTGCTGGGTGGGAAAGGGGTTGGGGGTATCATATACAGACCACAAAAACTTACCATTAGCCCTGAGGTATTCCACAGTAATCTCCACCACTGGAGGTATTACACATTTGTAATTTTGCCGCACACTGATAACAGATACAGTCAACTTTGTAAACAAGAGCATAATGGTCATCAGCAGAAACGACTATCAAATCAGTTATCTGCCATTAGGTTTTTTTTTAATGAATGATGAACATCAGACGTTTCATATTTTGACTGAAAATGTACATTCCTTTCATGTAATCATGTGTCATCAACACAATATATCAATATCTCACTCCAGGAAATTATTTCAAACTTTCAAAGACAATTTAGACAGCATATACAAGCATTGTTAAAGTGAGTTAAACACGCTTAATTATTATAACTGTCATTCAGAAAAGAATCTTAATGTAAAATAAATTTCAACAGTTAAAATAAATTAATTATAAACCAGTGTAATAGATTCCCTACAACGATACATACTGATTGAGTGTAACCCCAAACTGCTGTGTTTTATTTGCCCGAGACACAGCATCTGTCCCATCTTTTGAGTAGGGGTAAGGAGGCTTGTTGGACTTCACCTGTTTAGCATCATACCTAAAACAGTAATACTGGTAATGTGTGATACATATCTACAATTATAATAGATTTAAACATTGTTTATTTTAAAACAAATATGAAACACGCTATCAGCTTAAATAATAACTTTCGTTGACCCAGATGGAAGTGCACAAAGGGTCTTTTTTTCATTTCTCCAATACTTAACTTAACCCTGGTAGGGAAAAGACAGCTTATATGTACTATGATGCTACACACAATGGTGTAGCCTAATCATTTTATGTAATGTAACCATGTCACAAATTGATAACTTAATTTTGAGGCACATTCATTGGATGAGAGCCCAAAGAAAAAACTCCACATTGATTTGCAACTTTTTATTGTTATTCTAAGTGTGTGAAAAAATACTCAAACTGGGTCTGATTTGTAGACAGGGATATCTCAACCCTCATGTGAGAGTTTGGCCAGCCTGCATGAGGCCTGCAGAGTGTAAGATTCTATTGAAGGATTATGCAGATGATGTGTGAGACATACCTAAGATTGACATATCATTTACAACTGTTCCAAGAGATATGATTGGGTATATACTTACTGCAGAACAGGTTCAGGTACTACCAGCTGGTCAAAGTGTAAGTGTTCTTTCAATTCATGTAGGTAGTTCACATACATCACCTTACGCCCGAACTTGGCACTAGACAAAATTCAATTTTAATCAATTAATGCAGTCAGCTTAAAAAACAAAAGACAGATGCCAACAAAAATCTTCCCACTATTAATATGTTTACATGCATTTGAATGCTTTGGTTCATATTCATTAACACTATAATCAGAAAAGATCAAGTCACACCATAAATAAGTAGAAAATAAGAATAAATTCTTGATTGAAAGGCTTACAACATAAAACATATCTCCTTCAGTTGAGATAAAATAATGATAGGAAAATATAAACCACGTTCCTAGAAGCCAACTTCTAAGTGTCTGTGTTAATTAGTTATTAATTAGATATGTAACATAAAATAAACTTTCTGACCAATACCATTGCAACATCCTGTATGTATATTAGACATTGTATTACTTGATAAAGCTGTAATAACCATCAAAATTCTATCATATCATATTAGAGTAACTTGACCAATCAGACCACTGCAAACAATTTCATGGATGAAACCTAATTTATCAACCTTTCAAAAATATCTCTTCACATAATTATTTTTTCTTAACATTTCTGTATGGATAGACATGATATCTTTTAATATTTGTATGACATTACTCAGTGAGGGTTGATGGTAGACACATTGGTAAAGGGAGATAATTTAGTAGGCTTCAACCAGTGATTGTGAGGACAAGTGGAAAGTATATGTCTGCAGTGGACTAATAAGTCATGTGACTGGTAAGTCTCTGTTAGTGTTAGTTCTGGGTATATAACAATATAAACAACACTACAAAGCCTATACAACAGTATGCTCACAGCTATCATGGTGTTTACATGTTAAAGCTCTCTAAAAATGAAACTGAGAAAGCCACAGGTACATTGAAACACTACCAGTAAAATAATACATTTAACAATAATGTTAACTGAAATGTCCCAGTCAGTTATTCAGTCAGATTTGAGATATGACCTTGGCTTTGGACCAAAGGATTTGTGATATACACGGAAAGTTTTTATTTAACTTTGATTCAACCAAACTGATAATAAAATTGCACCTGAAATTTTGTCAGAGAGGAAACTCAATTTGTGATAATTTTCATTGCAAATCTTCAACAATGAAGTACAAGAAAATGAGTTATTTTGCATGATTTAACCTATGACCTTGGATATAACATTGATCTCATCCATATAATAGTGGCATGCAAAACACAGTCAGGAAGTATTTCATATGTATTAGATTTCAATCAAATATCTCTAACAATGAAGATGTTATGTCCGGGAAAAAGATTACTTGGCTGAACTTCTCATTTATAAAAGTGACCTAATCTTTAGGTCAAGGAACCAGGTATTGATACATTTGAGTATTAACAAATTGAGACTTAAGAACTGGAACAAGCCAATAAATAGACACTATATATCACATAATAAATTTTCAAGGAACATATAAACATGTTCCTTGGTTGTATGTCTAATCTTAAATCTTGTTTAAACAAATTGGCATTTCACTGTCCTCATGAATGTTGGTTTATACACATTAAGTTTACACAAAATATCTGAATAATTTCAGCTCACAACAAAATTTTAAGATAAAATTACTGATATTACTACCTTACACAGCCTCTCTTGGGCTCATTGTCATGTCTGATCTCACTACCTAACAAAGCCGTTCTAGGGCTAATTGTACATATCCTCTCTTGTGCTCATTGTCTTGTCAATCTAACTACCCTACACAGCCTCTCTTGGGCCATTGTCTTGTCCGATCTTACTACCTAATAAAGCCGTTCTAGGGCTCATTGTACACAGCCTCTCTTGGGCTCATTGTCTTGTCAATCTTACTACCCAACATGGCCTCTCCTGCCCTCATTTTCTTGTCTAATCTTACTACCTTTCACTGCTTCTCTTGGGCTGTTCTCTTGTCTGATCTTAACACCTTACATAGACTATCTTGTGCTCATTGTCTTGTCAATCTTGCTAACTTACACAGCCTCTCTTGGGCTGATTGTCTTGTCTGATCTAACTACCTTACACAGCCTCTCTTGGGCTGATTGTCTTTTCTGATCTTACTACCTTACACAGCCTCTCTTGGGCTGATTGTCTTTTCTGATCTTACTACCTTACACAGCCTCTCTGATTGTCTTTTCTGATCTTACTACCTTACAAAGCCCCTCTTAGGCTCATTGTCTTGTATGATCTTAACACCTTACACAGCCTCTCTTGGGCTGATTGTCTTTTCTTATCTTACTACCTTACACTGCTTCTCTGAGACTCATTGCCGTGTCTAATTTTACAGATTTCACTACCTTTGTGGGCGACTGAAAGGCCCACTTCTGTATCAGCTTTATATGAAGTATTTTTTCTGGTTATGTGGGGTATAAACTTAAGATCTACAACACCTTTCTATCGGGACTGGAACTTCATCACTATAATCATATGTAGTGATAATTAGTTTTACCTCAAATAACCGGAGTAGCATCGTCTGTCAATCGCCAGAGCAAATTCAGGTGGAATATATATGATTTAAAATGGTTTGGATGCATTGAAAGTGTAAGCTGAAAACGATGAAATATTCCAGACTTGGTGAATATTTTACCCCAGCATTCACTTCATAAATAATCCATGATTACATATCATTCTTACAAAAGAATAAACCATGTACGTCCCACCTTTTGAAATGCTACTCAAGCTAGATTAGAAAATATAAGATGTGCATATTCAGAACAGCTGTTATGTTACCATGAATACACTGAGCTGTTAAATAGTTACAAAAAGGGTACATAATTGAGTACATATCACTTCATGAAGGATCATACCTTCTGGTACAAAATGAAATGAGAGAAAAAGTAAACGTTCATTAACAGAATACCTGGTAATATTAAATAAAACACTGGAATAACAGCAGAGATTATCAACATAAAACAAAAATAAATAAAAAGAGTACAACAAAGACAAGGCCATGCAATTATCTGATAATTCATATAGAGCTATCCCCAGTCACTTCAACACCACACATATTACTTATACATCAGACTAGGTCCTGTGGTTTGAATGCTGTTATATCAACAAGGACTGGCGGTGTGATGTCTGTGTCAGACTGACTGTATGATGCCTGTGTCAGACTGACTGTATGATGTCTGTGTCAAACTGACGGTATGATGTCTGTGTCAGACTGACTGTACGATGTCTGTGATCAGACTGTCTGTATGACGTCTGTGTCAGACTGTCTGTATGATGTCTGTCAAACTGACGGTATGATGTCTGTGTCAGACTGTCTGTATGTCTGTGTCAGACTGATGATGTCTGTGTCAGATTGACTGTATGATGTCTGTGATCAGACTGGTTGTATGATGTCTGTGTCAGACTGTCTGTATAATGTTTGTGATCAGACTGGCTGTATGATGTCTGTGATCAGACTGGCGGTATGATGTCTGTGTCAGACTGACTGTACGATGTCTGTGATCAGACTGGCGGTATGATGTCTGTGTCAGACTGTCTATAATGTTTGTGATCAGACTGGCTGTACGGTGTCTGTAATCAGACTGGCTGGTGGCTGTATGATGTCTATGATCAGACTGTCTGTATGATGTCTGTGTCAGACTGACTGTACAATGTGTGTGATCAGACTGGCGGTATGATGTTTGTGATCAGACTGTCTGTATGATGTTTGTGATCAGACTGGCTGTATGATGTCTGTGATCAGACTGGCTGTATGATGTCTGTGATCAGACTGGCGGTATGATGTCTGTGTCAGACTGTCTGTATGATGTCTGTGATCAGACTGGCTGTATGATGTCTGTGTCAGACTGTCTGTATGATGTCTGTGATCAGACTGGCTGTATGATGTCTGTGATCAGACTGGCTGTATGATGTCTGTGTCAGACTGTCTGTATGATGTCTGTGATCAGACTGGCTGTATGATGTCTGTGATCAGCCTGGCTGTATGATGTCTGTGTCAGACTGACTGTATGATGTCTGGGATCAGACTGACTGTATGATGTCTGTGTCAGACTGACTGTACGATGTCTGTAATCAGACTGTCTGTACGATGTCTGTAATCAGACTGTCTGTATGATGTCTGTAATCAGACTGGCTGTATGATGTCTGTGTCAGACTGATTGTATGATGTCTGTGATCAGACTGACTGTATGATGTCTGTGTCAGACTGACTGTACGATGTCTGTAATCAGACTGTCTGTACGATGTCTGTAATCAGACTGTCTGTATGATGTCTGTGATCAGACTGGCTGTATGATGTCTGTGTCAGACTGACTGTAAGATGTCTGTGTCAGACTGACTGTATAATGTCTGTGGTAACACAGGTATTTGGTAACTATGGCATACTTTAAACTAAACAAGACTCAATACATAAAATATATTTGTCTCTTTAATTAGAAGCTTACAGAATCAGTCCCTCTGATCAAAAGTTAATGAAACAACAGCATAGAGATTCTGCACAAGAAAGGAACAGTTATTATGGTGTGACATTACAGCAGTATAATCACATGTCTCCAGTAGAGCTAATGAAACAACAGCATAGAGATTCTGCACAAGAAAGGAACAGTTATAATGGTGTGACATTTAAGCAGTATAATTGATTGCCTCCAGTAGAGCTGCCTGAGGCTATATAGTGAAATTGATAGTTTCAGACATAGAGATATACCACCTTACCTGATAAACGGCTTGAAGACATTCCAGAGAATCTTTATAAATCTGGTTGGGTGTACCAGATACAAAGCTTTCAGATTCTTCTTGTATCTACATAGATAATAACATTAAATTACAAGCTACATAACCAGTATATCTAACACAGTGTTCAGTCAGGTACATCAGACTTAAAACATCTCATCAGTTGATAAAAACCAGAACCAGTTCAGTAACATCAAATTCAAAACATCTAACCCGTTGATAAACACAGAGCCAGTTCAGTAACATCAAATTTAAAACATCTAACCCGTTTATAAACACAGAACCAGTTCAGTAACATCAAATTTAAAACATATAACCCGTTGATAAACACAGAGCCAATTCAGTAACATCAAATTTAAAACATCTAACCCGTTGAGAAATGATCAGTAGAATAATGCCAATTTCCTTGGCTTGTGAATCCACTAAATCCATAAAGGGGTGACTTTAGAGAGATCTATTGATATGTCAAGGTGACTTTGGGCATGCCAATAACTGATCATTGAAAGTGTCTTTATGTGTCTTAGATAGTACAGATAGCTAATTTCCTGTCTTAGACCAAACACAGCACAACAGTTTACTTCCTGTCTTAGATCAAACACAGTAAAGACAGCTTACTTCCTGTCTAAGACCAAACACAATACAGATAGCTTACTTCCTGTTTCACACAAAACACAGTACAGATAACTAACACTCTGTGTTAGACCAAAAACAGTACAGATAGCTAATTTCCTGTCTTAGACCAAACACAGCACAACAGTTTACTTCCTGTCTTAGATCAAACACAGTAAAGACAGCTTACTTCCTGTCTAAGACCAAACACAATACAGATAGCTTACTTCCTGTCTTAGTCAAACACAGTACAGATAACTAACTTTCTGTCTTAGACCAAAAACAGTACAGATAGCTTACTTCCTGTCTTCCTGTCTTAGACAAGACACAGTACAGACTGCTTTCTTCTTGCTTTAGACCACACACAGTACAGCTAGCTTACTTCCTGTCTTAGACAAGACACAGTACAGACTGCTTTCTTCTTGCTTTAGACCAAACACAGTACAGATAGCTTACTTCCTGTCTTAGACCACACACAGTACAGATAGCTTACTTCCTGTCTTAGACAAGACACAGTACAGACTGCTTTCTTCTTGCTTTAGACCAAACACAGTACAGATAGCTTACTTCCTGTCTTAGACCAAACACAGTACAGGTAGCTTACTTCCTGTCTTAGACCAAACACAGTACAGATAGCTTACTTCCTGTCTTAGACCAAACACATTACTGATAGCTTACTTCCTGTCTTAGACAAGACACAGTACAGATAGCTTACTTCCTGTCTTAGACCAAACACAGTACAGATAGCTTACTGTCTTAGACAAAACACAGACAACTTAATTCCTGTCTTAGAAAAAATATGATATTGATTGTTAACTTCCTGTCATACCCCAATCACAGTACAGATAGCTTTCCATAGTGCCTTAGCAAAAAATCAATTTAGATGGCTAACTAACTGTCGTATATCCAACATAACAGAGATGACTTTATTCCTGTCTTATATTAAATATTATAGAAAAATCTTTCTTCCTGTCTTAAATCAAATATTATTGAAAAAAGCTTACTTCCTATCTGATATCTAATACTGAACAGATAACTTACTTCCTGTCTAATTCTCGGTACACTTGCAGCAGCCATGACAGCTTTGGTTTGTTCTTGCTGGTCAATCCATAGTGGAAATAAACGATCACATAATCGTTCTCCACATATTGGTCCAATGTATGTTTTAAGTATCTGTTAAAAACAAAGTGAAAGACTAACTATGTGAATCATACAGAGAGAATTTTAATTTTCTAACTCCATTTGATTTTTTAACTGATTCCCCATCTTCCAAGTATGTTAAAATACCCTCTCCTGATCTCAGTCTTGGCCTCTTCTTCTGAAGAATGTGTTTCAGGATATTGAAAATAGGTCCAAATCATTGATAGCCCTTTATCTTATTATTTGACTTGGCTAAACATCATGACCCTGGACCTCTTGGTTATTCAGAGAATGGATCAAATACATTCACTTGAGCAAACTTCAGAGACCTTCCTTCCAGTACTCTACTGTTTCCTTTGTCAGGATTTTTGGAAATTCAGATTTTTAAAGATTTTGCCACTGTGACCATGAAAGTAAAAATAATCAAAGACCCTTCAATCCAGCAAGGTACTCAACGAACTTCAAAAGGCGTGTGTTTTTTTCAGCATTCTTTTAAAAGAAGCATTTTTATGTTATGTTCTACTTTGAACCCAATTGATCTTGAAAGTGAATCAAGATCATTTTCATTTACACACATAAAGCCCTTCATACCAGCAGGTCGCTAGCCAAATATAACATGTCAGTGATATCTGTTTTTTCAAAGGAAGCTGTATTCAGATACAATGTATTTTTGCACCTAAGCCTGTGGCCTTGAAATGGGTCAATTTATACTATTACATTGTAACTATAGAACACAATTCCATTTACTTAATGATGAACAAATAATTGTATGGGTCTTATTTTTACAAGATACCTATCAATATTGTTAAATAGTAGCAATGTCATGTCACATAAACAAATTGAACAATTTAATTCACAAAGTTGCCGTCAGCCTCGAGTTCACACAAGAAGCAGAAACACCGATTGTATATCGTAACTTACAGGAAGAGTCGTTGGTGATCTAACTTTTCACTGGATGGGAGCTTACATGAGGAAAAGATGATCACTTTTCTACCATAAACATCATCTCCTGTGAAAATGAGAACAAAATAGATATCAACATACTTATAGAAAAACCCTCCACTTCAAGTCAATACATTGATATTTATGTATATAAAATACTACTTTAGTCAGTCTTTTTGGGACTATGAGAAATTTTATGTGCCCATATTTTCAACATCCTGCCAAATGTAAATGATTATAGTCAAACATATATAATTTACCTGCAACTTCTAGTATATTGTGTTGGGCTACATCCTGAAACTCTCCTTCATCTTCCTCCTCTGCATCCTGTTACCATAGAAACAAGAAATTTTGACAAAAACAAATTTGATATCATCCTGTTCCTAATAGCTTTAGCTTTTATGGTAGTGAAGTCACTGTTTAACAATATTGTTGATTATCAGTATCTTAAATAAAATCTAGCTTATCTGGTACATCAATGAGAGAAAAAATATCTGACCTAACATCAGACCTGGACACAGTGTCCCAATCTTATGATATTGACCTGACATAAAATTAACATATGGTGTTTCTGGTTGTAAATATAGAACTACAGATGGTATTTCTAGTCAAAAGTATTGATCAAATACAAAATTTAGAGATCGTGCTCTTAAAACAAAGTGTTGATCTGGTAAAAAATATACAGATGGTGGTCCTAGCCTATTGTATTGAGCTGATATAAAACCCTACAGATGGTGGTCCTAGCCTATTGTATTGAGCTGATATAAAACCCTACAGATGGTGGTCCTAACCTATTGTATTGAGCTAATGTAAAACTTACAGATGGTGTTCCTAGCCTATGGTAATGAGCTGATATAAAAACCCTACAGATGGTGGTCCTAGTTTATTGTATTGAGCTGATATATAAAAAAAAAGGTTACAGGTGGTGGTCTATGTAGCCTATGGTATTTAGCTGCTATAAAACACTTACAGATGGTGTTCTTAGCCTATGGAAAAAAACCAATGTAAAAACTTACAGATGGTGTTCCTAATTCTTTTTCAAAATCCTCATCAATGAGTCCATCAGGAGTTATAGAGCCACTCTGGAAGGCACTGCCATCTGAATTCTCTCTTGCTAAGTCTAAAACAGGATTTAAAACAAAAATTTAAACCATGTCATATCATCATGCTTTATAAAAGGAACTTCAAGAAAGCTGAGATGTAGATATAACATATATTGACAAATTCTTTCATGACGATGTGATGGATTGATTTCAAAATTTCAATGTTACTTTCTTATATATAAGTATAAAAATAACAGTGTATCAAAAATGTTCTGCTCATATCATTATGTTTGACTGATTCATGAGTTCAGTTATTTGCCTCTGTTTTACATTGCTTATCATTTACCTAATTTACTAAGATCAGTTATTTGCCACTGTAGTTTAGTTATAATTGATTTACTAAGTTCAGTTGTCTGCCTCTGCAGCTGATTTACCAAGTTCAGTTGTCTGCCCTTGTACCATACTTACAACTTATTTACTATGTTCTCAATTGTCTGCCCCTGTAGCTTAGTTAGCACTGATTTACTAAGTTCAGTTGTCTGCCCCTGTTTCACACTTATGAATGATTTAATCAATTCAGTTAAGTGAGGCTTGAAACATACTTCTTTTTTATTCACCAAAATGAAGTACTGTTAAAATCAAAGTATGAAACACCTGGTACTATGGTATGATCACAGCTGTTAACAGAGAATTGTAATGGCATTCAATGATTACTTGATCTAGCAGTGCACACACATGTCCTATGTGTAGACATGTGTCTAGCTTTGTATGTACATACATGCAAACCAGCTGTTGTAGATATCAGTAACAAGCGTAGAAAAAAATCAATGAAATAGAGTGAGAAATTGTAGTACCATGCTAACTTGTACATGACAAACAAAAAAAAAATCAAAAATTCATCATCATATTGTACAAAGCATGGCCTATATAACAGGCAGCATGCTTCTCAGAATGCCCAATAAATTAAATCTGAAATACTTCATTGATCCATATCCACATATTTCATAAGACTAATCATAAATATGTAAATAAGAGACCCAATAGGCCTGTATTGCTCACTTGCTATTCAACACTTTTAACAAATATGTTTACATATAATATCAATGACCTTAAAGATGGGTCTATATCAAGTTTATTTGATAAACAGTAGATAAATTTTTGTCATAGACTTTCAAATAATGTAAATAAATGAGACTTCCAAATTTTGTCAAGATATATTACAAAGCTTCATGTAACAATTTTAACAACTCTTTAAAAAAAACCTCTTAAATTTGATCCCTGTGACCTTGAATATGGGTCAAGGCCGAGTCTTTCTTGCAAACTTTGTCAAACTTTATTCCTAGAACAAACTTGCAAAATATCATAATTGTACGCCTTTCAGTAGGCCATATTATCAATCTGAAAAACCATGGAGTATATTATGAACAGTGGAATAAATACTTCATATGAACATGCAAAAAACATAAACAAAAATTATGCATTCCAACATTATAAGCTACATAACATAATTTTTATCTGTATGAGTTTCCTTGCAGTCATATAATAAGAGACTCCCGATGGAATTCCTTCACAAGAGTTTAAATACATTATAACAAAGTATTATAAAGAAAATATGACAGGTAATATAAGGATGAATTACAAAAGTCCACCTCCCACGGTAACAGTGGTAAATTAGTCTCTGCACTCCCACAAATATCTAAAATGGAAGGCAAGAAATAACCGAACATTACTACAATAACCAAAAGTCTTGAAAATCTTTTACATGCAGACATAGTGGCATAATACATTGGTCTTTCGAATGAAATCAGTTTGGTAGTTTCATGAGTGATATGTTGTAATTTGCAGTAATACAAAGGTCATTGAATACGTACAGACAAGGATTTAGACCTGAAACCCTATAAACACTAGACAACCTGGTCTAATGTGATAGTTTCAAACAAACCGCAATTGATGTGGATATTAAGAAGATAAGGCATCAATAGAATAGGAGTTCTTATAATACAACCAGTAGAAGATTAATATGTGATGTTTTGTGTAGTGTAACCACCAAAACGTCACACTCTAGTCTCCTACTGGTTGTGTCATAAGAGCTTCTATTCTATTAACATTACCAATCTGAAGAAAATGTTCTAAAATAGACAAAGCATCAGTTTTTTGATGGTCATCATGTGTTCATGGGAATATCACTTTCAGTCACATGATTCCTCACCATAATATTCAAACCTAGTACCCTCCTCTCACAGGACAAATTGTTCTACTATATCTAGTTTTGAACCTTTGGAACCCACAAAAAGATAAACTGAGGATAACATTAAACTACCTAAACACAAACTACTCTGATAAAAATCAAACTTTAAATATTTTCAACACTTCCATTTTCAAGACAATTGGTTCAAAATGCAATCAAAATCAAAATAGAAAATTCTAGTGTGCTAACTGGCATCTGATCTTAAAAAAGTGATGATAATAATAATCTGACATCATCTTAATCAGACAGCTAGAAGATATCACTGCCATTCCCTTTTCAAACAAAAATTATTTTAAGGATTTTGAAAGATATTGTAACAGCTGGATTGAGATGAATAGTGGAGGTGTGTTTGGATATTACTGAACATCAGTAGGAAACCATTGACAAATAAAAGTGGAAATATAGGTAGAGCATGTCTGATACATGTACCTGTAGCAATCTAACTCAGTATTTATAAAGGAATATCATTCCCAACCAGTCATTTTTTTTAAAAATGTCAGTTTAGGGAAAATGAATGAACTTTGAGTATTGTTTGCTTTGAGTTCTAGGCATTGTAAAGTTTACTAATCAAAGGGAAATGTCCATGAATTATGTTAAGATTATTAGGCAAGTTAATTACTAAAACCAACATTTAATGTTGTTTCCAAAACAAAATCAAAAGAAAGAAAGATCATTGATCCATGAACTACAATATAACCCACTGCCAAAAGCTTCATGCTGATAGAAATCTTAAAATAATTTACCAATAACTGAAAACATATGCTAAACCAATGTATCTTATAAATCATTATCACAAGGTTCCACAAAATATGTACACAAGGAAGATATGATTAGTGTAATTAGCTGGCACAGCCATCATCGCATAAGTGACCGTCTGTACATACATGTGTAAAGCTTGTGACATTGACTTGCATGTGAACCATCTACACAAACCTGAAGTCTGTGATTTCCCTAATATTTACCTCTCAACTCTGCTTCTAAGTCACAAGCAGCTGGTGCACAACAAAAACAACACACAAATAAACACTAGATTCTACTGTTTCTTACATAATACATACAATATTCATGTATTTATCGGTTGACTGCAGAATCACTGATCCAGTACAATTCACAGCAATCAAAATTTCTTTAGTTACTTTCTTGTACAAATTCTACAAAATGGCTTGAATACAATAAAAGTGATATAAGTAGAAGAGCCTACATATGTATATGCTGTTGAAATATATATTAGGATGGTGATAGATCTAAATCTGGGTACAAATGTCATACATGGCAGTGATTTTGTTCACATGGCTATGTCTATGTAACTACATGCCTTCTGAGTATCAAAGGAAAAGTATATTCTAGAACTCAACAGCCTTCAAACCATTGACAAGTGTCTTCGTAGAGTCTGAGTAGCACAGGAAAAGTATATGTCCACAACTCAACAGTCTTTAATCCATTGACAAAAGTCTATGTACAGTCTGGGTAGCACAATAAAAGAATATTCTAAAACTCAACAGTCTTCTATTGCAATCAATTGACAAGTGTCTATGTAGAGTCTCAGTAGTACAGGAAAAGTATACACTATGTGTTTCGAACTCAACATTCATCAATCAATTGACTGGTGTCTATGTAGACTTAGAGAAGCAAAGGAAAAGTATATGTCTAGAACTCAAAAGACGAATGTCTATCATGTACAGTCTGGGCACCACAGGAAAAGTATACATTATATGTCCAGAACTCAACAGTCTTCAATCCACTGAGAAGTGTGTAACTAGAACTGTTGCTTATTAGGGTATTTACCTAGTATATGTATATATGAATTTGAAAGTGAATGATTACTCAATTTTATAATCACATAATTAAATGACTAAACATCTGTCAATGTTACCTAAACACTCATTGCTTGCAATGTTTAGAAAACTAGGTAGATAAATACTTTTAAAGCTGAATCAAGTTTCATCAGTGACTACAGTATCCATGTTACCTTAACAATTGAAATGTTTTTGATTATTTCTTTAATTCAATTCATCAAATATCAAAAACGCATAAAGAAATTTCAATACATAATGAATATCATTTGAAATTGCAACCCTACACAGATCACTCCCCATCCTCCTTCCCCGTAACACTAACCATTCCATGCTGTAGTAATTAATCCTCTACATTATTTTAAGACAAATCTTACTGGAACATAAACTGTTCTTATGTTAAAAAATATTATGTTTAGTAAATGTACCAAAATCTCAGGTACCAAGAATTCATCACAGCAATATCTACTGGGTATGTGCATACAGTCAATCAACAACATACAATATATAGGTTCAAATGAGCTAAAACATCAAACAAATCAAATTAAAGCAGTGTTTCAATAGTGTTAATTCATATCATTTGAAAGCTTCCCATACGAATAAATACAGAATATCAGGTATGTGAAATTATAATATTTTACTGAATGTCTTCAATTTTCGCAGGTTTCTATTTCACTTTCAAGCACATGGACACTCTGTAAATACATCAAAACTGTTCATGATGCTAGTTAACATTACTACCATTGTAAGATCATAGATAAATGGAGGATTGTCAGGGCTGGGGCTACTTCATACCTCTGATAACAGGAATAATTTACATCTGCATGCAGTTACATTTGTTAGACATCTTGTTACAGTATTTACTTCAATATCACATATCATATGTAGCTCTTGACAAGCCTCCAAGAAAGTATGAAAACCAGCGAAAATAAAGTCACATTCAGTGGAGGTTTACAATCTATAAGTAAAATTAAATAGAGATCAAACAAGTGAAAATGGACTTACACTCAATTTCTCCTAGAAATCAAACACATACATCACTATAATACATAACTTTAACAAAGAACAAAACACAGCACATGCTTTTACACATGCTAGAAACTATAAAGAGTCAATCCTACATTAAGCTATCAATCATTATTGGTACACAGTTCTTTGTTATACCTTTTATCAAAATGTAATACCCTTAGTGTAGAACTCTTGAGGTAACTGCATTGGTTCAGTTATTGACATTATCTTTACTTTTGTAACTCAAGCACAGTTATGTACATGTAATCACATCATTACAAGATGCACATGCAAATATTTGTCACGGATGAGTCATATCCACCTTCTAATTTATAAATATGTTTTTTATATTAAGATTTCTGAACATCTCCTGTTATTAAATAATGTTTTTTGATAAAAAAAAGACACTACTTCATTGCATTGCCGTTGGTAGGGATCAAATACATGCTTCTGATGGGAGACTGATCGTTTACTGAATGATTAAATGCATTGTAGATCTACCTACTTGACAAGTACTAGAAACAAGTATTCTAAATCCTGCCTTTAGACATTTTTTTAACATTTGATTTGTATAAAAAAGTAACATGATTATATTAATTCACGAGAAAAATATTTAAAACCTGCTGTCATTTGAAGATGCAGTATCGAAGAAACAAATAAATGTTACAAAAAAAAACATTCCATGAATTTACAAAACAGGCTATATTACCATCATCTGCAGCCAGTTCTAAACCACTCTCGTCAAACTCAAATTCAGGCTCCTCTGTACTCTCAAAGAGGTTGCCATCTCCATTTCCATCAGAGGGAAAATCTGAGAAAAAATCCAAGAAATTAAGAAAAGGGGTTCAATAAAAATTGCTATAAATATGACTGCTCCTGAGTCAATGCACAACTTTCATTTTAAGGAGAACAGAAAGGAAGATGAAAGTTGTCAACATCAATAACATTTACAGACTATTTGTCATTATTTGTTTATTCAGGAAGTAAATAGTCTTGTATGTTGATGTCATGTCAAAACATTGAGTAGACACAGATATGAAACATACAGGTATGCAGAGATACAAAATCAACATAGTTTTCAATAGCATATTACTGTTTTAAAGTCAATTGTACAAAGCTATTAATTGCTTTTATCAACTGTTATGAATAATTTACGAACTCCAGATGAAATTTTGCTGATGTCTCAATGATTCACCATCATATTGCCAATGTGTCTGTTTCGTTAGAAAGTATTATCATCACTGAATTTGTACATCAGTGAGCAATACAATTATAATGGGCCACAGCTTTTCACTTTGAGTACATATCATGAACTTATACATACAAGTCTCTACATACCTATAAAACAAGTGCCCTACTACAATAGTTATAGCCGAGTATTTATACAGGACAAATGCTTTGTGTGCTTACTGATGAATGGTAATAAAACGCAAACCTTCATTAATGTACGACTGCGATTCCCCTCCTCCGCTTGCAGACAAATCTGTATCCATTATGTTTGTGAAGTCATCAGTTGTAGAAAGTAAATATTAGGCCTGAGCATGAATTACATGGATTTTACAATTTTGACAAGTCTGTGTGTATATTTGACATAAGAAAATGCAATGTTCTTATTGCTTCATAGTGTATTTGATTTTTTTTTTGTTTCTGTATGAATAAGCAAGCCCACTGACAGTGATATATGGGTATCACGATCATGAAAGTGAATAAGGCTCAGGGCTACTGTTCAGGTTGCTGTGCTGTCACTGAAGAGGCGGCACTCACACATACACGGTAAAATATGCATATGCCCTACGAGTTCAGCAGCAACATTTTCGCGCACTCTGATGTCAAAGTACAAATAACCACCATATAGTATCCGTATGCATAAAAAATAAGTGAAACTTGTCTCCAGTTGAAGTAACACCTTGTACTTCAGCTATAAAATTAGCCTTGACAAGTAGGCAGTAGAAAACATCAACATCCGGTCAATATTTCCGGAAGAGTTGCTGTCCTTTGCTATAACTCCACCAATGGAAGCAGTTGTTTTAAATGTTGTCGTCCAATCATTATAGACATAACATTTCGAAGTGGAAGACCGCGACGTATGATAACAGAAGATGCTACACTGTAAAGGTATGCGAAGAAATTAAGAAAATACCCTTTATTTTATTTCTTTTACATTAAGGTCAGAAATAAAATACAATTTTTTAAAAATCCGGCCTGTAAGCACTCGATCCCATGGTTAGAAGTGTGGAAGTGCAGTTAAAAGTTGTCTGTCGCCTACACATGTCCATGAACAATTATCGTTCTTGTCACTCAGAGTGAAGACAACACGATTTGCACTATTTTCACCATATCTCCGGTCATTCGATAGCTGTCCAGCTAATAAGACCATCTCTTTTTTACATTGGTCATTATAATACATGAGTCAATGATGATTATAGTATGCAATTGTAGAATCTACAACTGTGGCAAACTTCACAAAAAAAGATGTGTACTAAGAAAATATGGTTTGAACAAAATAATTTCAAGCATTATAATACTGTCAAATACTTACTGGTGCATTGAGCATGAGTTGAAATCTTCTGTCACAGAACAGTAAAAGACTGTCACTGAATTTAGAGTGGATACAAACATTCCTCTCCACATACACATCAGTTTAGTGCTTGAAAACTTAACAATCATAAAAAAAATCGTTGACAAAAATCCATTTGGGCATAGGTCACCTCTTCTTTAAGATAGAGATTGTCAGTTTTTCTCTGTTGCAAATTGATGCATGAACTTTCAGGTGCCTGACATGTGGTTAAAAACCCTCATGTACTGAACATTGTTTCCATGAATATATTACAATATCATGTTTTATATTGTTAAAGTATACATTGAATGATTCACTATTTGTGAATTTGTAAAATTTCAAATCAGAAATTGTACAAAATTGCTCCAAAATCCAATGGTCAATATCTAACATATTGTTATATATTTATCTTTTTCTTTGTGTGGTATTTAATCATCTTTCACATACTTTTAGCTAACTGACTGGGGAATCTAGAGATTGTCAGAGCAAATGTCCAATTGTCAGTGATTTATTTCATCAACAATGTCAGTAACTTTGTGTGGTATTTAATCATCTTTCACATACTTTTAGCTAACTGACTGGGGAATCTAGAGATTGTCAGAGCAAATGTCCAATTGTCAGTGATTTATTTCAACAATGTCAGTAACTAGCTAGGTTAGCAAAACAAAAACAAAAAACCCCAGAAAAAATTCAGGAAATGAAAAACAAATGAAAAAATTACCTGAAGTCTTTGACTATTTAATGAATTGACCAACTCAATCAATACACCTCATTTGTTGTGGCTTTGTATTAGCATTCAATTTTTCATCATATAAAAGTACCTCAAAATGATTGTATGATCACATAGCCTGCATGATCTGTCTGTATTAAAAGCTTGGCTGGAAAAATCCCCAAGTAAAGTAAAAGCAATTTCCATCATTCCTCATATACTTATTCATAAAAAAAGTTCCAAAATATGCAAATCAGAAAACTACATTTTGCGTACAACAAAAAAAATTATTATAACATATGATAGATAACCATCTTTATTGGAAATCAGAGTCATATTTGTAATTTTGGCATTGTTAATTTATTATGCAGAACCAATATGACATCACTGGCTGACTTGCGACGCCGATTTGGCCGTTTGGATGGAGAGCCTCAGAATGACACAGGGAGTTTAAGTGTCATTAGAAATGATACAAGTCCAGAGAATAGCAGAAATAAAGGTGACACAGGCACAATTGAAATCACAGGTAAAGTATGATATATGTCTATTACTGGAAAGTATTGAAGGGTTGAAGTCCTATTCTGATAAAAGTTCAACTAAAGTGAAAATTTGTATTTGACAAAGTACAGAGAAATGTATACCAGTAGTTTAATCCATGCAGCAGGTATACATTCTTTAACCATATATAATTGCAGAAAACCAAACATGGCTGAACAAGATCGAGTTCCAGGGTAACCGTGCTGAAGATTGGCTGGAGTACATTCGTTATGTCAGCCAGAATACTGATTTTCCAAATGAGGTCAAGAAGCACAACTACCTTTGTGGCATGTATGAGAGAGCTTTCAAGGTGAATTGATTTGACATAAATGCATATAAGCACCTTAAGGTTTCTGTATGTATTATGCTTTAAATGTTGATGGTAATATAATCTTTTAAAAACAATAGTTATCATGAGATAACAACATTGTATATCAAAAAGTATCACTTAAATCTGCTACTGGTTGCATTAAAAGAATTTACATTCTTAATTTAAAAATAATCAGGGCATCTTTGAATATGATATTTTTAAAGTGATTATAACTTGTATGACAATTCTTTTAAGCCATGAACATTTTGAGGGCAATATTGTAGCTCTTGGAAGACAACATGGCAATTCTACCATATTCCAGCTAGTGATGCAAAATCAAAGTTTATGAAACTCTGGCTGCAGTCACAATCACATACTATTTTATATTTTCATTCTTGATAAACTGTTTTTCAACACAGATTTTACATCAGCCTGTGACTGTTTCGATTGAGAAAGCATAGGATTTAGTAAAAACCTTAAGAAACACTTGATAATTTTACTGTTGATATAAATGATGTTATGTTCTGGTAATTACTCTTCAGTTACCAAAGGTATCAAATTTTTTATATTAGGTAGCTTCAGAATGACACTTTCAATTCTAAATTATCGAAATATAGTTTGTAAATGAATGTAAATAAACTGTCACTTTTACCATATATTAACTTATACTGTATATCATGAAAAATGAATGTTAACAAACTTTGTCACTTTTACCACATAATTACTTATACTGTATATCATGAAACATTCAATCAGGGTTTTATTTTGGCCTTTAATAAAAATATGCAGTTTTGCCCATTGTTAAATTTGCCCTAAATAATACCAAATATTCAACAAGATGATTACACTGACACATTTCAATTTACAGGTTATTGATGTTGTAAGCAATAAGAGGAATGAAGCTTATGCCCAGCTTTTCATGGAATGTGCCAAATTAAAAAGGTAAATTATTCAACACAACAAGCAATATATTTACATTGTTCAAGGTCACATAATAATGCACAACAATGCCTTCATCTTACAGTTCCCATGTTACACCACACAACACAGCTACCATCCTGCAGTTCTCATGTTACACCACACAACACAGCTACCATCCTGCAGTTCTCATGTTACACCACACAACACAGCTACCATCTTACAGTTCTCATGTTACACTACACAACACAGCTACCATCCTACAGTTCTCATGTTACACCACACAAAACAGCTACCATCCTACAGTTCTCATGTTACACCACACAACACAGCTACCATCCTACAGTTCCCATGTTACACCACACAACACAGCTACCATCCTACAGTTCTCATGTTACACCACACAACACAGCTACCATCCTACAGTTCCCATGTTACACCACACAACACAGCTACCATCCTACAGTTCTCATGTTACACCACACAACACAGCTACCATCCTGCAGTTTCCATGTTACACACGACACAGCTACCATCCTGAAGTTTTTGTGTTACACCACACAACACAGCTACCATCCTACAGTTCTCATGTTACACCACACAACACAGCTACCATCCTACAGTTCTCATGTTACACCACACAACACAGCTACCATCCTGCAGTTTCCATGTTACACCACACGACACAGCTACCATCCTGAAGTTTTTGTGTTACACCACACAACACAGCTACCATCTTACAGTTCTCATGTTACACCACACGACACAGCTACCATCCTGAAGTTTTTGTGTTACACCACACAACACAGCTACCATCTTACAGTTCCCATGTTACACCACACAACACAGCTACCATCTTACAGTTCTCATGTTACACCACACAAAACAGCTACCATCCTGCAGTTTCCATGTTACACCACACAAAACAGCTACCATCCTGAAGTTTTTGTGTTACACCACACAACACAGCTACCATCCTGCAGTTTCCATGTTACACCACACAAAACAGAAGTTTTTTGTTACACCACACAAAACAGTTACAGTTCCCATGTTACACCACACAACACAGCTACCATCTTACAGTTCTCATGTTACACCACACAACACAGCTACCATCTTACAGTTCTCATGTTACACTACACAACACAGCTACCATCCTACAGTTCCCATGTTACACCACACAACACAGCTACCATCTTACAGTTCCCATGTTACACCACACAACACAGCTACCATCTTACAGTTCCCATGTTACACCACACAACACAGCTACCATCTTACAGTTCCCATGTTACACCACACAACACAGCTACCATCTTACAGTTCTCATGTTACACCACACAACACAGCTACCATCCTACAGTTCTCATGTTACACCACACAACACAGCTACCATCCTACAGTTCTCATGTTACACCACACAACACAGCTACCATCCTACAGTTCTCATGTTACACCACACAACACAGCTACCATCTTACAGTTCTCATGTTACACCACACAAAACAGCTACAATCCTGAAGTTTTTGTGTTACACCACACAACACAGCTACCATCTTACAGTTCCCATGTTACACCACACAAAACAGCTACCATCCTGAAGTTTTTGTGTTACACCACACAACACAGCTACCATCTTACAGTTCTCATGTTACACCACACAACACAGCTACCATCCTACAGTTCCCATGTTACACCACACAACACAGCTACCATCCTGAAGTTTTTGTGTTACACCACACAACACAGCTACCATCCAGTTTTTGTGTTACACCACAGTTCCCATGTTACACCACACAAAACAGCTACCATCCTGCAGTTTCCATGTTACACCACACGACACAGCTACCATCCTGAAGTTTTTGTGTTACACCACACAACACAGCTACCATCCTGCAGTTTCCATGTTACACCACACGACACAGCTACCATCCTGAAGTTTTTGTGTTACACCACACAACACAGCAACCATCTTACAGTTCCCATGTTACACCACACAAAACAGCTACCATCCTGAAGTTTTTGTGTTACACCACACAACACAGCTACCATCCTGCAGTTTCCATGTTACACCACACGACACAGCTACCATCCTGAAGTTTTTGTGTTACACCACACAACACAGCTACCATCTTACAGTTCTCATGTTACACCACACAAAACAGCTACCATCTTACAGTTCCCATGTTACACCACACAACACAGCTACCATCTTACAGTTCCCATGTTACACCACACAAAACAGCTACCATCCTGCAGTTTCCATGTTACACCACACAACACAGCTACCATCTTACAGTTCCCATGTTACACCACACGACACAGCTACCATCCTGAAGTTTTTGTGTTACACCACACAACACAGCTACCATCCTACAGTTCCCATGTTACACCACACAACACAGCTACCATCTTACAGTTCCCATGTTACACCACACAAAACAGCTACCATCCTGAAGTTTTTGTGTTACACCACACAACACAGCTACCATCTTACAGTTCTTATGTTACACCACACAAAACAGCTACCATCCTGAAGTTTTTGTGTTACACCACACAACACAGCTACCATCCTGCAGTTTTTGTGTTACACCACACAAAACAGCTACCATCCTGCAGTTCCCATGTTACACCACACAACACAGCTACCATCTTACAGTTCCCATGTTACACCACACGACACAGCTACAATCCTACAGTTCCCATGTTACACCACACAACACAGCAACCATCCTACAGTTCCCATGTTACACCACACAACACAGCTACAATCCTGCCCTTTCGTGTTACACCACACAACACAGCTACAATCCTACAGATTTGTAAGATCCACTTAGTTTTGAATTCTAACTGATGTTGTGTTTTACCTTTGTAGTGTGTTCTGCCCAGAAGATGCCATTCAGATGATGAATCAAGCCCGATCCATTGTCCGTAGGTTTGCTATGGTCCATGTGATGGCTGCAGAGTTTGAATATAAACAAGGTAGGAACCAGATTTGGACCAATTATGGTCTGCATTACAAGGAATAAGTTAGTGTTGTAAAACCTCATTAACAGCTGTGTTACATTAATGCCAGTCTGTTCTTGTTCAATCCATATCTTTTGATCTGTCGAAGACAACTTGATGGAACTGGAAACATAAATGTCACCAATAGACAGTGTATAGGACACCTACAGAAATTTGCAGTTACTAAGAACAGAGGTTCTCCTGTCAAAGTTGGCTGAAATCAAATGGCAAATAACCTGATTACATGTCATTGTTTTCAAATCAGAGGTCAAGTTCAATTCTTAGATAATTTATTGGTATGTATTTTGCTAAAAACTTCATGATGCAAAATTGATTAAAAACAGTTGACGGGGGCTTGACTTAAGACTGTCACCATTGAAATATTCTATGTTTTCCTGTAGAATGTCAGTAATATTGAAAATATAGCAATTAGGAAAATCAATTTTAAACAAGAAAAATGCTGTGTTGCTTCACATGTATGTTTTAAATGTTGAAATTTCAGGTGATGTCACCAAAGCCAGGAAAATTTTGGAGAAAGCCTTGTTATTTGGAGCAGAGCCATCTAGCATGGTAGAAGGTGCTCTGGAGCGTTTGAATGAGGGGCATGGCAGTCTACAGGGGGAGCCTGTCCAGTCAAAGCCCAATCAATCAGAATCTCGACCACCTGCACACCCTCCTCCTCGGTCCAAGTATGTCTCTACAACCAACTCCTTCTATATTGTACATCAGTTATTTCAACCATTTAATACCATTTGGTTTTTAAAGGAATATCAATATTCGTTTGTTAGAATTTAGTGTCTCCTTTACATGTAGGATATTTATCAATCCAAAGGCCACAACCCAATATAGCTGAAACTCAAATGTTCACTTCAAACAAAATGCTTTGTAACATTCAGTCACCTTCTTAAGTTTCTTATTATTGTTTGCGAGTAAACATGAAATTATTTAGGTCTAGAACATATTATTACCACAGCTTATGGTTTATTTTGAACACGCATATTAATACTAGCTTCTTTTTAACGTGTTGCATATATATAATGGCAGCCCCCATGCCCAGAAAATTTACGGGTGCACATGCATGAACACATTTGACTGGTAAGACAATTTAAAGGATTGGGAAGGATTATATCTTGTACAATCATAGTACGTGTGTAAGAAATGTACTTATTTTTCCTATCTTGATTTGCCTTTTAAAAAAAATTGTGATATTTCATGTTATACCATTTCCATGTAAAAAAAATTTTCACATAAACACCATTAAAATGATGCTTTTCTTCCTCAATCCAGTAAATTGTCACTTGATCCCGAATGTTTACGTTTAACCCTGTTTGGATCAAGAAAGTGGACCCTATCATAGCTTGTTTCACACTAGACCTAAAATGAACATTTCACTTTCATATAAAAATCTTATCGGATAATGTTTATGGGTTTTTAGTAGTTTTCTAAGTATAACACATTTCCCAATAGATTGCAATCAGCTGTCTCACATCTAGGACAAAAGCCAAGTTGCCGATAGTCTTACATGTTCTCACAGCGGATTCATATTGATTATTTTGATGCAAATCCAGATTAAAGATACTGTTTTCTACTTTAATTGTTTACAAGATTCTTCTCTGAAGCAATTAATTTGAAGTAAAATTTTGTAAAATGTATGAAAACACTTGGTATGAAACGTATGTTGCGAAAATTGTATTGAAAAAAAGAATTATGCATTGAATTATAATTCTGTATTCAAAACTTTATCAAAATACATTTCTGTTTTAAAAACTTCATCATCATCTACTTTCACTATAATCTGATCAAGTGCTTCTTATTTACATTCCTTATGAGAAATTATCACAAATCAGAATGCTTTGATTTAACACTCAGTCTGTTGTTTCACTACGCAATATAACAAAATGCCTGCAAGAGAAAAGACTGAACACTCACATATGGCTATATATCCAAATCACACATTTTTCACGTAATTTAAGTCACTGAGAAGAAACTTTAATGGAAAATTGATGTATTTGTATTTCGTGGAGCAATTTGCTTTTATGATGCATCTTTGATTGGAACCACTTGTTAGCATAGTCCTATTACATTCCACCTACAGGATGTTGGAGCCAACTTAACTTTGAATATGATACAAATACTGTAATATGATTATTGTATAGAAATGCTGTGATTTACTCTAAGTAAGTATCAAAGTATGATTTTTTATGTGTATCAGGGAACCTGCTCGGATCAGGAAGATTAACCTGCCGTTTAGAGAAGTGGAAGTAGATTTGGATGGGGACAAAGAAAACAACACTGGCCTTCCTCATGACCATCGCACTCAGGACACAAACACTGTCCTTCCACACGACCACAGATCCCAGGATACTCACACCAACTGTAAGATCTTACCTCCTAGAGATCCTAAATAATAATTGTTAAAATCAAGACACTGAGATAATCTAGAGTTTATAAGAAGCTCCTGTCCTTTCTCTAACCATGTAAACTAACAACGTCAATCTGGTGACAGTTTCCTTGTGTAAGGGATGAAGTTGTGTCAATATCCCATTACTTGTTTCTGCCTATAAATGTCATGTATAAAGGTCATGTGGATTTTTTTTTTCTTATCCTGTACCATCTGATGACTTTTGTCCAACAAAAGAGATGGAACAGGATTAATGTGCAACTTTTCTGTCAATGTTTACATCAACATTTGGAGGCTATGTTTTACTTTTGTGCAGTAGTCAGCAATATTGGTATAAAGTGGAACATATGATGTACAGCTCAAATTAGGACAAAAATTGAGAATGGAAATGTTGGTAGATTTTGAGAATTGACAATGATTCTCCCACTAGAGGTGTTTGATGTGTTCCACTAATTTGTATGTTTTAGACTTTAGTGGGTTAGAGTTAGGATTTAAGAATCCATGTATCTGTATTTTCAGTTCAGCAGTTCCAAAACTGTTTAGTACAACACAACAGGAATGATTAGATTTATATCAAATTAATAATTTCCAGTATTACACCCATGAAAGTATAATGAATGATTTTCACTGTTTTTCTTTTTTTTTCTACTCAAATTTCCATGAAATTGCCAACTCATCAAAGAAACTAAGATCTAATGTCTAAAGGTAACAAATACCATGGTTAGATATCCGATACAGCAGACTAACAAGACCAGAGTAATGATTTCAGATCACATGGAAAATCTGTAATGTGTTCTTTATTTTCTTACAGATGCTCTTGGCTCAATATCAATGACCCACTCCTCTGGCTACTGCTCAATGATGGATGTCAGTATTCCCACAGAAACCAAAATGTCTCCCCCTCAGTCAGAGATTTACAAGACTCCCAACCCTTGTGAGGAACAACCGAAACACAAGTCCCCTATAAAGCCTATGCAGACAGAAGATGTTCCAATCCCAGAGGCTGTGTCAGTCCGTCGACCACTGCAAGTGTTGAAGGGTCCTTCAAAGCCCATGGACTGGCAGTCAGCTTCCATACCAAAGATGAATCTGGCACAGATGTGTTGTGATCAAGACAATTCTAATTCTAGCCAACCACCTGAACCTCAGGAAAAACATAATAACTTTCCAAAGTCATTTTCTTCATCAAATGTTTCTGTGTCAACGGAACACAGTCGTGTTCCAATTACTAAGTCAAAATCAGTGTCATCAAGTCAGCTTCCTGGGAGGGAACCCCACCTGAAATCTACAGTGAAGGAACCTCCCCATAGCTCTGGAGTGGAAGAACCCAAAAATAATGTGATGGCTAGACTGGAAGAACATCCACAGCAGAGATCACCACGATCCCATGCTGATAGCAGAGTTCCCCCGTTGCCCTCAGTTCCCCCTAAAGGAATGGCCATGATGGGACCAACACCAGTCAAACAAAACACAAGGTTTGCTGAACACCTTGGTTTCTTGTGTTTTGACAGATTTGGTCCTTCATCTGATTGGTTAGAAAGAAATAATCAATACACTAAAATGGAAGTCGATAAAATTATTAGATTTTCAGCATTCTTACAGCTTTATGTATGGAAGTCAATGGCCATAACTATATAGATATGTACCTGTATATGCATACAATTAAAATTGTTTGATATCATACTTAAAAAAGTTATTGCTATGCTCTGTGACACAGAATAAGCGAATGAACTGGTCACATATTTCTGGTTTTTTAGGAGTTCATCATATACACTTGGCTATAGTTAAAGACCACACATGGTATTATCTTACATTTTACTTGATTTTGTTCGCTGTATTTAAGAAAAATATTAAATGATGACTCAACAGGATATGTAGGATTGTTTATAGGCATCTATCGAAATTATACACAGTCAATAGGAAAAGAAATTCACAGACTCAGAATAGCTGTATCAAAAGGGCATTCCCAATGTCTCATATTAGCATTCCCAATGAACAGGTTTGGTTCTGATGTGCATTAACCAAGAAATAATGTTACGGCTGGCATTAAAATGTGCAGCTACTTGCGTGTATGTCACACCACTTTGAACCGTTCCAGAAGCTTCTTTCAGCAATAGGTCAATTTTCACTGTGACAGTATGAGTATGATTTACAAGTGATTCACGTGCAAACAATGCTTCAGGTGGAAAAGAAAACTTGTGTTTTATAAGATTACAAGGGTACCCCAGTTTGACCTGGGTTATAATGAAGTTGGCTGTATGGCATGGTGACCTGTGACACCAAATACAAAAGCAGACACTGCAAGGAGTATAAGGTTTATTTCTGCATACGGAAAAAAATAAGTTTTGATTAAAATTTGCATACTGAAATTGATAGTCCTTAACTTATTGCTAAGTGTATATCTGTTTCCTTTCAGTGTTTAAAGATTGATTCAGCCAATACTTACTGTTACAAAATTAATGAACTCTACTGAAATCAGGGTGTTTCCAACAATAGATAGTTGGTCAAAGGGATGTTCTAGTTCTGATTAGCTATTATATGTTTATTTTTAAGTATGTGTAGTTTCTTTAGTCAGTTACCAGATGCTTACTCACCCATGGTCAGCAATCATTGTTGATATACAGCTAATGTAGGTTCATTATCTGTATTACTACTGCAGAGGGTCAGACTAAGAAAAAGTCAGATGAATCATACATAATCAGTGAAGAAATATTCAGCTTTTTGTTCTGTTACTTGTGCAATATGTTTGTTCCATCACATCTAATATTTAGGTAAACATATTCTGCCTCATCTGAACTCTACCCTGTTACACAAATTATAGCATATAAAGAAGTCATGTCATAAGTATATGTTACTAATCAAACGTTTTGTCTTGTTGATATTTTGTATTTACATATCTTGGTTTATATATACTATACCAACATCAAAACGGGATAAATACAAAACAAACCTGGATTGTAGATGAAGATCATAACACATCACTGCTTACTTGTGTTGATCACTGTGAACAAAAACAAATGTTTCTGTTTTGGCGTTTTACCCTCATTCTGTTGTAAATATTACTTATGATCTTACTAAGTATGTTATATGGTATGACATGATAATGTTACTTCAATAAACGTCTTTATTACAGGCAGCTAACAAATCACCAGATGGTAACTCCTTGTATGAAGGGCATCCCACCTCCTGCTGTACCTAGCACACCTAGTCTGGTAAGTGTACCCAGTACACCTAGTCTGGTAAGTGGTAAGTGTACCCAGTACACCTAGTCTGGTACCTGTACCCAGTACACCTAGTCTGGTAAGTGTACCCAGTACACCTAGTCTGGTAAGTGTACACTGTACACATAGTCTGGAAAGTGTACCCAGTACACCTAGTCTGGTAAGTGTACACAGTACACCTAGTCTGGTACCTGTACCCAGTACACCTAGTCTGGTAAGTGTACCCAGTACACCTAGTCTGGTACCTGTACCCAGTACACCTAGTCTGGAAATTATGGTAAATAAATGTACTCCTTCAGTCTGGTAGCATACCCACCTACCCTAGTCTGGTTGGTGTACCCAGTACACATCTGATAAGGTAATAACAATATTTAAAGATATATATCTCTACTATGGTGTCCATATGTCAGATAAACAGTACTGACACTGTTCTGATCAGATCCTGTGTAGGCATGTGTGTGCTCATATGTAACACAAGCATTGATATTTCCTGCTTTTTTAAGAAAGTGGTCAGTATATGTCTTCCAACCTGAGTTCCACATCCAACATAATGCGTCAGTAATTTCACTTAGATTGGCCAACTGGTTTCAGTGCGTTAACTTGCTAAATGGTGAATTTCAAGAGAATTTGATTTACAGATACATTGTACCATTGTTTAGCCAGTACACCTGTCTGGTAAGTGTACTGTAGTACAGAGTCTGGTACCTGTACCCAATACACCTAGTCTGGTAAGTGTACCCAGTACACCTAGTCTTGTAAGTGTACACAGTACACCTAGTTTGGTAAGGGTACACATAGTCTGGTAAGTGTACCCAGTACACCTAGTCTGTTGAGTGTATCCAGTACACCTAGTCTGGTAAGTGTACACAGTACACCTAGTCTGGTACCTGTACCCAATACACCTAGTCTGGTAAGTGTACCCAGCACACCTAGTCTGTTGAGTGTACCCAGTACACCTAGTCTGGTGAGTGTACCCAGTACACCTAGTCTGGTAAGTGTGCATGGTACACCTAGTCTGGTAAGGGTACACCTAGTCTGGTAAGTGTACACAGTACACCTAGTCTGTTGAGTGTATCCAGTACCCCTAGTCTGGTAAGTGTACACAGTACACCTAGTTTGGTACTTGTACCCAGTACATCTAGTCTGGTAAGTGTATACAGTACACCTAGTCTGGTACCTGTACCTAGTACACCCAGTCTGGTACCTGTACCCAGCTTAACTAGACTGAAATTATGGTAAATAATTGTGCCCAGCTCCTTCAGTCTGGTTAGTTTACCCAGCTCCTCCTGTCTGGTTAGTATAAACAGCTCATTTAGTCTGATTAATATACCCAGTTCCTTTAGGCTAGTTGGTGTTTGTACACATCTGCTAAATGGTGAATTTCAAGAGAATTTGATTTACAGATACATTGTACCATTGTTTAGCCAGACTTAGCTGCCTTATGAATTAACTGTTGTAAGAACGGTATACAGATTCCACACATTACTTATTTATCTACAGATGATGAAGGACATTACAGTGAATGGTAAACAGTACTGGGTCCTGAAGTTGGTCGGACGAGGAGGTTCAAGCAAGGCAAGTATTATTGGAGGATCTGTTATCATGTATTATATGGAAGTCTTAAGGGTTCATTTGGAAGGTCTCCTGACCCTAGGTCATGGTGACTATTGTGATCATTCTTCATCTGCTTTGGTCCATCAACTTTTTCTGGTGAACATGATAATTTGAGTAAATATGAATAGATTTTGATAAATATATATATATTGAGGATTATATCAATAAAATCTTAAATGTGTTTGACCATGGAATCATGTTGATTGCAACTTATAGGTTATAGTCCTTTGCAGTTTAGTTTGCTTGAGATTAGATGAGCAAACATTTAGGCCCATTTCTAGTTCAGGTGTAAAATTCAGTTATATTCTTAACCAAGCTTCTAATTATTGTGAAGGAATTTGGATGTCAAAATTTGGAAGGATGTATTTATATAAAAATTAGTGTACCATCATCTTTATTGATCAGCCCAAACATCTGTAAGCCATGTCTTATATATCCAAGTGCTTACATAAGAGCCTCCTCACCAGTTGTTTTATCAAACTTGCTATGCTGGTGTGGTTTTGGGTTTGAATTCTGCAACTTCTTGTTCGACTCAAAATATTATGCGCTTCAGGAAATGAAAAGTACCTGATTTCTGATTTGTTCATGCACTAGATTGCCACTTTAAAAGAATATTTTTCATTAGTTTCAGTCTTTGATATTTGTTATGGTTATTTATTTAAAATGTAAACACAAGTAATGTTATTTTACATGATTTTCCCTGGTTACTACAGGTATACAAGGTTCTAGACAGTAACCTTGAAAACCGTGCGATCAAGGTGGTTGATCTAGCAGATGCTAACGAGCAGATTCTTGAAGGTTACAGGAATGAAATACACTTACTAGAACGTCTTCAGTACTGTTCCAAGGTCATTAAGATGTATGACTAGTAAGTACAGGTTGTTACGATGAATACTTTTATACTAATGTTTTTATGACCCAGATCAAAAGTTTGGGGGCAAAATGTTTTTGTACTGTCTATTTGTTTGTTTGTTTGTTGCCAACTTTAACCATGTGACCTTGAATGTGACCTTTGACCTACATTTGAAAAAAAATTTCATTGGCCATAACTGTTGAACTAAAACTATCAAATTACTACCACAGTGAAGACATTAGTGCATGCAATTGGCACATGCCTTATAATTAAATAAAGGTCATTAAAACTTATACATTGTTTATACTTCTAAGATTATTGAACAAAGTCATATATAATCAGCAACTAAAGCCCATTAAAAGTTACATTTTGTCTTAATTGTCAATGATAAGGCTATGAGATAATTTGTTTCCACCAGTGAATATGATGAAGACAACAGCAAGCTATACATTGTAATGGAACACGGGACTGTGGACTTTGCCATCTTCATAAAAAATAGACTGAAAGAGGAAGGACTCCTGTCACCAAATACCATCAAATTTTATTGGGAGGACATGCTGCAAGCTGTGGGAGCTCTCCATAAACAGGGTAAGGTCATTAAGTAACAGGAAAACAACAGTGTTGTTTAAACAAGATCTTTACAAACAGGGTAAGATCTCTGTATAAACAGACTCTCTACAAACAGGCTCTCCACAAACGTAAGATCTCTGTTAAAACAGGCTCTCTACAAACAGGCTCTCCACAAACAGGGTAAGATCTCTGTTAAAACAGGCTCTCTACAAACAGGCTCACCACAAACAGGGTAAGATCTCTGTTTAAACAAAAACTCACAAAACAGGGTAAAGTCAGTAAGAGACAAGAAACAAATAATATACCTGGTCAGATTGATAAGAGACAGGAATCTAGCAGCCCTCAAAAAATGGACGATCTGTTACTGACTGTATCTCTACCCAAACAATCTTATAGGATAGGATCTGGGGACTTTATTAAGATTAATCATCTCATTTCAAACAGAAGCCACCCAGTTGAATTCCTCTTTTAACTTTAAGTCATGCTCACTCTTTACAAATGTAAGGATTTTAACTGATTTGACATGTTGTTCATAGGGTTTCAATGTTGTATATGAAAAGGATCTTTAGGGGAAACACGTTAAATGCTTCATTTGTATTTCTGCAGGCATCATTCATTCCGATTTGAAGCCATCCAACTTTCTTGTGATTGATGGTACACTGCGCCTGATTGACTTTGGAATTGCCAAGTCAATCCAGTGTGACAAGACAAGTGTGATGGTGGATACACAGGTCGGCACTCTCAACTACATGTCGCCAGAGAGTATCGTGGACTCCTGTGGAGGCGAAGGTGGAGGTCGTTCTAAACCCACCTACAAAGTATGTACAAAGCAGTAAGGATTTGGTCTTAATCTTGCCAGTGTAAATAACTGGAACCTACAAAAATAAAAACCAACATTTTAGATCACAGTAGTCATATGCTGAAAAAAAGGCCAATGGCAAATGATCTAGGTAAACCTCATTTAAAATCTGTATAGTAATCAATGATATTTAGCAAAGTGTTAGTTATTTTCTGTGACCTTTTCCTACTTGTATTTACATGGGGTAAAAGTCACATATGAATTATAGGTTAGATGCACTGGCCAGTTTCTTGTTTATTTTGTAGCTTGGTGTGAAAAGTGACATATGGAGCCTTGGTTGTATCCTGTACTATATGGTGTATGGCCACACCCCCTTCCAGAAAATAACAAATACATTCGTGAAACTCAAGGCTATCATCAATCCAGACTACCCAATAGAATTTAAGGACATTTCTGACAAAAATTTACTGGACACAATACAGGTAACCTTTAGTGCTATACCATTCAGTGTATAACATGTATAATTTGGTATGGTGAGCCTATGGTACATGAGAGATGAATTGATTTTAGATTATGTTATTGGGATGTGACATCTGTTTCAAATTAGAGGTAATGTTATTTAAATACAGGTTAGCCTCTCTCAAACTAAAAGTTAGTCTTATGATAAGTAAGGCGAGATTTTATTATAAAATTATTAACATATGATAAGAATGGAAACAAAACTGAAGGGCATAGGTTTTCTGTCAGAAATATTGTTTAAAGTGCCCTATGTCTGTCCGTCTGTAAACAATTTTTATAGCTTTTTCTTGAGAAGTACTGGATGGATCTTTCTCAAATTTCCCCCCTTGGTCCCTAGTTATGCCCATTTGATTTTTGGACTGATCAGAAAAAATAGAATGGTGACCATCTTGGATTTGGCAGTTAAAGATTATTATTGCTATATCTGCAAAGTTCAAATTTCTTATTAAGAGCAAAAACAGAGAAGAGAACGGAAAAGATCCAACATTCAAAGAACAAATAAAGATTAAACAATAGTGGGAGCCAAGATCCCTCTGGGATCTCTAGTTGTATATTACTAGTCTTACAGCAACTAAATTTAGTGGTATATAGTTTGATTATGTAGATTATAGAAATAGCATCAGTTCCATTATTGTTCTGACTTTAAGTGAAATCCCAGTCATTAAGGAAGGGAGGTGTGTTGTATAAGTACATGTTTTTCTGGTTATTCTGGTTCTGGTTCTTCAAATAATTTCTCGTCCAGGCCATAACATCTAAAGCATTAAAGACATATATGTTACATACCTGTTGTGATGCTTTTGGTTTGCAGAAATGTCTGCTTCGGGAACCAAGAGAACGTGCCAGTATAGAGGACTTGTTAGCACACCCTTACATCACAAACCTGGAGAGAGGTGTGTATTGTGTAGCTTTCAAGGAATTTTATTCCTGCTTTAGCCTATGATAGGATTTTTATCTTTTAATTATTTTGATACATGAAAATTTATCAATGATCTCAGGGCAATCCATGAGAGTCTCCAAGGCATTGATCAGATGACCTTGTGTAATTCATATCAAAACATTGAAACTACATGGTGTATAAATTTAGCTGCAATTAGGGATAAGGAATGTTCAAGGATAATGTTATCTCTGAAATAAGCAGAGATATGTTACTTTGTGAAAAACAAAATGTCTCTACTTTAAGGTATTATTTGTGTTTGTAGTGGACCAGGAAGCTGTACCCAAACTAGACTGTAAAGATGATCATCTAGAGCGCCTTGTTAAACAGCTCTCCACAAAGTTTGCCTCATCACCCTCCGGCATTCGTTCCATGGTACAGAGTGCTATGATGAAGGTACATAATCTGAGGAAATGCAATATTCTGCTAAACTGATAAAGGGTTAGGATTACCTGTAGCAATTGTGTTTCACTTGTCATAGCCCAGTGTGCAAAGTGCACCTGAATAAACTTTTTTTACATTTCGAATTCCCATTTATTACTAAGTTGATTTTAACAAAAATTGGTTAAAGAATCTTTGGAGAAAGGGAATTTAAGTTTGGGGCCGTGCTTCTTGATTGGATGAGGTTATGGATACTCTGAAAGTAAACTTAGAGGCCTGTGTCTGTTTCTCAAGGGTCTATTCATCTGGAAGAACAAAACTTAATTTTCTCCCTTGAGGTAGTGCAGACAGGGTATGGGGAGAGGAGGTTTGGGGGGGGGGGGGGGGGGTCTTAATTGCAAGCAACTTCGCTGTACCTGGAAGACACAACGGGAAGATGCTTATTTACAGTAAAGTACCATGGAAACAAAGTCAGAAATCCAAATACAAGCTTTTCTGGCAACAACTTTAAGACTGTTAATCTGATCCCTACACATGTTAAATGTCAACATTGAAAGACACAGAGAATCTACATCAAAATATTACCTTACCATAACTTTTGATTACTTCATTATCCCGATGTGATGTGAACAGACACCACATCATTGTCAATCAGAAAAATGAATGTCACATATTGGTTTTGATGCCCTATTGGGGCAGTTGTGATGTCAAAACTTCATTGTTCACAGTTCCAACAACATTATAATATCAAAACATCTTAGTTCCAATGGAGTTGTGATGTCAAAACATCATGGTTCACAGAGCTCAAAAGAGATAAATGGAATTGGAAAGTCAAAATGCCATGGTCTGCAGAGTTACAATGACATTGTGATGCCTTGAAAGAGAAAGCTTGTGAGAATGTAAATTTCAAATCAGTTTGATGAAATGTTGTATTTAAAAGTATTTGGGATGGGTCATGGTAATTAGAAGATTTGCATTATCTCGCATCTTTTTCTTAGGTGAGGTATCTTCCATTTTAGCTTGCTAGATATTATTTAAAGGTTTGTTAGTCTTCCCTGAAATTGAAATGAACAAATGATCCTGTATGCATGCACAAACAAACTTATAATGAATGGACATATAATTTTTTATATAATGATACAAAAACATTATTGTGTGTTCCAGGACTCGACGTGAAGTAAACTGCATTTGTGAGATGATTCCTTTGATGTTCAGCATTCATGACTTAAATTCTGCCAACACAGAAGACTGAAGAGGATTAATTGTGATATTTTGTTTCGTGGATTTGATGTAGATGATGTAAATCATGATGTTATGTTAGTAATTGTCATCCAACAAAAATTCTCCATGTTTATATTTGTTTAGACCACTTGTGTTCAATATATGTACATTGTACTTACTTCATTAGATATATAAGCGGATTTATGGGAAGTCAATTGTTACTGATAATATTTTCCCAATTTCAGTCAATCAAAGAACAAACTGCTGCTTTCAAGCAATGGCAGATAAGGCCCTGTAAATTTCCCTATGTTTGATAACAATCTTGTCATTACAACTCATATTAACACTTAAATGGTTTTTTTTTACACATCAGTGACAATTGCCTAGATGATCAGAAATCAAGCGCTTTAGCAAGAGGCTGGCATTGTGATGAATGCTTTATTATATATTTTTAATTTAGGTTCCACTGAACTGAAACATTTTTAGTGTGCAATTCAAGACATTGCAAGAAGCCTGGTAAATTTATTGTTTTGAGTTGACGTATTTAATTGGTAAACATTTTTTATATCATGTATATTCCAATCTACTGAGTGTGTAGTACCATGGCAAGGAAAATAAAAAAAGCCACAGGTAGCATTGCTATTGTTTAAATCTGTAATGTATATATTTATATGTGCTTTCATAAAATAAGTCAAAATCAGTGTTTTTTTCTGCAAGGTTACAAGTGACTGCTAGGTAGCATTTAATTAACTACCTAACTTTCATGGGGTTATTGCAGAATATATATATAATCCTTCGGGATTGGTTTTCTAATGCACTACCAACATGGTGCCAATATGTTTTATACTATATCCCAACAGAAAGTTCACACCCTCACACCTTCCTCTCTAACTCCTTCCTTTCTCTTTCTTCTCTTCTCTGTCTCTCCTCATCCTCTCTCACTCTTTCTGTCACACATCAAGTTTTGTATAAATTTTATGTGTTGTAATATCAGAACAATTTTACTATGGTTTGAATTATATGTGCAGCTTGCCATGCTATTTTATCTCGCAGATTTTTACCTCCAAAGTAATCATTCAGATAAGCTATATATATATTATAAAACATTGGACTCATTTGTACAGTAAAACAATGAAGGAACTCGCTTGAATGTATGCTTATTCAAACCAAATACATTTTATTTCAATGCCATGAAAGTGGATTGTTGTCATTCTTCGGCTTCTAGTTATGTCTCATTGATCACAAAACTTGTAAGAAGATGTAGGGCTAGTTGGAGTAACATGTGCAAGCCATTTCATTAGCATTGATGAGCTTTATAACATGCTTCTGTTTGATGGACACTGAGATTTAAATGCCATATTATTAGGTCATCCAAGATGAAGTCTCAAGCGACCAATTGCAGTTGTCTTGCGTCTGCAGTCGTCCTTCCATAAACAATTGACGTTTCTACTTCTTCTGAAAGACCCCTCATTCAGTTTCAATAAGGTATTAACAGAAACCATCCATGGACAAAGGTGAAACAAACCTGTGAATTATATGGTCCCCAATCCAAAGAGACAGGACCAAAAAGGGTCCAGTTGACTAAAAATTTCTCTCAAGAAAATTTTTCTCAAGACCCATATACATTTCAACACTCTTCATAGATGGAACACCTTTCAGGTGCTTTACCAAAATTATGAATGTTTTGACCCCCAAGTTTTGTATTTCCCTCTTTGAGAGGGGTAACCTCGGCTATAGTTTATTTAGGAAAATTACATTTTTAGACATTGTGTAATTTCCATTGGAAATAGTTCAGACTTTGTTAAAACTACTGTTTGTATAAGTATGGCATGGCAGTTTATTTGTACGCTCATAATTGACCCTGGCTGACCCCCATTGGCCCCACTGGCCTGATGGTTGGGGCAAAAGTGGGTCAACCTGATCAAAATGTTAATCATTTGTATAACATTTACAAAGTAGTTTGTTATCTTACTTTGTTCAATAAGGTGTTTGTTTTGACATGTCACAACATTTTTTTTTATGATAAAATTTAGGTGTGACATAAGCAGTTATGAATTTTGCAATATGAGGCACAAACTATATATTAAAAAGAAATTAATAAAATTCTATATGAAAGATGATGCATCGTTGTGCTTTTTATAACAAAAACAAGGTATTCAACACTGAAAGGTATATTGTGGCTTAAAGAGATACAAAATATAGTTTGGCGACTGATCTTGCATTGTCTGTTCATCCATCAGTCTATTTGTCCAGAGATCTTGTTAAGTTTTCAACAAATCTCTTTCAAACTTGATGGGTCATCATCATTTCTGAACATTTTCTTCGGGTTGGTAATGTCAATAGAATAGAAGTTTTTATACAATCAGCAGAAGATTGGAGTGTGACGTTTTGATGACTGCATGGTTACCTTTATCAGACAAACAACTAGAATGAAGTGTACTAGCACTGACATACCTAGTGTATGATATGGTAAGGAATCGACCAACTTTTTGTGGCCACGTTATAAAGAAAACATGAATATTTCTTTGCATGGGATGGATGTACATTGTTCATTCTCGTTCTGCTATTGTGAATACTTATGAGATTTTGTAAATATTAATATCCTTTGTGGACATTTCTAACCTGCCTTCCACGTTGCAGAATGCGTATACAAAATCTGGTGCAAGAAATACGAGGCATCATTTATCGGAGAAATAGGCAGGAAATTTGGGGACCGACTCAATGAACATGAAAAAAGCGGAATCCTAAGGCGGCAAAACATGCACAAGATTAGTGCGAAAACATTTACTGTCCCAGATCAATAAATTTGCACTTACAGATCATTCTACATACAAAAGGTTCACATTTCACACGCTAATATTCCTGGCAGTTGCTAAATTGAAATCCATCTATTCATAGTCCGTGATGTTATCAAGTCGGATACGTTTAATAAATCTCGTAACTATAAGAAACGGAAACGAAGGTAAAATTCCGTTTATCACATAATTTAGATACTTTGCAATCATTCATAAAGTATTTCATTAGACTGACCACTGTCACACTCGGTGATATATTTTCATATATTTTTCTTTGAAGACGTCACAATGCAAATGACGTAAAGAAGCTAATGACGATTACACATGATACATAATCGATGATATCGCACTGATAACATAGTAGTTATGTGATAATTGTAGATGTCATGTAAAATACATAAAATGAGACGTTAATAGGACGTAATATGCAGCAACAATTAACAATATAGAATTATTGTGTGTCCTGAACATTTGCTTAAACTATGGACATTCCATGTCATAAGATGTCATAATATATATCTACCTTACGTGATAGGAAATATATCTTATGTTTGCTAAAAGATTCATTGTATCGCTTCATTGATTACGTGGTCCACATTTTTCCATGAATAAATGTCAACCTGGTTTGCTATAGTCTACCAGTTTGATGTTATTTAGTGGTATGATACCTAGTTCCTGACTCATATATTTGGTCACGTGATTTTGTCGACGAGTAAACTCCAAAATAAATATGGCGCTGTCACAGAGAGTTTCCAACCGGGCAATGTGAAGGTATTGATATCTGTTTCATACATAAAGAAAAACTTGTCTTGTTTCACGACAACGTGAATTTATGTTTCATTTCGTTAGAAAAGTGAAAAACACCTTCCTCCAGAGTGATTTCAACGAGATATTTGGTGAAAATCATCTACTTTCCATTACTGGTAGCACTGGGATGCCGGACCGTGGATGTTAGTCCGAAGGTCCTGACTATGTATCCGCGACAATCAGAACCCTCCAGACTTCGTGAATGTATGTTTTACCCTCCCCGCAGAGATTTTTACATGAGGTTAATTATTGTTATACTGAAATAGTTTAAGGTCAAGCCGACCACATGCTTGTTCTACTCCATTAAATCAAGAGAATGTCTTGTTTATGACGTTTTCAGACATTGTATGGACTTATTTGTATTGGCACGTGGTCGATGAATGTCATTGATGTAAAAGAAAAAAGAGTCGATAGAAAGTCTGAAGAATTTTAACCATCTTCCTCCGCATCATCTACAAAGTCGTTAACAACGTATTGGTATCAAACTTGGTGCTCGAGCCTGCTCAGACTCTTACAACTGGGCGTTGGAATTTTTTACGAACAGATTTGACAGTGTCTAATATCAAGTGTAGGAACCAGTCACAAGTCAGCCATATAAAACATCTCTCAATTCACCTTAAAATAGAATACACATAGATATGGGTAAATTTTTCTATACCTCTCCCCTGCATATCTCGTAGAATAACAAAATTTGAATGACCAAAATTTGCCATGTACTGAAAGAATTTCTATGTGAAGTTATACATATGTATAGTTAATATATAAGCATACTTTTAATGGTGACAAGTGTTTGTATGCATCTTGTAGAATTTGTCCATATCTGTAAACAAAGCTCAAGTGAATTTTCATGAGCCTGCATTAAATGGTTAGGTGACACAGTGATAACACTCTTCATTCACTATGGTGATGCAGGCTCAATTTCATGATTCCACAAAAAGAGGTATTGGGTCACCTGCTGGAACCAATCATGCATGTTTTGAGGGTTTTGTGTCCTCACTTGTACACGTCCATCTGGTGTAACAAGACGATAAATATTTTTGATATAACTTGTTTTACAATCGTTGTAAAAGAGGAGAAACTGATAGTGTTGGTAGGGGTCTGCATTTGGCCTTTTTTTTCAAGTTTCTTTTATTTTTCAAAATTTTCATTAGAATGTATAAAACATTATTACACATAAATACATGTGTACTTGTTCAAGTATTTATTTGTGTTTTTATCACATTTTTATCGCATGTAACAGAAACTGATAACGTTGGTTGGGGTCTGTATTTGGCCGTTTCGTTACAGTTCCATTTTAGAATAACTTTATGCAAAGACCTTTCATTTGGACATTGATTGAAAGAATTTTTTGATAGCTTACAAGAAATTTGTTGAATATATATTCAATTTACCACTAAATGGCTTAAAACACAGGTTCCTGCATACACATGGTGAATAAGAAAAAAAACAAATGTATTTGAATAACAGGTAAACAACTTCAACTTACTGATATGTCTCTTGCCTCACTCCAGTCACAGAATGTGTTTCATAATACCTGTGTTCCTTCATATTTATATGAAACTGCAGACTTGTTTTTTTCAATTAATGAAAGCTTTTTATCTACATTACTGAATGTGCTTTAATGTTGTAAAGATTACCCAAAACATGGGTAAATCATTATTTTTTATTTGTCATGTTCTGGAATATCATGTTAATTATCGTCATCGATGAATTGTTATAATTTTTTTTTCAGTTTTGGACAAGCAGTGTGACAAGCTTTGCGATTTCACAGTGGTTTGTTTCATTGTTGATGACACCTCGGTCAACGTGCTGCATGTGTGCCTTTTATTACATTGACCCTGGTAAGCTGTTGTAATGGCTAACTCAGATTCAAGTAACAGTGTTGGTCATCAGCAAAATTCAGCCAACAATTACCATTCAAAATGGAACAATGGATTTAAAAGAAAGAGGTTTTTACTGAGATCTGAGGAAGTTGATAATGATGTTTTAAAGGATGACAATCATTTTACAAGTGTCCCTGATCTGGTCAACAGCTCACAGGAACATACACCAATATTCTGTGTCCCCAATAGCAATGAGGACCAGTTGCCAGACGTGGTCAGTCCTGTCACTCCAGACAAGATACATGATGCTGGTTTTAAGGAAGTACAAGGTAGACAGACAAGTGGTATATTAAAAAGAAATTCATCTGATAAAGCTTCTGACCCTAAAGTTCCATATAACAGAGGTGTTAGCTTTCAAAATGCTGAAAATTCGAAGGATGATAATCCAGATGAAGGTGAAGCAAAAAACCGACGTCGAAGTTTCAAAGATTCGGGATATGGGTCTGATGGGAGTAAGAATAACTCCATGGGCTCACAGAATCAAGAGGGTGATGTATTTGATGCAGAAGAACATACGTTAAAGGTTCTCGAAGAAAAGATGAATTCCAACACAAATGGTGAAATGTTACCAAACCTTAGTATCATGTCGTCACTAACCCCTACCAATTCTCTGCCCTCTTCACAGAAACAGTCATTTCACACTTCAAGCTCACACATTTCTGCAACAGAAGGGTCAGATTTGCCATGCCTCCCTGTGTTTTGTGGTGAGGAGAATGAGGAAAGCACTGGTGGCAACTTTCCATTAGTAAGTATGTTATCAAGAGATGACCAAAAAGCTTCATATAACTTTGTCAATAAAATGAACAGTATGCCAAGCAATATGAGTGCTAGTACAGGTAATGACAGTAGTGTGTGCCTTCCCAGTGATATCTCCGGCATGCCTGATCCCAGTTATCAAACTCCATCCTACCTCCACGTTCGTAAAAAATATACAAATGATGGCCAGCCTTTCTCAGACAATATGGAGTCGCAGGCACCTAAGACCATTGAAGAGCCACAGACAACACCTAGATCTCCATTTAGTATGCTTATACAGATGATACAGAATGACCAATCCTTATTGGAAAAGCATTTGCAGGACCCAGTTGAGTTCCTGAAGCTGCTGGATACATTCAAGATGTCTCCAAGCTTACCTTCACCATGTAAGTATAAGGCTTGATTATACTATCAAGCAAACAAAATATATTTGAGCTTGTAGAGTCCTCCAAATACATCATGGTTTGACTATTTACATTTTGTTGAAAGAAAAAACTTGTAATATGATATCGCAATATCTATTGATGTATAATAATATTTCCTTCGTATTAAGTCACAGTGCATGTTGAAACAGGACACATGTACTTTCACCACCAATCTCATTGAATTGATGTGATCGGTCAGCATCATTTGATGTGGCTAGTGTGATCGGTCAGCATCATTTGATGTGGTAGGTGTGGTAAGTGTAGCCTGTTATTATAACCATAACCCACTAGATGTGGTAGGTGTGGTCAGTAAGCATTGTTAGGTGTGGTAGATGTGGTCCAGTAATTGTGTTAGATGTGGCGTGTATGGTCAGTAAGCATTGTTAGATGTTGTGGGTGTGGTCAGTAAGTATTGTCAGATGTCGTGGGTGTGGTCAGTAAGCATTGTCAGATGTCGTGGGAGTGGTCAGTAAGCATTGTTAGATGTTGTGGATGTGGTCAGTAAGCATTGGTTTATGTTGTATTGTGGTTCAGCAATGGTGTTAGATGTGGTAGGTGTGGTCAGTAAGTGTTACATATGGTAGGTGTGATCAGTAGGCATTGTTAGATATGGTAGGTGTGGTCAGCGTTGTTAGATGTGGTAGGTGTGGTCAGTAAGTATTGTTAGATGTGGTGGGTGTGGTCAGTAAGCATAGGTTTATGTTGTATTGTGGTCCATTCAGCAATTGTGTTAGATGTGGTAGGTGTGGTCAGTAAGTGTTGTTAGATATGGTAGGTATGGTCAGTAAGCATTGTTAGGTGTAGTAGATATGGTCCAGTAATTGTGTTAGATGTGGTGTGTATGGTCAGTAAGTGTTATTAGATGTGGTGGGTGTGATAAGTAATCGTTGTTAGATGTGGTGGGTGTGGTCAATAAGTATTGTTAGATGTGGTGGGTGTGGTCAGCGTTGTTAGATGTGGTAGGTGTGGTTAGCGTTGTTAGATGTGGTGGATGTGGTAAGTAATCATTGTTAGTTGTGGTGGGTGTGATCAATAAGTATTGTTAGATGTGGTGGGTGTGGTAAGTAATCGTTGTTAGATGTGGTGGGTGTGGTCAATAAGTATTGTCAGATGTGGTGGGTGTGGTAAGTAATCGTTGTTAGATGTGGTGGGTGTGGTCAATAAGTATTGTCAGATGTGGTGGGTGTGGTAAGTAATCATTGTTAGATGTGGTGGGTGTGGTCAATAAGTATTGTTAGATGTGGTAGGTGTGGTCAGTAAGTGTTGTTAGGTGTGATAGGTGTGATACAGTAATTGTGTTAGATGTGGTAGGTGTGGTAAGTAATCATTGTTAGTTGTGGTAGGTGTGGTCAGTAAACATTGTTCGATGTAATAGTTGTTGGTAAGTAATCATTGTTAGTTGTGGTAAGTGTGGTCAGTGTTGTCAGATGTGATAGGTGTGGTCAGTAAGCGTTGTTTGGTGTGATAGGTGTGGTACAGTAATTGTGTTAGATGTGATAGGTGTGGTAAGTAATCATTGTTAGTTGTGGTAGGTGTGGTCAGTAAACATTGTTCGATGTGATAAGTGTTGGTTGGTAATCATTGTTAGTTGTGGTAGGTGTGGTCAGTAATTATTGTTCAATGGGATAAGTGTTGGTTGGTAATCATTGTTAGGTGTGGTAGGTGTGCTCACTGATATTTTTGTCTTCTTTCAGACCTTCCTAACCCAGGAAGACCACCAAACCATACTGAGGTGAGTAATCATTGACATTTCTTTTCAGAGTATATTATTATATTAGTGAGATCTTAAAAACAAGGTTGGAAGTAGCCATATCAGAGATAGCATACACAAATATCATGCTATAGTACCTACAACATTTTCAGAGAAATATAACTTGATGTAGTATCAGCATTTTGAAAAATTTATGAGATGTTGCATCATTAGAAAGATTGATAAAATCTTTAGGTCTGTACATGTATTTATTTTTATTTGCTTCTGAATATAGTTTCTTTAAAATGAGACATACTAATAAGCTTTTGTGCATCAGAGACGCACTGGCATGAACAACATATGTGAAATTTTACCTACCTAGTTGCACTTATTTTTAGATATGAGAAATGATTGTTATGTTAAGTCCTATGCTACTACACTGTAATGGAGGGTGAGCAGTGTGCTATATCTGTATTTCAGGTGTTGTCTGCAAGTGACCTGGAGTACATTTCCCGCTGCAGGGATAGTTCTTGCTCTGACACCAAGTGTAATAAGGTAATCTATGCAAGACACAGCTTCAAAATGAAAATGAGCATTCTTTACTCTTATTAGACTTTTAAATGCCAAAAACATTAACTCACAAAAACCCTTACATTATACACATAGTGTTATTCCTTTACAAGTCATCATACATGTAATGTAATTCTGTATAAAAACATTGTACACATGATGTAGTTCTTTGTAAAACATTGTTAACATAAAGTAATTTGATATAAAACAAAACATTGTACTTATATAATTATACATGTATATGAAATAAAAATTGATGTGAAAGTAAAACAAAGTAACCTATCATAATTGAAAATGTTACTGAGTATAGCAAATACTTGGTGTAGAATAATAACTTCTTATCCAATTTTGAATGGAATCAACTTGACATATTACCATCAACACAATATTCATTGGAAGGTTCAGTAGGTAATTTTAGTTCACCTGCTTGATGGGCAAGTGAACTTATGCCACGGTTCTGTATCCAGTGTCAGTTTTTCACTTCAAATGACTTATTCTCAATAGAAAATAGTCCAAGTTACTGATGTTGGGCCTGTAGCATGCTGGGATGAAAAGCTACCAAGTTTGTTCAAGTGAATGACCTTTACCCACTTTTATGGCCACAGAGGTCATATTTCTTGGATTTTTATTCTGAAAATTTTTCATTACTTTCTTCTTGTGAAGTACTGCATGGATCGCTCTCAGATTTGATATGTAGGTTCCCATCTGTGATTAGTTGTGCTCTTTTGATTTTAGGGATGATCAGAAAAACAATATGGCTGACAAGTGACCATTTTGGATTTGACCATTAAAAATTATTATCACTAGTTCTTATGAGAAATTTTCAGATTTTATATGATCAAGTGTAAAATAACGGAAAGAAGAGAAACAAAAGGAAAGGATTCAATCTTGTTAGAAGAAATGAAACTGTAACAAAGGTAGGCGCTAAGGTTCCTCTGAGATTTCCATAATTGTTTTTTATTACAGGTGCGTGAGGCTGTAGTTGGCCTAACTCAGGCACTCACTGGTTGCTGGTCACTAGAGTGCAACTCTACCATCCAACAGGTGGGCCAGGCATTGTATCATCATGCGCAAAATTGTGGTCATTCATTGTACAAGTGTGACATATCCATGTGTCACCTCTTTCGCAGGTAAAAATACGATGTAGCTAGAATATGTTTATCTAGTCTAATAGCAAGCTTGATGGTCTTCAACTAGAAGACAATTGAATGCTTTTCTTCCACTTACTATTTACTAAAGTCTAACTTCTTATTTGAGGCTAACCTTTTTGTAATTTCCACATCACATGATATTAGCAATGATTAAGTTAAGCAAAGTAGACTCTATTACGCCATTCTATGATTGATGTTGATTATTGCTCTTTTATTTTATGGTGATAAACTTGGCATAAGTAAATCTTGTGCATAAAAAAAACTGTTTTGTTATCTTCATTCATAGCAGACAATTCTTTGGTTCATACTTTGACAGTTTAATGGAGATGGGGAAATGTCTCATTATTGCATCAATTTTATGGTCATTATTGAATTTTCTTATCTTTTTGTAAGGAATTGTATCTGAGGTTTTGTTTTTATAATCATTACACTAAATTTTTAGGAAAATGAGTGATTTGAGAAGGTTATTTACATGAAAGTGTCATATTTGGATTTATATTATGTTCTGTCTGTTTGTTACAGTTTTACTGATGATATTGAGAAAGTGTCCCAGTTCTTGCGTTGTCACAGTTTACCATGCCTTAGTCTTGGCCAAAGGTTTACTGAGTATCCTGCCAAGGGCGAGTTCATACAGGTAAGGGAGAATGTATACCTGTACAGGTGAATTTATTTAAGTAAGATAAAATTTATGTAGGTAAGTGAGCAATTATATAGTAAAGGCAGAATAGGATAGGTAGGTAAGGAAGAATTCAGATAGATGGGGGGAATTTATACAGCTGAGGGAGAATTTATATAGGTTATGGATAATCAATACAGGTGACAGTTTGCACAGGTAAAAGAAAATTGCTACAGATAGTGAAGATTTTGCATAGATAGGGGAGTATTTATTTATACCCAACATAAGAAATTTTACAGGGGTAATTTACACAGGTAAGGGAGAATTTATAAAGATAAGAGAGAATTTAAGCAGACAATATTTTACACAAGTAAGGGAGAATTCATGCAGGTAAGAGAGAATTTAAACAGGGAAGAATAGTCATTATTACATTTGTTGAATTTTATCTTCTGGTGCTCTTGAGTACTTTGTGGATGAAACAAGTGAAGGGACATGATGATTGTGCCCCTACCTTGATTCCCAATTTGTGATATCGTAAACACCCAACACACCCAACACACCCACCCACTTCTCTCAACCACAGGGAGAGGTTATACCAGAATTACTGTCAGTCCATCTCCCACTAACTCACTGATCTGTCAAATGCTGCCTTATCTAACTGACAATTAGTAAAATTTTTACAGAGGTTTAAAAGTACAAAAGATTTCATTAACAGCCTTTGACAGATTGTTTAGGTTCATTTTCCACAGGAGATATATTACTGTAGAATCATTAATTGTTGATGGGGGATTCATTTTCTTTAAGTTTGTGAGTACTCCTAATCCAGAAATTCAAATGTCCATCAAATGATAAGCAGAAATAAGTTGACCTATATTATAGTACTAGTGGACTTTATGAGGAAGAATTGTCAACAAAATCTAGTGACAATAAAAATAAACATTTTCATAAAACTATGAAACTTTAGCCTCATAAAAATATATGATTTTCAGTAGTTGTCCTCGAGATAATATTTTTAGTTTGTTGCAGCTTGACAAACCTGGCTCTGAAAATGGTGTTCCTAGTCCTGACATGATTCTTATCACCACATTTGGTAGCTATGGAAACGTTGCCATGTTTACAGAGGAGGATACTAAGGTGGAAAGTAAAGACCTGATATTAAAACGTGTAAGTAGTAAGACAGGGTATTGAAGTGTAGAAGTAGTAAGACAGGGTATTGAAGTGTAGAAGTAGTAAGACAGGGTATTGAAGTGTACAAGTAGTAAGACAGGGTATTGAAGTGTACAAGTAGTAAGACAGGGTATTGAAGTGTACAAGGTATTGAAGTGTACAAGTAGTAAGACAGGGTATTGAAGTGTACAAGTAGTAAGACAGGGTATTGAAGTGTACAAGTAGTAAGACAGGGTATTGAAGTGTACAAGTAGTAAGACAGGGTATTGAAGTGTACAAGTAGTAAGACAGGGTATTGAAGTGTAGAAGTAGTAAGACAGGGTATTGAAGTGTAGAAGTAGTAAGACAGGGTATTGAAGTGTAGAAGTAGTAAGACAGGGTATTGAACCATGTAAGTGGTGAAACCATATGTTATGAAAATTTGTAAATTGTTAGACAAGATGTTGTAGTGTGTCAATAAAACCTTATGTTGAAGGGTATAAGCTGTGATGTTTAGGCATTCTCATATTAGACATGTTGTAGAAGCATGTAAGTTAACTCCAATGATCATTATGAAGGATTTCTGTTGGTGCAGATTTTGAAAAAAGATCTTGGAAAGAATAACTTGGTGGAGGTATATAGACAGATGAACCATGTGGGTCACCAGCACATCGTTCCCCACTTGTGGATCTTCAACACAGTTGATTTTCTGTATGTATGTACAGATTTCATGTGTGGTAAGTGTTGGTTGATCCTTGTTGTGAATGTTTACTGTTATTTCTGTTGAGAAAGTTCATGAATGTTGTATCATGTGATCTTATTCTTATACCTTAATGTAAATCAAATTTACAAATCCTTCACTTTGTATATGACAGGTGGCACACTGGAAGAATACAAAGACTTGCATATATTCCTGCGACCAGACGAGGCTGCATTTATAATGCAGCAGTTACTTGAAGCTCTGACATTCCTTCATGAAAAGCAGATCATTTACCTATACTGGACAGGTAACCATTTGTAACTACTTTACATATCATTTACCTGTACTGGACAGGTAACCGTTTATAACTACTTTACATATCATTTACCTGTACTGGACAGGTAACCGTTTGTAACTACTTTACATATCATTTACCTGTACTGGACAGGTAACCGTTTATAACTACTTTACATATCATTTACCTATACTGGACAGGTAACCCTTTATAACTACTTTACATATCATTTATCTATACTGGACAGGTAACCGTTTATAACTACTTTACATATCATTTACCTATACTGGACAGGTAACCCTTTATAACTACTTTACATATCATTTACCTGTACTGTACATGTAAGCTTTTAGACCTACTTTACATATCATTTACCTATACTGGACAGGTAACCCTTTATAACTACTTTACATATCATTTACCTGTACTGGACAGGTAACCCTTTATAACTACTTTACATATCATTTCCCTGTGCTGTACATGTAAACTTTTATGCTTGTTTACATGTCATCTGTACTGGACAGGGATGTTTTTGTCTCTACCTATAGACCATTTACCTGCACTGACAAATAAGTATAGGTCTTTTTCATGTTCTGAACTGATACGGCTGTCTGACAGTTTAATTCCTGTACTGACACTTATCTGATCTCATATAAAACAGGAAATTTCAGTTAAATTTTCAGTGAAATTTACCAGATTTCCTGAATCATGCCAGTGTTAAAACGTAAGTGATCAACATCACTGTTGTGTTATTAATACCAGAATATCTCTTTGCCATTATATTACGATTATATATAGTTGTGTCACATATGTATATGTGGCTGACAGGTGAAGACACGATGATCACTAAATAATATTTTCATTGTTTTCAGCATCGAATGTGCTTTTTAAGGATACAAGTCGTAACAAGGTGTACCTATCCAATCTGTCCATGTCAGTCAGCAAAAGTCAAAAAGTGGATGTGGCCTTCTACAAGAGTTCACTGCCAGCCTGTATTGTACCCCCTGAGGTGAGTATATTGTACCTTTGTGTGGGTGTGTTTTGCCTTTCTATATATTTTGACCTGTGACAGTCACCTGTACCTGAAGAAGAGATGTGAAGTCTATATATATATACTGTCCAAAATTGTGACCCGTACATAGATAACTATTCTCCAAGATTGTGACTTGTACCTAGAGCAGAGGTGTGAGACTATTACTATATATTTATCTACTGTCCTAGATGTTGACCTGTATCTAGAGGAGAGGTGCTAAGTCTATACTATATATTTATCTATTGTCCTAGATTGTGACCTATGATGTTGACCTGTATCTAGAGGAGAGGTGCAAAGTCTATACAATATATTTATCTATTGTCCACGATTGTGACCTGTACCTTAAGGATATATGTGATGTCTGTACTTTATATATTTTCTGCCCTAGCTTGTGACTTGTGATGGTGACATGTACCTAGAGGAGAGATCAGATGTATGGGGAGCTGGTTGTCTTTATGCTGAGATGCTAACTGGTAAACAGATGTGGCAAGATTTAAGACATTCAAGTAGAGCGGCAGTATTCAAAGAGGTATGTTCTCTTTCTTAATGTGTCACCAAACAAATAGTTGTTAAATCACTTATATGACAGTCCTTTGGAATGAAATTAAAGTCTGCTTAAATGTCATCTTGATATCTCAAACTTACTAGCTTTGATAAATAAATATGCTTATGATGATGAAGACTAAATATATGACTCAGCAGTGATAGACACAGATTCATCGAGGTTGTGCGATATGATACAAGTGGATACTATTTTTTTTTAATTCATATTTTGTGATACAATGTAGCAACTTCTTGAGATAAGATCAAGATTACTGTTACTAAAATTAGATCATGGGATTTACCAGTTTAATTATCAGTTATAATAAATTGTAAATAGCCCTTTCTCACCTGCCATTGTACATTTTGATTCATTGTAATACAATTAATGTCTAATGTGAAAAATTTGTGAAAAACATGTCCGAGGACTGAGGACTGTCCGACAAGGATGTATATTTGCTATTATCAATGACTTTAGATATATATTTCTGTAAATTTGAGGTCATCAGACCTGAAGGGTCATGATAACCTAAAGTCATCATGCTTCGTCCATCATTGTCGGCCATGGACAAACTTTTGACATTTCTAAAAATTAGTGGGAAAGTTAAGGAAAGGTAGCCATTAAAGTGTTATTATTTTTCAACCTGATCAAACTTCGATACGGCAGCCAGGGAGGCCATTTTGTAACATGATTGCGCAAACATGGTTTTCCTATGCAACTTCTATTTCAAACTTCTCCTCAAGTTTCACCACTTTGATTGAGCTCCAACTTGTCTGAAATGATCTTGAGATGGTCCTAACTAAGTGTTGTTACTTCTTCTCAAGTTTCACCAGTTGGATTGAGCTCCAACTTTACTGCCAAAAAATAGGTAACACTTGTTACAGTTACCTACTCCTCACCAAAACTACCATCTGCATCATGGAAAATGGCTTCTTACTTAGATTTCATTCAAAGTAAAAAAAATAACCCTTCTCCTTGAGGAAAGTTTGTAGTCAGATGACTGTTAAGGCCCACAGGCCTCTTGTACAATTTTGTTTGCATTTGGATAATGATGTTAATCAAGTAGCAAATTTGCCACTAAATGAATGAGAACATGTTGTCTGAATCCCTTTTGGCTTACCTGGTATCTAGTGGTAAGTGGTACCTGTAGTTGCCAATAAACATAAAGATCTACTTACAAAATTCTGAAATCCAAGGTTAATAAGTAGAATGGTGAGGAGGCAGATCAATGTGTGTGTATAATTCAGATTGGTTATTTTCATATTATAGATGATGAGTAGCATTGGTAACATGATGTGTGCAACAAAAGACAAAGTACCAGCCCACCTCCGAAGTCTGCTGACTGACCACTGCTGGCAGGTAACTGTTCATGGCACTGAGTAGGGCTGACACTAATATTCTATAAATGAGGTTTTTTTAGGCCACCTGAGACAAAGTCTCATGGTTACCTGTTGCAGTTATCTTTTGTCCTTTGTCAGGTGTAGGTCAATATAAACAATTAACATCTTCTGAAAAAACCTGTACCAATTGTGATGAGACTTTTTATAAACCTTTTATGAAAAAAATAGGGAATCAAAAATTGTAAATAATATGCCCCCTCCTCCCCCCATTTAAAAAAAGTCTACTTTAGAATACCCAGATACAGTAGAATCAAGTAATCTATAATGATGGAAAGGTCTTATGGAGCTTTACCAAAATAGTAAATCATGATTCCAGGGTCTCACATTTTTTCCCAGGGGAGGGTACAGTTTACTTTAGCTTATATGGAAAAATACATTTTTGAGCATAATATATTTAATTTCCATTTGAAAAAATTTGAACTCTGTCAAATTTTTAGTATAGGATTTATATGATGACAGGCTAGTCGCTCAGGAAACTGATGGATGGGGCCAAAAGGGTTCAAATTTCACTGTAAAACTCAACTCATTTTCATTACTGAATTGTAACTTGTCCGAGGTCAAAGGGTATTAGCTACAATTTTAGTCATTCCTTAACACAATCTAGGTTAGTTCAAACCTGACAATTTACCAAATGAAATCACAATCAGTATAAATCACTACAAAGATTCTACTAACATCAATCAATTCTGTAAAGCATGTCGAAGAGTGGATGTATTGGCAGCCAAACAATGGCTTAGAAACCCTATGATGAAGAAGATAGAATCTGGGAGTTGTTTTTGTAAATTAAAACATTTAGAGAAATTCCTGGAATTAACATCTTGATATACTTTTTAGTCACAGTTATGTGTTTAGATTGTTTATATTGTTTTTTTTCAACAGCACAATGTGGAAAACAGGATAACAGTGGCTGGTCTAAAGGAAAAACTCACCCAACTACATCAACCCACATAGTTTCAAGTCATCTCATCAACACTACACCAGGTTGACTTATCAAGACAGAGTGACATTATCAGGTGTAGAACATTCTGATAACATCACTGTATCTGATGAAAGTTCATACTCTCAGCTACTTCAGCTTTAAGAAGATAGTTTTTTTTACTTGGTTTGAACATGTGCTGGACATATGGAAAGCCATCAGAAAGAAATGTGCCATATTTACTTGATCTAAATGCATTTTGTTAAATTGTTGGATCCATCCTTCATGTGTTGTAATTCATTTTGTTAGGGAAAAAGTGGTATTATGTGTTGTCATAAAGAAATATATACATATGTATGATTACTGACCTTCAATATCAACTTTAATTTATAAATGGCATTTTAACTTGTTACTGATACAGTCTTACTAACCAAGCAATAGTTTTTCTGCAAAAGTAGGCAAATGATTCTAATTCCCTTTTAATAAGTTATTTTTTTAAAAATGCCCATGTAAGAAGTGCCTGACCTGTCAACCGTCTTGATGAAGATCTGGATCTTTGATCGTCTACATACTTGTACCATCATTATGTTGTTAAAGGCTTTGAATCTTGGTACATGTATATAAAGTATTTTACAATCTGTTTTCGGTAACCTGGGCATTCATTGATTGCACTTGTTTAACAATTCTTTTGGGTGTTATATGTTCATGAATTGGCATTGAGGTTGTGCGATATGACACAAGTGGATACTATTTTTTTTTAAAGACAAATTGTGACCAATAGATTTGAAAACATGAATGAAATCTTGATTGTAAAAATTTAAGCCTTATATCAAATACTCTCAGCTGAGGTTACAATTAACAGGTATTCTTGTTACATTACTTGTTGATCCTGCTACTAATGGAATCTGGCACTAATTGACATCTGAGTATACCAATGTAACCCTGGTAAAATACTAGCAGCAAAATACCCCTTGGCTAGGGAGAACTTCTCTTAAGCTCGATTGGTTGAGCGTCAGACTAGTAAGCCAGGGGTCCAGGGTTTGATTCCTAGTGGATGCATTAAAATAAGTAATGACCTCTGTTACATAGGCACCCATGTAGGGACCCAGGAATAATACTTGGCCATGCCCCACCAGCATTGCTGTAACCCTTGGAAACTTTAGGACAAGTTATTTCCTGGAGGGGGAGTATGCAACCCTGGTAAAATACTAGCTGTAATATACCACTCCTAGGGAGAACTTCTCTTTAGCTTGATTGGTTGAGCATGAGACTAGGTCCTGAGTTCGATTCCTAGTGGAGGCATTGAAAAAAAAAAGACCTCTGTTATGCCAACATCAAAAATGGAATTCTGTTATAGATTAAACAAGTGTCGCTTGATAGATTACACCATGTGTTCAATAATGGTGTGATATATATCTTATGATATTGTTTGTTACACAATCATGTGATAAAGTTATCTGTAATTGCCTGTATACATGTCATAGATATGTGTACCTTACCTAACTAATTGTACACAGTAGGAATATGATCCTTGTTATGTGGTGTATGTAGTCTGTGTACTGTTACATAGGAGGAACATGATCCTGGTTATGTTGTGTACATAGTCTGTGTACTGTTACATAGGTCTACATACATAGGAGGAATATGATCCTTGTTATGTGGTGTATATAGTCTGTGTACTGTTACATAGGTCTACATAGTCTGTGTACTGTTACATAGGTCTACATAGTCTGTGTACTGTTACATAGGTCTACATAGTCTGTGTACTGTTACATAGGAGGAACATGATCCTGGTTATGTTGTGTATATAGTCTGTGTACTGTTACATAGGAGGAACATGATCCTGGTTATGTTGTGTATATAGTCTGTGTACTGTTACATAGGTCTACATAGTCTGTGTACTGTTACATAGGTCTACATACATAGGAGGAATATGATCCTTGTTATGTGGTGTATATAGTCTGTGTACTGTTACATAGGAGGAACATGATCCTGGTTATGTTGTGTATATAGTCTGTGTACTGTTACATAGGTCTACATACATAGGAGGAATATGATCCTGGTTATGTGGTGTATATAGTCTGTGTACTGTTACATAGGTCTACATAGTCTGTGTACTGTTACATAGGTCTACATAGTCTGTGTACTGTTACATAGGTCTACATAGTCTGTGTACTGTTACATAGGAGGAACATGATCCTGGTTATGTTGTGTATATAGTCTGTGTACTGTTACATAGGTCTACATACATAGGAGGAACATGATCCTGGTTATGTTGTGTATATAGTCTGTGTACTGTTACATAGGTCTACATAGTCTGTGTACTGTTACATAGGTCTACATACATAGGAGGAATATGATCCTTGTTATGTGGTGTATATAGTCTGTGTACTGTTACATAGGAGGAACATGATCCTGGTTATGTTGTGTATATAGTCTGTGTACTGTTACATAGGTCTACATACATAGGAGGAATATGATCCTGGTTATGTGGTGTATATAGTCTGTGTACTGTTACATAGGTCTACATACATAGGAGGAATATGATCCTTGTTATGTGGTGTATATAGTCTGTGTAATGTTACATAGGAGGAACATGATCCTGGTTATGTTGTGTATATAGTCTGTGTACTGTTACATAGGTCTACATAGTCTGTGTACTGTTACATAGGTCTACATAGTCTGTGTACTGTTACATAGGTCTACATACATAGGAGGAATATGATCCTTGTTATGTGGTGTATATAGTCTGTGTAATGTTACATAGGAGGAACATGATCCTGGTTATGTTGTGTATATAGTCTGTGTACTGTTACATAGGTCTACATACATAGGAGGAATATGATCCTTGTTATGTGGTGTATATAGTCTGTGTACTGTTACATAGGAGGAACATGATCCTGGTTATGTTGTGTATATAGTCTGTGTACTGTTACATAGGTCTACATACATAGGAGGAATATGATCCTGGTTATGTGGTGTATATAGTCTGTGTACTGTTACATAGGTCTACATAGTCTGTGTACTGTTACATAGGTCTACATACATAGGAGGAATATGATCCTTGTTATGTGGTGTATATAGTCTGTGTACTGTTACATAGGTCTACATACATAGGAGGAATATGATCCTTGTTATGTGGTGTATATAGTCTGTGTACTGTTACATAGGAGGAACATGATCCTGGTTATGTTGTGTACATAGTCTGTGTACTGTTACATAGGTCTACATACATAGGAGGAATATGATCCTTGTTATGTGGTGTATATAGTCTGTGTACTGTTACATAGGAGGAACATGATCCTGGTTATGTTGTGTATATAGTCTGTGTACTGTTACATAGGTCTACATAAATAGGAGGAATATGATCCTTGTTATGTGGTGTATATAGTCTGTGTACTGTTACATAGGAGGAACATGATCCTGGTTATGTTGTGTATATAGTCTGTGTACTGTTACATAGGTCTACATACATGGGAGGAATATGATCCTGGTTATGTGGTGTATATAGTCTGTGTACTGTTACATAGGTCTATATATTTTACTGTTATTGTACACAGGAGGAATGTGATCCTGGTTATGTCATATATATGATCTGTGTACTGTTACATAGGTCTATATATTTTACTGTTATTGTACACAGGAGGAATGTGATCCTGGTTATGTGATGTATATGGTCTGTGTACTGTTACATAGGTCTGTATATTTTACTGTTATTGTACACAGGAGGAATGTGATCCTGGTTATGTGATGTATATGATCTGTGTACTGTTACATAGGTCTGTATATTTAAATGTTATTGTACACAGGAGGAATGTGATCCTTGTTATGAAGGAATGTGATCCTGGTTATGTGATGTATATGATCTGTGTACATTGGTCTATATATTTAACTGTTATTGTACACAGGAGGAATGTGATCCTGGTTATGTGATGTATATGATCTGTGTACATTGGTCTATATATTTTACTGTTATTGTACACAGGAGGAATGTGATCCTGGTTATGTGATGTATATGATCTGTGTACATTGGTCTATATATTTTACTGTTATTGTACACAGGAGGAATGTGATCCTGGTTATGTGATGTATATGATCTGTGTACATTGGTCTATATATTCAACTGTTATTGTACACAGGAGGAATGTGATACTTGTTATGTGATGCATACAGTCTGTGTACTTACATAGATCTGCATACTTAATTGTTATTACTAACAGGAGGACTATGATCCTTGTTATGTGTTGTACATAGTATATGTACATAGATCTAAATACATATCTGTTATTTCAGTCTATGTACATTGTCCAATCTTGTTGTTTCAATATACATTGCTATTTGTGCTTTTGAGTGCTATCCAGTTATCAAATATCAATATCACTAATGATTATTTCTTGTTGTTATTTCTTACATTTATTCACATACAGATTTCCTACCTTTTTGCTGATTTTAGTCTTTTTCATAATTTTAACATGAACCATTGATCCAAAATTTCAAATTTTACCTATGAATAGGACTTAAAACATTCAAATTTCCTTTCGTTTCATGCCGGTACTTCCCCTGATGCATGCACTTGGATGTCTATATAGCTGACCTAATGTTGATATTGAGAAGCACATGTATGGAGAGTTACTCCAGTTACAGTACAGAAGTGTGTTGGTTGTGTCTATAGTGCAGTAATGTATTGGGCATGTCTACAATCCAGTTAGTCACAGCACAGTAGTTTTGCATAGAAGATTGATCCTATTTTAATCGGTTGTTTACCGGATATGTGTCTCAAAGCATAGCATGACAAATGAATAAGTTACAAATTTTAAAAAAAGTATTTTGTTACTTAATATGCTAGTGATGTCTTTTATTTCAATAAACAGATATAAGTATGAATATATGAAACAAAAAATGTAATGTGAAAGGCATGGACCCGCACCCACTCTCGTACACATAACTTAGTGAAATTGATACCATGATACAAATATTGTACATATTTATATCCTCAAGAGTAAAAAGTCCCGTCAACAATATTTTGAAATAAAACTTGCTTTTGTATATTGTATTACATGCACACCAGTAAATGAATTTTAAATCATAAAAAAATGTGCCAATGACAAACTAGTATTTTTTCAATCTGTATCAGCATGGTAGTTATTGCTTGCTTTTTCCTTTGCTTTTTGGCGGCCATGTGGATCAAAAAAGGACACAAAATACAGCAGATTTACAGTCAACAGACTATAACTTTCACTTGCGCACCTGTGCAAAACACAGGGATTCATGTTTGATCGAAAATTACAAAAGGGCACTTTAACACAGATAAGGCTGACCGATCATACACATTCATCAGGTACGAAGAAAGTCAAAATGCAGTACAATAGTGTATTGAGCGTGTCTACAGTCACAATACAGTACAACAGTGTATTGAGCGTTCCTACAGTCTAAATGCAGTACGATAGTGTATTGAGCGTGTCTACAGTCAAAATGCACTACAACAGTGTATTGAGCGTGCCTACAGTCACAATGCAGTACAACGGTGTATTGAACGTGCTTACAGTCTAAATGCAGTACGATAGTGTATTGAGCGTGTCTATAGTCACAATACAGTACAACAGTGTATTGAGCTTTTCTACATTCAAAATGCAGTACAACAGTGTATTGAGCGTGCCTACAGTCTAAATGCAGTACGATAGTGTATTGAGCGTGTCTCCAGTCACAATACAGTACAACAGTGTATTGAGCTTTTCTACATTCAAAATGCAGTACAACAGTGTATTGAGCGTTCCTACAGTCACAATGCAGTGCGATCGTGTATTGAACATGCCGTCCGTCACAATGCAGTACGACAGTGTATTGAGCGTGTCTACAGTCAAAATGCAGTACAACAGTGTATTGAGCTTTTCTTCAGTCAAAATGCAGTACATCAGTGTATTGAGCTTTTCTACATTCAAAATGCAGTACAACAGTGAATTGAGCGTGTCTACAGTCACAATGCAGTACGATAGTGTAATAAGCGTGTCTACAGTCAAAATGCAGTACAACAGTGTATTGAGCTTTTCTTCAGTCAAAATGCAGTACAACAGTGTATTGAGTTTTTTTACATTCAAAATGCAGTACAACAGTGTATTGAGCTTTTCTACAGTCAAAATGCAGTACAACAGTGAATTGAGCGTGTCTACAGTCACAATGCAGTACGATAGTGTAATAAGCGTGTCTACACAGTCAAAATACAGTACAAAAATGTATTGAGCTTTTCTACAGTCAAAATGCAGTACAACAGTGTATTGAGCGTGCCTACAGTCAAAATGCAGTACGATAGTGTATTGAGCGTGCATACAGTCACAATGCAGTACGATAGTGTATTGAGCTTTTCTACAGTCAAAATGCAGTACAACAGTGTATTGAGCTTTTCTACATTCAAAATGCAGTACAACAGTGTATTGAGCTTTTCTACAGTCAAAATGCAGTACAACAGTGAATTGAGCGTTCCTACAGTCACAATGCAGTACGATAGTGTATTGAGCATGCCTATAGTCACAATGCAGTAGGATAGTGTATTGAGCGTGTCTACAGTCAAAATGCAGTACAACAGTGTATTGAGCGTGTCTACAGTCACAATGCGTGTGCACAGTCAATACAGTACAGTATAGTGTATTGGCCTTTTCTTCTGTGCAGTAACAGTGTAGGGCATGTCTACAATCCAGTTACCTACCTAACAATAATGTTTGGAACCTTGGTGAAATGAATCATGAGTTTCAGGGAGTTGATGCCAGAAAGAGTCTTGGTTACATCTGGCGATTCTAACAATTGTATTAGTGTTTGTAATGCTCTGTCCTTTTCAGTTTTATTTATTTGTAATCTTCCACGTGCGAAATGTCCCTGTCTCACCCTATTCACTTCCTGACACACCTGCAAAGGAATATTAAATGAGCTGCAGTTTTGTAGTAAGTAGACGCCCACAGCTAGATCAGATGTATAGTGGGGCGTGCCTTTCCACCAGGCTGGTCCATATATCTTGATCACCTCCTCCACACTCTCCGGCCACTCTGAAGAATCGACCTTACTCCACTGTATCTTATCCTCTTTGGGGTGGTATCTGTGATATATCAAGATCTGGGTACGCCATTGTGTACAGGTGGGACACCACTGTGACAGATCCCCTTTTTGTTTACTGCAGTTGTCTCCACATTTCTTTAGTCCCACACACGGCCCATATTTGATACTTCTGTGGAGATGTATCATCGTGTCTTTCAGGTAGTCCACCATGCCATGGGTAGTCGTGGAAATACCTACCGCCAGTTCGTGCCAGTTTTGGAATTTACTTTCCTGAGACTGCTCTCTCGGTAGTTGCATCATTTACTGCAAAATTTTAAATTGAGATGAAGTAAATAGGCACCACATATGGGCAAGTAAATGCTGTACTTAATACAATAAAATTAATCAAGTCTCTAGAATTTTGTACACAAAATATAAAACTAGAGGGAACAAAATAGATTGATTTGCACGAGGTGGACATAATACAAACCGTTCGAGAATGTCGTACAAAACAATCATAATACAAGGAGTTCGAGAATGTACAAAACAGTCATAATACAAGGAGTTCGAGAACGTTGTACAAAACAATTATAATACAGGGAGTTCGAGAACGTTGTACAAAACAATTATAATACTGGGAGTTCGAGAATGTACAAAACAGTCATAATACAAGGAGTTCGAGAATGTTGTACAAACAATCATAATACAGGGAGTTCGAGAAAGTTGTACAAAACAATCATAATACAGGGAGTTCGAGAATGTTGTACAAAACGGTCATAATACAGGGAGTTCGAGAATGTTGTACAAAACAATCATAATACAAGGAGTTCGAGAATGTTGTACAAAACAATCATAATACTGGGAGTTCGAGAATGTTGTACAAAACAATCATAATACTGGGAGTTCGAGAATGTTGTACAAAACAATCATAATACAGGGAGTTCGAGAACGTTGTACAAAACAATCATAATACAGGGAGTTCGAGAAAGTTGTACAAAACAATTATAATACAAGGAGTTCGAGAATGTTGTACAAAGCAATCATAATACTGGGATTTCGAGAACATTGTACAAAACAATCATAATATAAGGAGTTTGAGAACGTTGTACAAAACAATCATAATACAGGGAGTTCGAGAATGTTGTACAAAGCAATCATAATACTGGGAGTTCGAGAACGGAGTTCGAGAACGTTGTACAAAACAATCATAATACAGGGAGTTCGAGAATGTTGTACAAAACAGTTATAATAATGTACAAAACAATTATAATACTGGGAGTTCGAGAATGTACAAAACAGGGAGTTCGAGAATGTTGTACAAAACAATCATAATACAGGGAGTTCGAGAACGTTGTACAAAACAATCATAATATAAGGAGTTTGAGAATGTTGTACAAAACAATCATAATATAAGGAGTTTGAGAATGTTGTACAAAACAATCATAATATAAGGAGTTTGAGAATGTTGTACAAAACAATCATAATACAAGGAGTTTGAGAATGTTGTACAAAACAATCATAATATAAGGAGTTTGAGAATGTTGTACAAAACAATCATAATATAAGGAGTTTGAGAGTGTTGTACAAAACAATCATAATACAAGGATTTTGAGAGTGTTGTACAAAACAATCATACAAGGGGCGCGATAGTGTACAAAAAAAACATAATACAACCGGTAGATATATGAGAATGTTGTTCAAAACATTCCTAATGTTGTACAAAACAATCATAATATAAGGAGTTTGAGAATGTTATACAAAACAATTAATACAAGGGTTGGATGCCTGACCATTGGTACTCAAAACATTCCTAATTTAAGGGTTGGATGCCTGACCATTGGTACTCCCCTGGTACTCCGGTGTATCCCCACAGTAAGACCATTTGCGCCCTCCTAGCCAGGCCAACAAGTACAATTAATGTGAGTTGCAAAAACTTGCTTGGCAATTGTAAAGCAAATAAAGTTTAATTCAATTTTGCTGTACAAAACCATCATAATACAAGGGATCTTGACTTATTCAAAACAACCATAATACAAAGGGTTCGAGAGTGTACGAAATCAACTCAATAATACATGAGGGAGGGAGTGTTGTACTTTGGGGGAATCCAAACCTGAGTTATATGACAAATGAATCACCTTTAGATTTGTTCTTTTCTTTTTGTTTGTTTTTTTTTACGGAAGAATAAAAAGATTCATGACTTTATAGAGGCCATATATCTCACTTACTTTCGAAAGAGATAACAAAACACATTTGCAAAAGATATACGTGTAGCGTAGGGAAACCCCATCAAATACATCTGTGACATGTGATTTTGAAATATCGAACATTTTATGCAGATACTGGTTTGTACTGTCTACCGGAAGATATTATCTTATGTTCAATCCATTTGATATTGGTGTTCTGCATGGTTCATAACTTAGGGATGCTGTTTCTGTTTACTATAGTACCTCACATACTATATACATCATGATTCTGTATTCATTTGTGATGACGATGCATCTCAGTATGTGAAAGATAAAACACAAAGATTGTTGTAAACGACAAGTGATTGACACATTTTAACTAAGATTTAGAGTTAGATTCACTAAAGCCAAAGTAAGACTTAAACTGTGTCATACAGCACAGCTGTTTTGGCATTCTGGGGCTCGTCAGTGATGCTAAGGCCTAGATGTTGAAGCTCAGGAAACGACTGAGGAAAATCAAGTGATCAAAAGAAAAGTTTAAATCTGGACAGGGAAGTGCACTAGCCCCATCATTTAAACTAAGTGTAAATATAAGTAAATTACATGGTAAGATATGTATTTTTCTTTTAATTTTTGAAATGCCAATGCTATACTGAAACGGTTTGTTAAACTCATAGACAAAACTTTATTCTTGAAAGAATATATTGAAAGCATGTGTAAAAAAAATATCAAAATGAAATATTCTTGGCCATCTATTTCAGTGTTGTAGGCAGAGTGACGTTATATCGCGGTCACCTAGCCGCTTTTCTCAGGTTGGCGTAACGTGTGCAGACAACAAGGTGATTGCCGACGTCACTACGTTACGATTCCCTTAAAGATTTTGAACGCCACAGAAAGATAAATTTCATTCCAACACATACTTGTTTTATACGCCTTGTTCATTAGATCGTGCCTTGGAGGTTATAGTTATGATAGTGTAGGTTCTTTTGTTTGTAGATGTGTTACCAGTGGTATGTCATATGTAATTAAATCTATTTTATTTCTCTACTTCTATCATGTTGGTTGGGAAAAGTTCCCCTATAAATTTAAACAGTCTTCTCGTTAGTTATTGTAGATCAACGGACATGTAGAAGGTCGCTAAGGCCCATATAAATCTTAGGGTCCTGAAAGTTTCTATAGACAAATAAATAATATCTAGTCACATCAGGACGTAACGTACCTTTTCTGATGTACTCGTTAGTGGTCCGTGTCCACTTAGTCTCGGGTGCAAACAACAGAAACGTGTTTATTCACGGCGATCGGCATTGTTTAAAGTCCTGATAACATCCATCCACATATGTGTGTGTGTGTGGTTTATGTATGTAAATTAGAATCAACAATAATTACAACAGTATACTCAAATCATAGGTCTATATTACACTCAATATTATGACGAGAACAATGGCTCAGACAAAGTCTGACACTTCATTATTCCATGAATGACAGAAGGTCAATTCTTACACACATTGGTCACCGCTGAACAATATATATATTTAATCTGTTGGGCGCAATATTTCCAGTACATATCAAAGTTCCAAGTTAACCAGGGTAGAACAGCTTACATGTAGATTGGTAATGACCTAAATTACACACGGAACGTTGCAGCTTGTCAACTCACTGAAGAGTGAAAGAAGGACGAAATAGTTGATTGGTGAAATTTCTTTCATTATTTATGTATGAAACCATGGTTAAATACTAGCCGCAATATACCACTCGGTTAGAGAGAACTTCTCTTTAGCTCGATTGGTTGGACGTCAGACTAGTAAGCCAGGGGTCCCGGGTTCTGTTACATGTATATAGTGTATCAATCTAAATTTCCAATGAAAGGAGATATTCATTTGTATCCATTTTGTACACGAGAGGCTGATACCGGTATGCGTTGTCCAAATCTTAGTCAGATCCAATGTTTATTGGGAGTCTGAGCGAACGTATTTAGATAAAAACCGGTAAGTGGTATGTAGGGGTATCCTAATGGACGCTTAGAGGTCAATTCTGTGTCTCTGGTCCGCCTTTTCCGTACCAATTCCTTGCTCACTGCCATGGTGTGAAGACTTAAACTTAAAACTTATTAGTGTTTTTGGTTATGGTTTACATCTGTTGTTACCAAAAAATCTGTCCCTCGATCAATATGTCGATAGACAGAGCGAGGAACGAGAACGTTCCCTCGCCGTCTCGATTTTGCCTATACGTCGAGGGAGGAATATTGCAAGTGGGCCTTAACCGGGGCTTTTTTTAAATCCCCAAGAGCAATCTAGTCATCATCTGCATTCACAATTGACCAAAACTAGTCACTCGTTGTTGAACATTTATCCCATGCTCGGACGTGGGCGCTCTAAAACTTCTCCAAATGGACCTCAAATCCGAGAATGAAGACAATAACAACCCATAAAGCGCAGTTAGATCGCATGAATATTTACAGGTAAAGGCAAGATTTGATAGATGGCAAAAAATCTATTATTTATTTTGTATGTGTCTTCCTTGTTTCATTGCTTTTGTTTAGTTTGTCTTTCTGGGAAGAGTGTACCAATTTACAGACTACTTATAAAAATCATGAATGAGCAAAATTTCGGCAATTTATTTCATTACTTACACTACCTACTTACTCGTTGTAACATTAAGTAGAAATAGTATCTGTGATTCCGTGAACCGTTTCCTTTATTACTTGTTACTTAGCTTTGGGTATGTTTGGAAAAATACAACTAAACGGGTTGGGGTAGCCCTCTCTAACCCATTTTATAATAAATATCGTCTTTTATTTTATCCGGTTCTGCCACTTAAAAAAAGTTCTGCACAAGTAGGTGACCTTTCCAGTAATTGTCTCTCTCTCTCTCTCTCTCTCTCTCTCTCTCTCTCTCTCTCTCTCTCTCTCTCTCTCTCTCTCATCTCTTATAAACTTTATTTTGTGGAAAAAATATGCCATATAAATTTCATTAGCATATGTGACCTCTATTATTCATATAAAAATATTCATTTATATAGCAAAACAAAAATGTTCATTTTTTATTAACACGTAAGCTATGTATCATATCATCGTTGAAATAGTCCTTATCTATTTCCGGCTGAAAGTGACATCTGTGTACAATTCAGCTCCCGCCATGCTATATATGTCATGTGATGTTGTCATGTGACTATAAGTCAGACAAAATGGTGGATGTTTACTATTTGATTTCGTTCCTACTTTCAGTTTATTCGATACAGATCATAATTGCAGATTACCCATTTCGAAACACGTCTCTGTCTTACAATGAACGAGTCGAAGATTTGGTCAATAGACTTAATGTATCTGAGCTCATACTGCAAATGTCGAAAGGCGGAGGAGGGAAGATTGGTGGACCAGCACCTCCGATCTCCCGTCTGGGTATTGGTCCTTTCCAGTGGGATAGCGAGTGTCTGAGAGGTGATGTGGACGCAGGAAATGCAACGTCTTTCCCACAGTCAATCGGGCTGGCGGCTTCTTTTAAGTAAGTAAGCGTGGACAGATAATACACATATAGAATTGTTATTTTGGAGCGTTTCGTTTATACCATATGATGATAGACTAACGAAGGAAGCATTGCTATTTTTTCATTATTATTATTATTACTGAAGGAAATATCTCAAAATATCATTTCACTCTCACCATTTTTTCCTAGGGATTTGGGTGCTTTACGAGATCAATTTACAATTATTCCTTATAAAGTGTTAAGGATATATCTAGTAAAAGCCAACACAGAATTGAGAAAAGCGAGAAAAACTTATGGACAGGAAGTAAAAGAAAACACCAAGCAGGATTCTAAGCCATTTTGGAGCTTCATTTAGTCCAAAACAAAACTAATGGGAAAAATGCAAGGTAACTGCCTCAGCTAGAGAAATATTAAGCAATTGTCAAGTAAGAATAGAGGAATATAAGAATAGCATCCCAGAATTCCATGGAAAGGGAAGTTAAGGAAGATCTTGACATAATAATCGTTAGTGAGGAAATGGTCAATAGGTCTCTGAAAGATGTTAAACCTGTGAAATCTCAAGGGCCAGATAACATCCAGCCTAGACTTACAAATGAAGCAGCAGAGATTTTGGCTAAATCTTTGGCAAAAATTTGGTTCAAAGATCAATCGATGAAGCTTATGGAAAGAGGCTAATGTAACAGCTATACACAAAAAATCCTAAATGTAATGCTGACAACTGATGCCTGAGTAGTCTTACTTCTGTAATTTCAAAATTCTGGAGAAAATTGTGAAATATTAGCAACCAATATCGAAATGGATCAGAGATATCACATGCATAGTTAAACACCTCTATGACAAGTAACAGGTCATTAGTAACTGTAGAAGTTGAGAGTGCAGGTTGCCTTACTAGCCAGAGACAGAAGGGTCGCTATTTCAAACCTCGCTGGGTGCAAGGTATTTTTCATTTCTCCTTCCTATTATATATCTTTACGTACCCCAATTTTCACTGTTTCCTTAACAGGGGTTAGTACATATATCTTTTGTGTGCCGTATAAAGACAATTTCCTTAAAAGTGATTTGGGATATGTATTCTTGTATACATTGTACCTTATTTAAACCATTCTCTATTAAGACAAGCATAGCCTTTCACATTCAACCCCATAACTGCCACAAAAGACACATACTAAAACTAATATTACCTACGCAAAATGCATTAAAAACTGAATGACCCCCATATCAACTATATGAAAGTACTACCACCCTTCTACCCATCCCTTATGTACTAATTTTACAATTCCTAAATCCCTAAAACATTACCTGGATGACAGGTTTCAGGAAATAAGTCCATTGTTTTGTGCTACACTAAACCTAGCTCTCTAACATATAGTATAAAACTAAGGACCAAACACAAACAGAGGATTCATATGTATAGAAACATCAGACTCTGACAAAAAGGTATGAAGCACATGACAGGTATGCTCTGCATTAGAAAACATCGACCACAGACAAATTATGTTCACAGAACAGGACAATAAAGGTCAGATGATGCCAGAGTATTCAGTACAGACACAACATATATAAACAGACATTGAAATTAATGCTTCTCTTCATAGTTAGCTTTCAATTAAAGCCTTATTCATTTTGATTTAAGATACCATGGCTGGTTTGCTACACTTCAGCCTTAACTTGTGCTGGATCTACAATCAACTGATTAAATTTCAAAACTACCAGAGATGTTCTATAAATGAACACAATTAATAATGAATATATTTATTTTGCTTGTAGTCCAGATCTAGTGTATGAAGTTGCTGAAGCTACTGCCATAGAGGTACGAGCCAAGTACAATAACTTTCGCAAAAACAATGATTACACCGACCATACTGGTCTCAGCTGCTTCAGTCCCGTCATCAATATCATGAGACACCCTTTGTGGGGACGCAATCAAGTAAGTAGTACAGTCTCTATATATACTGAACATGGATAAGATCTGCTCACTCACTGACTTCTGTTTAGAGATTTTGACACTGCAAACATATATATTTTAGTGGTAGTCTTAATCTAGAGTTTTTCATGCTGGAAGTATTGTGCAAAATATAATTGTGTTAACTGCATTTTCTTTATGCTGATTATGTAGTAATTAGTGTGGATGGACAAATAGATTGTCTTTATTTCCCTAAAGTGATAATGCACTAAAACTAGATGGTGCCAAATTACTCATTAAACATACATGTTTTAGCCGTAATCATATTTAAGTGCATTTTGCGCAGAAAATATTTTGCTAAAATATCATTCCACTAACTGGAGTTTCTTTTTTGCCCTTTTTTTTGTCAATATTGCATCATTTCATCATTACACTAATTTGGCAAAAAGTGATAATTCACTAAACTTTGATTGCGGAAAATGGTGTATGTTTCTAGTAAGTATGATAATACTTTTCCAATCAGGCAGCTCTCTTGGATTTCAAAGTAGAATATTGTTATCACTATTTCTCATAAATAATTGGCAGAGCAAATGATAATCAATTTGTCAGTTGTAATACTTTCTGCTTGGTTGGTCTCTTATAGTCCCAGTTGTGCATAATTACTTTGTATATATGTAGAAGGAGTGAATTCAGGTTGCCTTACTATCCTCAGCTACTTAACTAGCCTCAGCTAGTGTGAAATTCCCTTTAGTCAAGTGGTTGTAGAGACTGTAGGGTGGCTAGTTGAAAACCCACGAAGGGCAGGGTGTTTTCCATTAATGTTTCCTTACATCTGGTGCTTTTGTATGGAGGTGAATACTTGACAAGGGGATACAAAACCTGGGTTTTTAGATAATTGTGTCTTTGGGACAAAGACTTTGAAAACAGATTGAGGAAATATGGCAGATTTGGATTGGGTTTATCAATGGCAACCAGGAAGTCCAATCGGTAGAGTGTCCATCTAGATTTCAGACGGTCCTGGTCTGACTGTGCATTTTTCCTGCTCCTGTATATAGTCAGGTGCAAAGTTATAAATCCCTTGTCATGAGTTTTTTCCAAAGGTCATGGCCTGTAGGTCACAGATCAAACTTCATTATAAGATTTGAATTCTTGTTTTATCAAATATTCATATTTTGCCTTTATCATGAAGCAATTATCTAAATTACTATCTCTGACATTTATGAGATGAAATGTCAAGGTCGTTGTTTTTTTGTTTTACCAGTAGATGTTTGTCATTTTATACAGACCGTGTTTATATAAACAGGAAACGTATGGTGAAGACCCCTACCTATCTGGCTTGCTTGCCCAGGCTTTTGTTTATGGTCTTCAGGGCCAACATTCCAAGTACCGTCGTGCTAACGTTGTGTGTAAACACTTTGCAGCCTACAGTGGTCCAGAGAATCGTCCAATCTCACGACTCAGCTTCAATGCTCAGGTATTTTTCATTTTTCAGATTCAGATCAATTTGATTCTTGTTGGGTCAGCATCACTGTCATCAAGCAATTTTAGAAACGGACTTATTTCTTCAGAGGTTGTATAAATGAATACATAAATACATATTTAGCTGTTATATTTGCATTTGAAAAATGTCAAATCGGTCAAAGGTCAGGATTGGTTTATTTCCAAAAAGAAGACTACAACCTACTACTATTTCTGATCACTCTAACAGGATGTGAAAAAACACAATAAATTTTGCTAAAATTTTAATAGTTCACCCAGGCATTGCATCTCTAAATATCTCAAATATGTTCCAGTATGGTCTGCATTACCAGACAAAGGTCAAGGTCATTGATGCAAAAAAGGAAATTCACTAAGGTTCTTTGTCATCACTTTGACAAATAGTCTTACTTACTGAAAGATTTTGATGAAAATTCCAAAAAAGTTTGCCAGAACAGAAAATGCCTTGGTCAAGAATATCATTATGATCAGTCAAATTCAAGGTCACTGTTGATCTATAATTTCATTTTGCAATCTACTTTTACAAAAACATCTCACCGTAAAGCTCTTTCTCTAGCATTTGTAAATTTATGCACTTCTAATTTATTTTTTGCATTTACCTTCGACAAAGTAAAATTGCCCCAACAGGAATTAAATGGGTGTACTTTGCCTGATGATGTTTGATTCTACCAACTGTGTTCCACCAGAAAAGTGAGACTGAAGTTAAAACTATGGATTAGAAAGATTGGCCCATATACAAAAAGTTGAACCGTTACTAAAAATGATTTAAATGATTTTAATTATAAGTCACCATTGTTGCTAGAAGTCCCACCTCAGCTAGATATGGCACTTTTATTTTCCTTGTATTCATCAGTTTAATGGATTGCTAACTCCTGGGTTAATTGTCTTCATTTGATAGGTAAAGGAACGTGACCTTCGGATGACGTTTCTCCCCCAGTTTGAGGCCTGTGTGAGAGCTGGAGCTGGTGGAATCATGTGTAGTTACAACAGGTAATTAGAAATACTGTCATTTTCAAAGGATAATGGACTGTTATCTTGGTTTTTTTCTTTTTCTTTATGCTAATTAATATGCACTCAATAAAAATGTCAAATTTTACGTAAATAAATTGGATTTATAATTTGTACTTTGTTACAAATTATGGAGAATATTCTGCCTGTAATATTATCATGTATTAACTTTTTCTTGTGAACACAATAATTGGAGTAAAAAGGGACAGATTTTTATGAAACCTTGTATGCAGCTATATATCAATAAGATCTCGAATACATTCATGGGATCAATTCAATCATAATTTGCAGAGTTATTGCCCTTCGCAGATTTATAACTATTGGACCTTGTGAACACAATGATTTGAGTAAATTTGAAGAGAATTTGATAAAACTTGGTCTAATATCAATAAGATAACTAATGAACATAATAATGGGACAGATTTGATTGTAATCTACAGAATTATAGCCTTTTCTTTTTTATCATGGACATTGTGAATAGGATAAATTGAATAAATATGAACAAATTTAATTAATTTTGGTATGTAGCTGTATATCAATGAGATCTGAATTGAATATAAGAATGGCACTTTGCAGTTTAAGTTTGAGATTAGCCAGGTGACTGTTTAGGCCCATGAACCTCACATAGTTTTAGAGGTCATCTTACATAGGTCATTTAGTACTGTCTGTTTGTTGCCAGTGTTAATGGTATACCAGCCTGCACCAATAAGAAGCTGTTGACAGACATTTTAAGGAAAGAGTGGGGATTCGATGGGTTTGTAGTTAGTGATGCTGGAGCAATGGAGTTTATTGTGATAGACCACATGTATTATCCTGATGCCCTGACAACTGCTGTAGGATGTGCTAAGGCTGGTCTTAACCTCGAACTATCTCCAGGTACCTGGATCTACAGGACACAGATGTTCAGTTATCTACTCAAGGCTGTGGAGATGGGCTTGGTCTCCAAGCAACTGCTCATTGACAGGGTTAAGCCGTTATTCCTCACCAGGATGAGACTTGGAGAGTTTGATCCACCTGCACTGAACCCTGACAATAAACTTAATCTGTCTGTCATTCAGAGTCCAGATCACAGAAAGCTGGCCATAAAGGCAGCCACCCAGTCTTTTGTTCTGTTGAAAAACTCCAAGGAATTCCTTCCAGTCAGAAGACAATTAACAACAGTGGCTGTAAGTTATCAATTCGAAGAAATTTTGCAAAAGTATCGAAAACTTTACGATCAGAAGACAGGTAACAAATGTAGGTAGAGAATTGGACAACTTTTTCAGAAGATCTTTGCAGGTTTTAATGGTGTTATAAATGTTACCATTCAGAAAATAATAAATAATAGTATTATGGTTTTTTTTTTCAAGTTTGGATATCTTACATTTCTTAAACCATGACATATTTAAATAGAAATTTATATTGTCAAGAAAAGAAAATGTATTCGATGATAAACATTAATTTTTTTTTTCGTGATCTAAACACCAAAAATGGAACATATTCTTGGCATAAACCACAAAATTAATTCCTATCATTTAATCACCGTTTACAACGTTTTTAACATTTTAACTCTTCTCTTTGATGATTTCTTACACCATGGTATCTTTTTATGTCATGGTGATGATAACATTAAAATATTGGTCAATGAAAACCCTTATTGTATAGAGGATTGAATTATTTGAACTTTAATTTCTCATTACCAAAAGCTTTTGTATTCTTACAATTACATTTAATGAAGTAGTTATTCCTGAGAAATCTCTAGGTTGTAGGTTCTATGTATTTATATAGGTAGGTAATTATTCCTGAGAAATCTCTAGGTTGTATGTATTTATATAGGTAGTTAATTATTCCTGAGAAATTTCTAGGTTGTAGGGTCTATGTATTTATATAGGTAGGTAATTATTCCTGAGAAATCTCTAGGTTGTAGGTTCTATGTATATAGGTAGGTAATTATTCCTGAGAAATCTCTAGGTTGTAGGGTCTATGTATTTATATAGGTAGGTAATTATTCCTGAGAAATTTCTAGGTTGTAGGGTCTATGTATTTATATAGGTAGGTAATTATTCCTGAGAAATTTCTAGGTTGTAGGGTCTATGTATTTATATAGGTAGGTAATTATTCCTGAGAAATTTCTAGGTTGTAGGGTCTATGTATTTATATAGGTAGGTAATTATTCCTGAGAAATTTCTAGGTTGTAGGGTCTATGTATTTATATAGGTAGGTAATTATTCCTGAGAAATCTCTAGGTTGTAGGTTCTATGTATTTATATAGGTAGGTAATTATTCCTGAGAAATCTCTAGGTTGTAGGGTCTATGTATTTATATAGGTAGTTAATTATTCCTGAGAAATTTCTAGGTTGTAGGGTCTATGTATTTATATAGGTAGGTAATTATTCCTGAGAAATTTCTAGGTTGTAGGGTCTATGTATTTATATAGGTAGGTAATTATTCCTGAGAAATTTCTAGGTTGTAGGGTCTATGTATTTATATAGGTAGGTAATTATTCCTGAGAAATTTCTAGGTTGTAGGGTCTATGTATTTATATAGGTAGGTAATTATTCCTGAGAAATCTCTAGGTTGTAGGGTCTATGTATTTATATAGGTAGGTAATTATTCCTGAGAAATCTCTAGGTTGTAGGGTCTATGTATTTATATAGGTAGGTAGTTATTCCTGAGAAATTTCTAGGTTGTAGGGTCTATGTATTTATATAGGTAGGTAATTATTCCTGAGAAATTTCTAGGTTGTAGGGTCTATGTATTTATATAGGTAGGTAATTATTCCTGAGAAATCTCTAGGTTGTAGGTTCTATGTATTTATATAGGTAGGTAATTATTCCTGAGAAATCTGTAGGTTGTATGTATTTATATAGGTAGTTAATTATTCCTGAGAAATTTCTAGGTTGTAGGGTCTATGTATTTATATAGGTAGTTAATTATTCCTGAGAAATTTCTAGGTTGTAGGGTCTATGTATTTATATAGGTAGGTAATTATTCCTGAGAAATTTCTAGGTTGTAGGGTCTATGTATTTATATAGGTAGGTAATTATTCCTGAGAAATCTCTAGGTTGTAGGTTCTATGTATTTATATAGGTAGGTAATTATTCCTGAGAAATCTCTAGGTTGTAGGGTCTATGTATTTATATAGGTAGGTAATTATTCCTGAGAAATTTCTAGGTTGTAGGGTCTATGTATTTATATAGGTAGGTAATTATTCCTGAGAAATTTCTAGGTTGTAGGGTCTATGTATTTATATAGGTAGGTAATTATTCCTGAGAAATCTCTAGGTTGTAGGGTCTATGTATTTATATAGGTAGGTAATTATTCCTGAGAAATCTCTAGGTTGTAGGGTCTATGTATTTATATAGGTAGGTAATTATTCCTGAGAAATCTCTAGGTTGTAGGTTCTATGTATTTATATAGGTAGGTAGTTATTCCTGAGAAATTTCTAGGTTGTAGGGTCTATGTATTTATATAGGTAGGTAATTATTCCTGAGAAATTTCTCTAGGTTGTAGGGTCTATGTATTTATATAGGTAGGTAATTATTCCTGAGAAATCTCTAGGTTGTAGGTTCTATGTATTTATATAGGTAGGTAATTATTCCTGAGAAATCTGTAGGTTGTATGTATTTATATAGGTAGTTAATTATTCCTGAGAAATTTCTAGGTTGTAGGGTCTATGTATTTATATAGGTAGGTAATTATTCCTGAGAAATCTCTAGGTTGTAGGGTCTATGTATTTATATAAGTAGTTAATTATTCCTGAGAAATCTCTAGGTTGTAGGTTCTATGTATTTATATAGGTAGGTAATTATTCCTGAGAAATCTCTAGGTTGTAGGGTCTATGTATTTATATAGGTAGTTAATTATTCCTGAGAAATTTCTAGGTTGTAGGGTCTATGTATTTATATAGGTAGGTAATTATTCCTGAGAAATCTCTAGGTTGTAGGTTCTATGTATGTATATAGGTATGTTATTATTCCTGAGAAACCTTTAGGTTGTAGGTGATGTGTATGTATGTAGATAGGTAGTTATTCCTGAGAAACCTCTAGATTGTAGGTCCTTTGTATGTAGATAGGTAGTTATTTCTGAGAAACCTCTAGATTGTAGGGCCTCTTTACGTAGGTAGGTTATCATACATTAGAAACCTCTAGATTCTGGGCCTTTTTATGTAGTCAGGTAATTACTCCTCAAAAACCTCTGAATTGAAGTTGTTATGTATGTTTGTAGATAGATAATTATTCCTAAAAAAAACTCTAGATTGTAGGTCCTATGGCAGACAACCCATCACAGTTAATGGGCGACTATTTCCCTGATGTTGACCCAAGCTTTATGACAACACCAAGGAAAGGCTTATCTCCTCTTGGTGAAAAGGCTTTATATACAGCAGGCTGTAACGACATGGCTTGTGACCAATATGACCAGTCAGGAATTCAGTCTGTGGTTTCTGAAGCAGAGATTACATTTGTATGTCTTGGAACAGGTAATATTGAAATCATTATTTGTCATCTCACACGACACATGAAGCTGTGTATCATATTTTGTTTATGCTTTTGTTTTTATTTGTCATCATTATCGATACAATTTATCTGTTCTCAGCTTTGTTAACCCATCATAATTATTTAATTTGATTTCAAAATTTATATCAACATTTTATTGATTACTTCAGGCAACGCTTTGGAGACAGAGACGATGGATCGCCCTGACATGTCTCTTCCTATTGGCCAGATTCAGCTCCTCAAGGATGCTGTGCGCTTTGGTAGGCATGATGCACAAGAACCTAACAATTTTGAGTCTCCCCTTTTCTAAACCAAGTTGTAATTAGGTGAAAGTGTGTGTTTTCTTTCCTTCTCCTTGTCATGCTCTGACTAGATTATAGTGTATGATTTCTCCATTTCTTTAAGTCAATCTTTGCCAAAGTGACAAAATTTGTTGTCTTCTCTCTAAGTCAAGCTGTAACCAGTTGACTGTGTGTTGTTTCCCTATCTCTTAATCAAAATCTATAAATGTTATTAGATAACACTGGGTTTTCCCCTCCTCTATGTAAAGCTGAGACTAGATAATAGTTTAAATTGTCCCTTCTCACTTCTATAAGGAATTTGGTTGACATTTGGTTACTTTATGAATATCACTCAATGCTATGTCTGTATCATGACTTATATGAAAAGTAAATTTGTTCTGTGTTTTTATATTCACATTACATATCTTCTTCATTATCTGCAGGAAAAGGAAATGTGGTATTACTGATGTTTAGTGCAGGGCCGGTTGACCTTCGATTTGCCCAGACATCTGCAAAAGTAATGGCCATCATACAATGTTTCTTCCCAGCCCAGGCAACAGGAATTGCTCTTTTCAATATCGTTACCTTTGCTACACCAGACAGTAATCCATCGGGAAGGCTTCCATATACTTGGTACTCAGATATGAGTCAGGTAATTTATTAATACCCTATTGACTGACCCGAGATACTGCATCAGTGTCACAAACTGGGACTAAACTCATTGTCACAAAATGGGACACTATATTAATATCACAAACTGGGACACTGTATTAATATCACAAAATAGGACGCTGTATTAATATCACAAAATTGGACTCTGTATTAATATCACAAAATGGGACACTGTATTAATATCACAAAATGGGACACTGTATTAATATCACAAAATGGGACACTGTATTAATGTCTCAAAATGGGACACTGTATTAATATCTCAAAATGGGACACTGTATTAATGTCTCAAAATGGGACACTGTATTAATATCTCAAAATGGGACACTGCATTAATGTTTCAAAATGGGACACTGTATTAATATCTCAAAATGGGACACTGCATTGATGTCTCAAAATGAACACTGTATTAATATCTCAAAATGGGACACTGTATTAATGTCAAGCAGGAACAGTGTATCAATGTCACATATTGAGATGATGTAGTGATGTTACCAAACTATAACACTTCATGGTCATATTTTTATCAGGTGGCAGCAATGACAGACTACAGCATGACCAATATGACCTACAGGTATTTCACTGGGGACCCTCTGTATCCCTTTGGTTATGGCCTGTCCTACACATTCTTCAAATACAGTCACTTGACCATCACACCAAACCAGGTCAAGATTGGAAGAAATGTCACAGTGATATTCCAGGTCAACAACTATGGGAAATATGAAGGTGATGAGGTAAGATCATGTTGCTACTCAATCCAATGTGTCATATTCTAGTGATAAGTGTAATGTTCTGGTGGTAAGTATTATAGTCTAGTGATAGGGTGTAATACTCTAGTGATAGGGTGTAATACTCTAGTGATAAGGTGTAATACTCTAGTGATAGGGTGTAATACTCTAGTGATAGGGTGTAATACTCTAGTGATAGGGTTTAATACTCTAGTGATAAGTGTAATGTTCTGGTGGTAAGTATTATAGTCTAGTGATAGGGTGTAATACTCTAGTGATAGGGTGTAATACTCTAGTGATAGGGTGTAATACTCTAGTGATAAGTGTAATGTTCTGGTGGTAAGTATTATAGTCTAGTGATAGGGTGTAATACTCTAGTGATAGGGTGTAATACTCTAGTGAGAGGTTGTAATACTCTAGTGATAAGTGTAATGTTCTGGTGGTAAGTATTATAGTCTAGTGATAGGGTGTAATACTCTAGTGATAGGGTGTAATACTCTAGTGATAAGTGTAATGTTCTGGTGGTAAGTATTATAGTCTAGTGATAGGGTGTAATACTCTAGTGATAGGGTGTAATACTCTAGTGATAAGTGTAATGTTCTGGATAAGTGTAATGTTCTGGTGGTAAGTATTATAGTCTAGTGATAGGGTGTAATACTCTAGTGATAGGGTGTAATACTCTAGTGATAGGGTGTAATACTCTAGTGATAAGTGTAATGTTCTGGTGGTAAGTATTATAGTCTAGTGATAGGGTGTAATACTCTAGTGATAAGGTGTAATACTCTAGTGATAAGTGTGATACTTTGGTGATAAGTATTATAGTCTAGTGATATATGTAATAGTGCAGTTACTCTCTTGTGATAATAATATAACTTCAATGAAAGGTACAAACCTCCTGTTTACTGGTATATGTGTTTTAGCATTTCATCATCATTTCACATTGAATTGTCATGTTTTTTTATTGTGTCCTCAAATCCTCTCTTACTAGATGTATGATTAGATAGAGAAAATTTGACGCTCTACATATGAGTAGGACAGTGATGAAAATATCTTAATTATGTGTACAGGTATCTCAGGTGTACATATCATGGCAAGGTGTGACTGACATGCCACGGTACCAGCTAGTGGGGGCAAGACGATCTCATCTTATCCCAGGCCAGACTGCTTCCTGTAATGTTACTGTGACTGCACATCAGACAGCAGTGTGGGAGGGGTCTGGTCTACAAAATAAACCAGGTAAACAACACCTAGACATGTGACATCACTGTCAACACAGGTAAACAGCAACACTGAAACATGTCACATTACTGTCAACACAGGTAAACAGCAACACTGAAACATGTCACATCACTGTCAACACAGGTAAACATTAACTATGAAACATGTCACATCACTGTCAACACAGGTAAACAGCAACACTGAAACATGTCACATCACTGTCAACACAGGTAAACAGCAACACTGAAACATGTGACATCAGTATCAACACAGGTAAACAGCAACACTGAAACATGTTATATCAAGGTCAACACAGGTAAACAGCAACACTGAAACATGTTATATCAAGGTCAACACAGGTAAACAGCAACACTGAAACATGTGACATCAGTATCAACACAGGTAAACAGCAACACTGAAACATGTTATATCAAGGTCAACACAGGTAAACAGCAACACTGAAACATGTCACATCACTGTCAACACAGGTAAACAGCAACACTGAAACATGTTATATCAAGGTCAACACAGGTAAACAGCAACACTGAAACATGTTATATCAAGGTCAACACAGGTAAACAGCAACACTGAAACATGTTATATCAAGGTCAACACAGGTAAACAGCAACACTGAAAAACATGTCACATCACTGTCAACACAGGTAAACAGCAACACTGAAACATGTCACATCACTGTCAACACAGGTAAACAGCAACACTGAAACATGTGACATCAGTATCAACACAGGTAAACAGCAACACTGAAACAGGTGACATCAGTGTCAACACAGGTAAACAGCAACACTGAAACATGTTATATCTAGGTCAACACAGGTAAACAGCAACACTGAAACATGTGATATGTGTCAACACAGGTAAACAGCAACACCTGATCTCACCCAATAGGAGTTAAAAATTCTAGTAATTCCATATTGGAATTCCATATGGTATACACATGCAGATTTGGGAGAAAGGTATATCTATATTAAGGGCAAGCAGAGTGAGATGGTGATGTATTGAAAAGAAGGAGGGCAATGATTTTATATTATGAGTGTCAATTACAAATTCTGATTTTTATCAATAAGTATATGACTTCTTTCTATTATACAGGTATAATAACAGTACATGTGGGAGGTCAGTCACCAGGACAGAAGACAACATCTAACTTCTTAACAGGAACATTCACTATATACAGCTGAAGACATGCTGGGTGACATTGACACCGTTTACAACTCAGGATGTCATGTTTGGGTATATTGACACTGTATACAGCTGAGGATGTCATTCTGTGTTATATTGACACTGTATACAGCTGAGGATGTCATGCTGTGTTATACTGACACTGTTTACAACTCAGGATGTCATGCTGTGTTAAATTGAGACTGTATACAGACGAGGATGTCATGGTGGGTTATATTGACACTGTATACAGATGAGGATGTCATGCTGTGTTATATTGACACTGTCTACAGCTGAGGATGTCATGCTGGGTTTTATATTGATACTGTATACAGCTGAGGATGTCATGCTGGGTTATATTAACAGTGTTTACAGCTGAGGATGTCATGCCATGTTAAATTGACACTGTATACAGCTGTGGATGTCATGTTGGGTTATATTGATACTGTATACAGCTGAGGATGTCATGCTGGGTTATATTAACAGTGTTTACAGCTGAGGATGTCATGCCATGTTAAATTGACACTGTATACAGACGAGGATGTCATGGTGGGTTATATTGACACTGTATACAGCTGAGGATGTCATGCTGTGTTACATTGACACTGTATACAGCTGAGGATGTCATGCTGTGTTATATTGACACTGTTTACAACTCAGGATGTCATGCTGTGTTAAATTGACACTGTATACAGCTGAGGATGTCATGGTGTGTTATATTGACACTGTATACAGCTGAGGATGTCATGCTGTGTTATATTGAAACCGTTTACAACTCAGGATGTCATGCTGTGTTAAATTGACACTGTATACAGACGAGGATGTCATGGTGGGTTATATTGACACTGTATACAGATGAGGATGTCATGCTGTGTTATATTGACACTGTCTACAGCTGAGGATGTCATGCTGGGTTTTATATTGATACTGTATACAGCTGAGGATGTCATGCTGGGTTATATTAACAGTGTTTACAGCTGAGGATGTCATGCCATGTTAAATTGACACTGTATACAGCTGTGGATGTCATGTTGGGTTATATTGATACTGTATACAGCTGAGGATGTCATGCTGGGTTATATTAACAGTGTTTACAGCTGAGGATGTCATGCCATGTTAAATTGACACTGTATACAGCTGTGGATGTCATGTTGGGTTATATTGATACTGTATACAGCTGAGGATGTCATGTTATGGTATATTGACATTATAAACAGCTGAAGATGTCATGTTATGGTATATTGACATTATAAACACCTGGGGATGTCATGTTGTTGTATATTGACATTATAAACAGCTGGGGATGTCATGTTGTTGTATATTGACATTATAAACACCTGGGGATGTCATGTTATGGTATATTGACATTATAAACAGCTGGGGATGTCATGTTGTTGTATATTGACATTATAAACACCTGGGGATGTCATGTTGTGTTATATTGACATTATAAACAGCCGAAGATGTCATGTTGTGGTATATTGACATTATAAACAGCTTGGGATGTCATGTTGTTGTATATTGACATTATAAACAGCTGGGGATGTCATGTTGTTGTATATTGACATTATAAACAGCTGGGGATGTCATGTTGTTGTATATTGACATTATAAACAGCTGGGGATGTCATGTTGTTGTATATTGACATTATAAACAGCTGAAGATGTCATGTTGTAGTATATTGACATTATAAACAGCTGGGGATGTCATGTTGTTGTATATTGACATTATAAACACCTGGGGATGTCATGTTGTGTTATATTGACATTATAAACACCTGGGGATGTCATGTTGTGTTATATTGACATTATAAACAGCCGAAGATGTCATGTTGTGGTATATTGACATTATAAACAGCTTGGGATGTCATGTTGTTGTATATTGACATTATAAACAGCTGGGGATGTCATGTTGTTGTATATTGACATTATAAACAGCCGAAGATGTCATGTTGTGATATATTGACATTACAGACATTATGACACTGTAGAATTCAAAGGAACCAAGGATTCAGTTTGCAGTTTTTCATTGAATGTGTGTACTGAGATTCAGTCTTATATTGTCATATACTGAGGTGACTCATCAGTGACTCATGATTATTTTGTTGGGGGTATATTGACACTTTATACAGCTGATGATCCATTAGTAGCTCATAATAACTTTATCTAACCCAGCAGTCCACTAATGACTTTTTGTTAACTCCATCCAAGCTAAAATATCTCTTAACTTAATACTTGTATCATATAACCCAAAGCAATAGTTATTATATATCAGTATTATCAGTTGAGTCTCAAATTTCTTAAGAAATCTCCCATGCTTTTTGATGTACCATTAATTTATTACCATGTAGATGTACATGTTGAGTACCATTGATGTATGACTGTTGTGTGTACATGTTGAGTACAATTAATGTACTACCTTTGTGTGTACATGTTGAGTACAATTAATGTACTACCTTTGTGTGTACATGTTGAGTATTACCTTTGTGTGTACATGTTGAGTACAATTAATGTACTACCTTTGTGTGTGTGTACATGTGACTGTTGTGTGTACATGTTGAGTACAATTAATGTACTACCTTTGTGTGTACATGTACAATTAATGTACTACCTTTGTGAGTACAATTAATGTACTACCTTTGTGTGTACATGTTGAGTACAATTAATGTACTACCTTTGTGTGTACATGTTGAGTACAATTAATGTACTACCTTTGTGTGTACATGTTGAGTACAATTAATGTACTACCTTTGTGTGTACATGTTGAGTACCATTGATGTATGACTGTTGTGTGTACATGTTGAGTACCAGTCTAACATGAAGGTCTAGTGGAATGACATCAGGTTACTGATGGAAGGCATATGTCGACTTCTGGCACTGTCACCGACTTGTGTTCTTGAACAAGATATTTTTCTCTGCTTGTTTCAGTTAATTTAGCTGTAAATGAATCTCTGGTAGGGCACATGCCATCACTGTTTGCTCCACATGGACTCCAAGAAATATTGTGGCTAGCAGCAAATGGTCCAATAACCATGATAACCATGGATATTAATTTGTATATAATTATCTCAAATTATTGATAGTTATATTGTAGTTAATAGATGTATTACCCAAACACAGCTCAAGTCACTTTATTTTATGATAAAGTTTCATTCCAACAGTGTAAGTAACATGTAATAAAATACCAATTGTAAATATAGTCTGTTATTTCTATAACTACAACTTCGATACAGGGTTATACAAGTAGACTATGTTATACAACCCACAGTTAAACAAATGTTAAAATCACTCAAAACTTACAACACATATATCACTAAACAGGTAGATCTCTAATGTTAGTAAAGAAATAGGAACATATCATTAAAAAAATAAATGATCTTCATTGAAATTGAGGCATTAACAAAGAAGTTTTTTTTTGACATTTCAAAAGTTAACAAACTTCTAGGTTGTTCATAATCTGTTAAAAAAATTGTCAGTATTGGTAAAACTTAAGCTCAAAGTTTTAATATTGTAAAAATGTTCATGATGAAATGTTTGCATTGATTTGTTGTTAATCTGATCAGTTTTGAAAATCTGGGCTTTGGTTTTATTTCTTTCTTGGCCTTTTCCAATATATTTGATAACAAAACAAGTAATATACCCAAACAATCCAATTTCTGCATGCCTGCTTCAAAACCCATGGTTAGAGTTAGTCCTCAATATCAATGAACACTGTAAAGGCACTGCAGCTATGGGTGTCACTAGAATGATATGAACACATGATAAATGATGTTAGCTGCCAGCTTTAAACCAACTTGTCCTCTCATTTCAGGTCGCATATATTCAGTTCTAACTTCAGGTCACATGATTCAGTTCCGACTTAGGTCACATGATTTAGTTTTGAATTTAGGTTGCATGATTCAGTTCTGACTTAGGTCACATGATTCGGTTCTGACTTAGGTCACATGATTAAGTTTTGAATTTAGGTTGCATGATTCAGTTCTGACTTAGGTCACATGATTCAGTTCTGACTTAGGTCACATGATTTAGTTTTGAATTCAGGTCACATGATCATGGTATGACAGAAATATTCTCAATCATGAATACAATGAAATACTAATGTTAGCCAAAATATTATTTGCTGTAAAGTTATCTGTGTATTAGCATATAGCACAATAAAAAACATTAAATAGATGACTGACATTCCGTCGTAGGAGAGGACAATGGTAAGTTGTAAAACAATGGGTGCCTCATTCATTGAACAAGAAGGTTGTTGCAATTATTACACTACAAATACAATGTAACAGTTGGCAAAAACAAACAAAACTTGTCTATTACAAATGCTATACACTACTTCTACAAGATTATACGTACAAAAATGTATATTATTTCAGTTAGAAATTGTTATGAATTATTTGGAAAAAAAAAAAATTATCAAACTTTTTCAGTATTCACAGATACCTACAGAATTACAGGACGATTTCACATGAATTGTTCATATTAATAAAATTGTTTTGCTGTAATCCTCAAGATGTTTCTTTCTCAATCAAATGAAATCACTAGATTTAACAACACAGAGAAAACAGTTTAAATTAAAAAAACAGAAACACTTGCTGTAGTTAACAACATGTCTGAGTCACTAAAACAAAAACATAGGTTGGCACCAATAACAAACAACTTATAAATAGTCTGACACAATCTACAAAAATAATATAAAATTTGATCTGTGGCAATATTAAGTATTTAAAAATGAAATGTTTTTGTGGTCGGTAATATTTTGAACTTATTTGCTTTTGCCCTTGAATAAAAAATCGACGAGAGGCATATAAGGCTTGTCATTCACTTGTTTTAGTTTGCTGAAATTGCTTCATTCAAACTAAAGGAGATGCATTTAAAAGACATATATATATTTTCCTCTAGAAGGCCCTGCCCCACTGCCCCAAAGGGGGAGGGGGTAGGATGAACCATTTATACATAACAAAAGTTTTCTTCACCCAAGGTTGCTTCAGATTGAATTCCTGAAAAATTAAACTACTCCAACAGAAGAATGATTTTAAAGAATTTGCTCCATTTCATTTAATGGCCCCTGACCCTCCTTCCCCTGAAAGCAGAGACCTACTGTTTTTACAAAGTTGATCCCCTTCACCCAAGCATGCCTCAGACCAAAATTGGACAGAATCCAGGCATTCCTATTAAGAAAATAGATTTAAAAGAAATTTCTCTATTTCTCTTATTGGGCCATATCCCTACCACCCCAGGGAGGCTGAGAACCATAGTTTATACAAAATTGATTCTCCTTCACCCAAGACTACTTCAGACTAAATTTGGTCAACATCCAATCATTCCTACAGAAGGAGTAGAATTTTGTAGAATATGCTCTATTTTTCCTATGGGGTCCCACCTCTTCCACCCCAGAAGGACTGAGACCCAGACTCAATGGTTATACAAAATTGATATTCTCCTTCACCAAATATTGCTTCAAACCAAATTTCGTCAAAAACTGCTCAGTCATTTCAGACTAATAGTGCTTTTTAGGAAAAGCTGACAACCAACACTGCGGTATGGCTTAGGCCTCGGGTCTTTCGAACCTGTTGAGCCGAAAACTAGTAAAGTACCTGTTTCATCACGCATGTGTTAAATCAAACCAGAAATTACATCTGAAAAAGCGCAGACACGAATAAATAGTTAGATATATCACAGTAAACATAAATATGTAAAGTTGGGAGTGTTCATCATCAAACATCATCCCTTAACAACATCTGCAGAAACAAAAACAAGAGAAAACTACATGTGTATATATCAAGACAAACATAAGTAAATAATTTGATTTTAGAAGAACTGTTTTCTCTTTAATACGATGATTGGTTGTTAATGAGATCATAATATTGATGTGTCTGTCAAATTTCTCTACATATCTACATACATACAAACAATAACATACAACAACAAAAAATAGTTATTCAAACATTGGTCGTTACCATTACTACCCATACAAAGTTGTCAAGTTTTACACCTAAACAGAGGTTTATAACAGGCCATTGTGAATTGTTCTCTACTTAAGATTTTGAAGTTGCAAATTATTCCCTGATTCAGATTTCAAAGTTATAGTTTGATCCCTGGTGAATTAAAAAAAAAATAGATGAGAAATAATTGAACACTGTATCTATAAACTCATACATTTAAAATTTTGTTCAATGGTATAACATTATAAACAGGCACAAGATCTGTATACAATGTGTGAGCAAAATATAAACTTGATGACAAAAGTCCTACATAAATACCGAGTATACTTGTAGAAGTAGATAGCTGTATTTATCACAGAATAACACTGACATTTATTTTGCAGAAATGTATATTTATATTTTAAAATAAAGAATCTAGTAAGTAATATCGACAATATGGTCCAATATTGGTACTGGATCCTAACGAACAAATGTTCGTTGGATGTGTATTACTTCAGTGATCATATCTTTTCATATATATATATATATACATTGTATAACAGAGACACAATTAAAATTCAAAGTCCCACAATCACAGTCAATATTAAGGTAATAATATTTATATCAGGACATGTAAGAAGCTAGATATAAGCAGCAGTTTTTTCCACTTTTAATGGACACCATGTCTTTGGTATGGGTTCAGCTAATTAAGGCCTATGATATAGATATACCGACTCACTAATATTTATAACATTAAAACGGTAACAAAAATGTCCATCAAATACCTCACCTTATCTTACTTTCTTCCCTCAGTATCTGACCAATAGAACATGACTGATCTGAACACATTCCTTTTGCTGATGTTACACAAAAATAAAATCTGACGGTCAAACAACCATTTTTTGTAAATCCAGGTAATTTAACAAGATGTTATTAACCAGTGTCTTTGTCAAAAATACTACAACTAATCTCAAGTGTTATAGCTCCAGCCATTCCACTTTTCCCGGTTGTGTTTTTACAGATACAATAGATAATTGGTACATTCTCTTCCTCACTGTTCACAAACTTAATGTGTTTTTGTTGAATTCATAGAACACCTTCAGATAAGAGACAATTTGGGTGTGGGGTTCAGATCAAATCTACTTTTTGTAATTAAGTCGCGATTTGGACTTGTTATGTCAGTTTTATTAATCATCTAAATATTATACTGTGAACATTAATTCCACTGACAAGTTCTTTAAAATTTCATAATACCTCATGATCATCATATTGAATTTTTAGAGACAGTATTTTTACATCTAACTCTATACAAAGATAAAACTTGGAATATGTATATGTTAAATTTGAAAGATAAAAAGATCAATGTATGTTTTATAAAAATGACATAGTCATGGTCATCTCACCTACTTTACTGTATCTAAATTAAAAGCTAAAGGTAAGCAAGGAGTCACATGACCCACTTTACCCAATCAGAAGTAAATTGTATAATACCATTGTAACTATACATTTTTCATGCTATCATCTGAACAATGGTAGGATCTCTCCTTGCTCCCTCTATAAATTCTTCTTGTGACAGCTGTCCATCTGCATTCTTATCCATCATACTGAAGATCTTGTCTGTCCGTTCTTCTGCTGCAGACTCATCACCATTTCCCGTCATCTTATGTATAGTCTGAACAGAAAAAAAATACATGCAAGACCATAGATTGTGTTAGGCTTTAGTACAACTGAACATCAAGGTTTCATCTCAACAATGCCAAAAATCTATACAGGTTTTGTATACATGGTTGGAAAGATTATAAAAGATTTTGAATTAAGATTGAGACAAGGTGTAGATTTTGTAAACAAAGATTTAGAATGTGGATTTTGTATTAACAATAGAATATATTTGTATTTAGAAATGAAAAATGTAGGTGTTGTATTCAGGAATGAAGAATAGAGATTTTGTACTAAGAAATGTATAACAGAGATTTTGTACTAAGAAATGTATAACAGAGATTTTGTATGTAGAGATGTATAACAGAGATTTTGTATGTAGAGATTTTGTATGTAGAGATGTATAACAGAGATTTTGTATGGAGAGATGTATAACAGAGATTTTGTATGTAGAGATGTATAACAGAGATTTTGTATGGAGAGATGTATAACAGAGATTTTGTAACAGAGATGTAGAGATGTATAACAGAGATTTTGTATGGAGAGAGAGATTTTGTACAGAGATTTTGTATGTAGAGATGTATAACAGAGATTTTGTATGTAGAGATGTATAACAGAGATTTTGTATGGAGAGATGTATAACAGAGATTTTGTATGGAGAGATGTATAACAGAGATTTTGTATGGAGAGATGTATAACAGAGATTTTGTAGATGTATAACAGAGATTTTGTATGTAGAGATGTATAACAGAGATTTTGTATGTAGAGATGTATAACAGAGATTTTGTATGTAGAGATGTATAACAGAGATTTTGTATGGAGAGATGTATAACAGAGATTTTGTATAATAGACAAAGAATGTTGGTTTCTGTCAGGTTTTGTATCCATGTATCTAAAACGCAGATTGTATATGGTAGTATTACAGAGTTTCTCGGTGTGGCCATGGGTGATATTTTTGTTCATTAGATTACCCCATTATAAAGGTTTTAATGAGAATTTAAAAAATAAATCCTGGTTAAAATTGGTCTTGTCATGTTGAAGTGAACAATGTGAGGTTTCTTTTTTTTCAGAATAATATTTTAGCTTTGTGTTGGCAATCACTATTTGGGTAGTCTCAAAACTGTGTCTACGCACCAAAAACTAGCTTTACAGGAAGTGAAATTTTCATAGTGTTTACACCTGGTCATGTTGTAAGGATTTCTGAGTTGGAATTAGCTAAAATGTAAGTAGTTTGTTACCATGATAGTGTTGTTGATTTTAAGGCAGGTGTTCAGATATAATTTTCTTCTACAGAATTATAGTATTAGGTTGCAATTGGCAGTATTTTTTCAGCTGGTAACCATGGCTATCACATGTCAGAAATCAGAGGACAATTTTGATTTACACAATTCTTATTTCTTTCATTAATGTAATTGTTATGTAGTTTAAATATATATATACATGTAATGATGTATTTTTCATAACCAATCTGCTATACCTGTATATCTCAAACCTGACCATTAATTTCAAGAAAAATGCAAATTAACGGTTTCCTGCTACCTTTTCAGTGACATAAGATTGCTGTTTTTGTATACATGCACAAAATGTAGATTTTGGTTTTAGAGAAGAAAAACATAAGCTTTTTATCTATAGACAAAGAATGTTGAATTTGTATTCAGAGACAAGGAATGTACCGGTAGATTTTGTACACAAAGACACTGCATGAACATTTTGTACTCAGTGACACAGAATGCTCGTTTCAAAGAAACATGATCTAGGTTTTCTGTTGAAACACATAATCCAGGTTTTGTATTGATATAAACAGAATTAAATTTTTTCTTATTCTGAAAACAAAAGATTGGCACCATTTCATTTTCAAAGACAAAAAATTACAGTTTAGAAGATAAACACTGTTTATCAACAGAGAAAAAGACCTAGTATTCTTGCATGAAAAAAAAATGTAAATGAATTCTGAAGTATGAAACAAAACTGTGGACTTAGCATAGTATTTGATCTATGATTGCTAGGTATTGATCATTCAACCATTATATAATTAGTTCTATAAGTGAAGAGATTAGTACATGTAGGAAGTGACCATATGCTTATGTATAATTTTTTAATAGGGTAATGACCACATATCAGATCCCTTTTTGTATCTTGACCTTGGCTCTTGTCTTTGTTAAATAAATTTTCATCTTATTTGTGCTAGGGGTATCTATCCTACAATAAGCCTATCCCATGTAATAAGCCCACCTATAATTATCAATATTTTATGCATTACCCACTGATACTTATTCAATGTTATGTGTGTATAAGCCCAGCTCTGTACAATGAGCCAGAGGTAATGTGCCCCCCTTGCCTACCAGCCCCCACACTTATTGCAGGATAAATACAACAGTTCTGTAGTCAGGTGAATTAAACCCTATGTGACTTACTTGTATAATTTCTATCATCTCATCACGGGAGACATAACCATTATTGTCCATGTCATACATCCGGAATGCCCACCTCAACTTTTGCTCAGTGCTACCCCGACTTTTCACACTCAATGCACACATAAATTCTCTGAAGTTGATGACACCGTCACCATTGATATCAAATGTCCTGAAAGCCTGTTGAGCAAATCCTTCAGCATCGCCCTCTGGGAAGCAGTTGGTGTATATGGTAATGAAGTTGTCAACAGTGAGATAGCCATCAGGATAGTCCTGTCGAAAGTTATGGTACCAGTCTTGCAGCTCTTTCTCGGAGAAGTGTGTGTTTATCTGTAGATCTCTGATGTCTTTAGGACGAAGTTTACTACTTCTATGACCCATACCAAAGCCTCACAGATCAAAGTAGGATGTTGTCTTTATTTACGGTGTGAATCTGAAGAACATAATCAATGATACTGATATTCTTTACAGCAATGGAGATACCTGTACAATATTGATTTATTGTGGTGTGCTGGTACTCTAAAGTCATTTGCTGTAACAAAGGTATAAAGATCAACACTACTCTGTGAAAACACTAAATTATTAATTTTCCATTCACACTCCAATTGTAATTATTCTGATGCAATAATTACATAATCAAATATTTCACTCTGGTTAATACCAGGGAAAAACATGTTACAGTATCAATGTACATGTAATATCTCAGTAGAACATGTATGTGAGCTATTAAATGTAGAAGTACAAATACTAGAGAATGAAAGCCATTATACACCCAACATATGCAAATCCTGAAATTAATTAAACTTTTGAGAACACCATGTAATATGTTTTTAGAACCTGGCCAATTTCTATTTTGTTTTTAAACTTTTAATCTCCACTGGTATCCAGCCAAAAATAAAATCAAATTGATCTGTAACCATGACTTTATTCAACTCTATACAACTTCGCTTCAGCATATCATAACAATACAAATTATACATGAATCTCTATAACCTTTACATTTACCCATGTGACCATGACATATGATTAACTCTGAACAATGTTACCACAACATGTCAGAGGGAAATATCTACTAGTGAGGAAAAACAACATATCAACCTTTAACACTGACATTTGATGTTCACCATTGGTCACATTTTAAAGTAAATTTTATCTTGGAATAACAAATCAAATTCCATTTTACATTATTGTGACCGCAACCTTAGGGTCATATTGGATGTTTCAAAACAGGAATTTACCTGGAATATTTTAGTTCTTATATTTACTGGTAACAATTGCACAAGATGAACAGATGTTTTTACGTCACAACTAGTAAGAACATTTATGTGACATTTTGAAGACTACACTGTCAATTCATCAGAAAAATTTGCAGTGAAAGCATGCAATGTATGAGACAATAATGGAATCACAGGACTTTTTGGCTGCAGGATAATCCTTGGTATACTAAAGTTGAAACCATCGTGAAGGGATGGCATGACATACATATGGAGATCACTAATCTATCTTGTTTTCACTATAATCTTATTGCTGTGCATCTCAATACACTATATCATCATTGGCTTTTTGCTTATTTTAGATCCTTAAAAGTTGGTAAAGGTCACTGATTTGAAAAAAAAAGAAAGAAAAACATCTTGCAAGCTCCAAGTATGCTACTTATCAATATATCATAACCCTGGACAACTTGGGAACTGAAAAGATGATTAAAAGATTTTATATCATAATTGACTCTGTAACCTTGAGAGTGGATAAATGTCAATAACCTTAAGTTAATTGATTGCCCTTACTCGCAGCATGCTGCTAGTCAATATCATGACACTAGGCATTTTTGTTATTGAGGAGATGATTACAAAGTGTATCAAGGTCATTCCGATGAACAAACTTACCAGTTTTATCCCAGTATGCTACTGGTTACCATATATATTTTGACCTCACATCTCATCAAGAATCTACAAAATGTATTAAGGGAAAAGCTGACGCTAGATGAACAAATGCCAGGTGCTGTACCATGGCATAATTAATCTATTAGAATTCTCGTAAGTCGGCTAAATATCCAATTACAACTAGGTAGATGAGGTTCCCTTCATGCACAAACAGCCATACTTGAGTAGCTAGATACTTCCCTTTGACCTTTCCATGAGCTTATATTTATCTTCTTCAAAGACCTCTGAGAGGATGACGGATTCCACTGTTGATAACTTTAATATGTTTGTTTTTGTATATTTCCCTTTTCCTAACAACCATTCTGTTGCTGAAAAGCAACTTTTTATCGCTATCCACGCTGAAAGTTCTATCAGTAATACATTGTAACGCAAGATGATTATTATAAATTACCATTTATAATTAATTACATTTTACTGACTCAAGACCGCCATCTATACAGTTCTAAACAATTTTATATCACTGCTTACTGAAATAACGTTATACTCTATGTTACAATGAAGCTGGTTACAAACAAAACATGAATTTCCTAAAGGACAGTGACCACTGACTTGTCTTACTAATGAATCTGATTTACCTGTTATACAATATCCTATTAATAAATTATCTCACCTGTAGAATTTTATATTTCCGGGGAACGTACAGGCATATGATAGGATACGCACCTTTTTTGTCCAGGTTACAATCGCCTGTACGTCGCAGATTCTGTAATCTCTGATGTTTAAAATCTTCTGTTGCGTAGGCTTAAGGAAAATCCACTACACTGTTTTGACTATATTTATAACTGAAGCGGATATAAAATCGGTGTCAGTACGCAGGTAAAACTTGTATACTGATCCAAACCCGTGTCACCTTGTTCAAACTCGCGTTCTCGAGCTGACTTGACTATGATTATGGTATATAGATCTGTCTCTGCTGATACATAGTATAACGGTGCAGTAAATCGCACAAAAGCAAACGTTATGATAGTTCTTGTATAATATCATAAAATATATATCCACTGCTCAAGTGCTTGAAATTAAATTAAGAAATTAAACTTTAAATATGTACTCGTCCGTAGCAGAGTGTGGATTTTATTATCTGTATTTATACGTTATATATTTCCAGCAGTACTAAGATATATACAACTACACTAAAATATTTGTATTCACATTCGTCATTTCTTAATACCAGCTTTCTAGAGATAAGCAAATGCCTATTAACGTGTATTTTTTTACAAGGCTCTCTTGCATTCTTCCAATGGCTCAGAAGAAATAGATATGAATACATTTCAAATTGTCTCGAAACTTGTCAGTCATAATACCATAGGTAGATATGCAGTTTCTGCATACTTTGTCCTATCTATAACTATTCGAGGTGACAGCGATACCAGCAAAACATATTAAAAAGAATAGTTTTTTTTTATTCATTATTTGTTTCGTAATGAATTCCTCCTTAGGGAACCTCTGTATTAACGGGGAGATTACTCTGTTACTATTTCCGGAAGTGAGCCGAACACATGTGCTGATCTTTGATTATTATGATTTCTTCTGCAGTGGCAGCTCTTCGGGAGTAGGAAACAAGTTTCAGCACTTCATCAACTTCAGCACGATTATGAGTATAATACCATGTCTAACGTGGGTAAAGCGAGGCGTCGCTAAAAATACGCCAGAGAAAGTAAGTTTAACTTGGGTATTGCACAAACACGTGCACTTTTCCGGTTGGGATTCTTCCTCAGCTTTGGACTCATATATACCGAACGTATGACAAAATCCGACGAGAGACATTGTTAAATGTCCGATATAAATGAGTTTCAAGGAGGATTCCCAAAAGAGATTACACGTGCACTTGATCAGTTGATTGACAGATTGAGTATGTCAGATTATCAGTTACCATTGAGCTACCTTGTGACAGTAGCACATCATAAATCAGAAGTAAAACAGATAGCATATTTTGCATAGGGATCTATGATCAGGAATTCATACCAACAAAGGGATATTGACAATTTGAAAGAATCCAAAACACAGCAATCTAATTCATAAAAAAACTGCAGAAGCAGAAATCCAAGGCAAAGCAAAAACGGAGAAAAGTCCAATGATAAAAACACTGAAGGAAGAAACCTCAGTCTGCTTCTGATGTTCATTTACAAACTTAATAAAATGTTCCAGGCAAAAATGTCTCACACAACATCCCATATAGCAGAATAGAGGGTATGCAATAACCTCAAAGGTAATATCAGAAATATCAGACAGGAGACTACCTCTGCCATTACAAACATTCATTCTTTGTTGACACTGTGATACATTAGCATCATCTACCTGACGGTGTTGTGTTTGCTGTCTCTTTTGAGACTTTATTACCGTCACCTACAGAATCATTATTTAAAAAACATTATGGCGTTTTCTCTCCCAGTTGTATAAAAGTCATCATTGTGTTCCACAACATCTAATACTGACACTGTAGTTCTTTCTCTAAAGTTCAGTTTCTATCCCAAATGCAGTTATAAACTTTCACAGCCCATTTATTATGTACACATATTCATTTTCTATAGTTATAAATTTTTCACTTGTGAATCTGAAGAAAAAAACGAATTCCTCCGATTTTAGATGATGTTCCTGAGCATCTCCATGTATAATGTGAAGTTAATGACATTGAGTTATGCTCTCTTGCTAAGTCATCAGTAGAGAAGATATTCCCAACTTGCACAATCAGGCTGTATTATATGATTATTATATGAACAGAAATGACTTTTTTTATGATTTTGTTTTTGCTAAATTTGCATTTGAATGATGTGATTATCACTATGTTTCTCATATCATCATGAGAAAATAGTTTCATCTAATTGAAAGATGGATACATGTAGAGTCTCTGTTTACAGGTAAAACTGGACAAGGAGGACCTGAAGAGAATCATAGAAGAAACTAGAGAGTGAGTAATGTTTCTGGTTAGCAGATTGTGAAGTTAACAGTGTAAACTTCAAATAACACTCTCAAGAAACTTTTCAGCTTTTCTGATGTAATAACTCTATGACCATTCTTAAAATATCAGTTAAATATGATAATAATCCCTTTTTCACGAGTAAATGAAAAGTTAAAACTGCAGTGCATTGACTGTAACCAAACAGGTATTAGAGAAGATTCAACTAAATCTTACTGCTGACCACTAACCTACGTGATAAGCTCTAACCCTGACTTGTGACCACTAACATACATGATAAGCTCTAACCCCTACTTGTGACCACTAACATACGTGATAAGCTCTAACTCCTACTTCTGACCACTAACATACGTGATAAGCTCTAACCCCTACTTGTGACTACTAACATACGTGATAAGCTCTAACCCCTACTTTTGACTACTAACATACGTGATAAGCTCTAACCCCTACTTGTGACCACTAACATACGTGATAAGCTCTAACCCCTACTTGTGACTACTAACATACGTGATAAGCTCTAACCCCTACTTGTGACTACTAACATACGTGATAAGCTCTAACCCCTACTTGTGACCACTAACATACGTGATAAGCTCTAACCCCTACTTGTGACTACTAACATACGTGATAAGCTCTAACCCCTACTTGTGACTACTAACATACGTGATAAGCTCTAACCCCTACTTGTGACTACCAACATACGTGATAAGCTCTAACCCCTACTTTTGACTACTAACATACGTGATAAGCTCTAACCCCTACTTGTGACTACTAACATACGTGATAAGCTCTAACCCCTACTTGTGACTACTAACATACGTGATAAGTTCTAACCCCTACTTGTGACTACTAACATACGTGATAAGCTCTAACCCCTACTTGTGACTACTAACATACATGATAAGCTCTAACCCCTACTTGTGACCACTAACATACATGGTAAGCTCTAACCCCTACTTGTGACCACTAACATATGTGATAAGCTCTAACCCCTACTTGTGACTACTAACATACGTGATAAGCTCTAACCCCTACTTGTGACCACTAACATATGTGATAAGCTCTAACCCCTACTTGTGACCACTAACATACGTGATAAGCTCTAACCCCTACTTGTGACTACTAACATATGTGATAAGCTCTAACCCCTACTTGTGACTACTAACATACGTGATAAGCTCTAACCTCTACTTGTGACTACTAACATACGTGATAAGCTCTAACCCCTACTTGTGACTACTAACATACGTGATAAGCTCTAACCCCTACTTGTGACCACTAACATACGTGATAAGCTCTAACCCCTACTTGTGACTACTAACATATGTGATAAGCTCTAACCTCTACTTGTGACTACTAACATACGTGATAAGCTCTAACCTCTACTTGTGACTACTAACATACGTGATAAGCTCTAACCTCTACTTGTGACTACTAACATACGTGATAAGCTCTAATCCCTACTTGTGACCACTAACATACGTGATAAGCTCTAACCCCTACTTGTGACCACTAACATACGTGATAAGCTCTAACCCCTACTTGTGACCACTAACATACGTGATAAGCTCTAACCCCTACTTGTGACCACTAACATACGTGATAAGCTCTAACCCCTACTTGTGACTACTAACATACGTGATAAGCTCTAACCCCTACTTGTGACCACTAACATACGTGATAAGCTCTAACCTCTACTTGTGACTACTAACATACGTGATAAGCTCTAACCCCTACTTTTGACTACTAACATACGTGATAAGCTCTAACCCCTACTTGTGACTACTAACATACGTGATAAGCTCTAACCCCTACTTGTGACCACTAACATACGTGATAAGCTCTAACCCCTACTTGTGACTACTAACATACATGGTAAGCTCTAACCCCTACTTGTGACCACTAACATACATGGTAAGCTCTAACCCCTACTTGTGACTACTAACATACGTGATAAGCTCTAACGCCTACTTGTGACCACTAAAATACATGGTAAGTTTTAATTAACAATGATGTGTGATTACTTAGAGACATGATAAAACTAAATCTAACATGTACTGAAGGAAATAGCACTTGTTTTATATTTCTAATCAAATAGAGAATTAGACGAAGATGAACCAGCTGACACATCAGAAGAGGAGGAAGAGGAGAATGAAGGAGCTACAGGAGGGAAGATGATGAAGGCCCAAAAACTAGAAAAAGGGAAGAGGATGCATGAAGATGATGGAGGCATGGAGGTTGATGATATAGTAGACAGATATGGATTAGACGATTATGATGATGATGACAATGAAGATGGTAATTCATTTTCTAAAAAGATGTAGAGTAGATGATTATAACGACAATGATAATGAAGATGGTTGGTAATTCATTGATTAAACAGATATAAGATGAAGATGATGATGATGATGATGATGATGATGATGATGATGATGATGATGATGATTACTTACTTACTTACTTTCTTTCTTTCTTTCTTTCTTTCTTTCTTTCTTTCTTTCTTTCTTTCTTTTTTCTTTCTTTCTTTCTTTCTTTCTTTCTTTCTTTCTTTCTTTCTTTCTTTCTTTCTTTCTTTCTTTCTTTCTTTACAAAGCAATATGCATACATACAGATGAAATGATATAGAAATCAGTTATTGCTTAATAGCTGGCAAGCTGTGAAACTTTATATTACAGGAAGTTCAGCAATGTCATCTTAATAGAGATAAGTCAATATTGTATAAGATGTAAATAGTGCAAGTTTGGCATGTTTTCCTTTCTCGATTTGTTTCAAGGAATGCTGAAGAAATGGGGATGAAAATAGTTAATACCTTATGAAATAGTTTACATGATTAATTTTCCTCGTAAAATAGTGATAGTGATATCGTATGCCTTCAGAATGTTGGACTATATATCTGTTTACCATTCAGAATAGATGTTGTATGATGTTACCATGATTTATGTCTGTTGTGTTGATAGCTCCGAATCCCCTGAAAGGACTTGGTAACTTGGTGTACTATACAAGCAATGATGATGATCCCTTCATCACACTTAAAGATGAGGTAAGTCATCACCACTGAAAACATGGAGTATATTTGACCTCAGTGAAACCATATTGTCTCTTACTGGTGAAAAATTACCTTTCACATAAAAAAGAAAACACTATGGAATCTCTACGGCTATATGAATATATCCTTTACATAATATATGTCTTTGTAGAAATTGTTATCAATCTAAAATACTCTAAGTGTATCCTGCAAACAAACATTCTTATTATTTTGATATTCTACTTTCTCAAGTACATAAAGACTTTTCATCTTAACTTGGAACTCTCCAGTCAACCAAACAGAATTGTATGTGATGTGATATCATTTGATTCTATCAAATCCAAAACACTATAACTGTAAAGCAAAAGGAATTATTAGTGATTTTGCTTGGTGTACAATTTGTATATTTGTGTAGAAGGACAGTGATGATGAAGAGTATGAGGTGAAGAACACAGACAATATGGTGGTGGTGGGTAAGGTGTCAGAAGAAAGCTGTAATCTAGATATCTATGGTAAGTACATTTTATTGTCTCTGTATCTTTCTCATTTGTAACAATTCTTGTCAATATTTCTGTTAATAATGAGGAGTATGGTAACCTATCTATATTACGACCTTTAGTATCTGACTTTTGTTTACAGTTTATAACGAGAAGTATGGTAACCTATCTATATTACATACCATCTCTAGTATCTGACTTTCGTTTACAGTTTATAACAAGGAGTATGGTAACATATCTATATTACATACTACCTCTAGTATCTGACTTTCGTTTACAGTTTATAACAAGGAGTATGGTAACATATCTATATTACATACTACCTCTAGTATCTGACTTTCGTTTACAGTTTATAACAAGGAGTATGGTAACATATCTATATTACATACTACCTCTAGTATCTGACTTTTGTTTATAGTTTATAACGAGAAGTATGGTAACATATCTATATTACATACTACCTCTAGTATCTGACTTTTGTTTATAGTTTATAATGAGAAGTATGGTAACCTATTTATATTACATACCATCTCTAGTATCTGACTTTTGTTTATAGTTTACAACGGGGAGTATGGTAACATATCTATATTACTACCTCTAGTATCAGACTTTTGTTTACAGTTTATAACGAGGAGTATGGTAACTTATATATCCATCACGATGTCATCCTATCTACATTTCCCCTGTGTGTGGAATGGCTCAACTATGATGTTTGTGATCAAGACACAGGTAATTATTGTCCAGATGTGGTATTAAAATGTGGAGCTAAATCATATAATATTTGAAAGCAGTATTTCTTTTTTTTTTTGATTCAACTCGGGCTTTTCCTTTCAAAATTTGTTTCTTCTTGACGCTATCAGCATGTACCTAAAATGTTTGTTTAATTTTCAATATTAACAAAAAAATTATCAAAACTGTTTAGAAAATGATATGACAAAATCTAATAGAAAGAAAATAAACTTGTACATACAGGTAATTTTGTTGCTGTGGGAACCATGGACCCAGTGATAGAGATCTGGGACCTAGACATTGTTGACTCCCTGGAGCCAGTTGCTATGCTGGGAAGCAAACCTTCAAAGAAAAAGAAGAAAAAAATGGTACAAAATGAATTATCCATTTGCAAACAGAATATATTACTTATGATCCATTTGTATACAGAATGGGTCTGCAGGCTGAGTAGCAATATAGAACTGAATGGATGATTAATTGTCTGCATTTAGTTAGAAATGTTCTGTTATAGCAATGAAATGTATCTAATGAGATACCAATCAGTTTTCTATTCATCACATTTTCAAATTAAAGAAGAGAATTAATGTTTTTTGTGTCAAAAAACAGATGTGTTCTTTTCAGAAATCATACCACAGTGTTCCCCATTTTGTATTGTTTTCAGGGTTTCTAACTTTTCATGGTTTCATTCCATCAGTGAAAATTTCAGCCTGTTCTGTATTTCACTTCTTTAATTGAAATAGAATTGAATGTTATCTGCAGGTGTAAATGTAATGTCACATTTTATACTTTTCCCCACAGAAAGGAGTGATGGGCCACACAGACTCAGTTCTTGATTTGTCCTGGAATTCTAACATAAGGTAAGTGTTCAATATGTTACTTCAATATACTAATCAGTATTATATATAAAGATACTCCTATGTATAGTAAGTGTTCAATGTATGACTTTGTATGATATGTAAACATACAACTCCTATGTAAGGTAGGTGTCCATTATATTACACTGTATTATATATAATGATACAACTCCTATGTAAGGTAGGTGTTCATTATATTACACTGTATTATATATAATGATACAACTCCTATGTAAGGTAGGTGTTCATTATATTACACTGTATTATATATAAAGATACACCTCCTATGTAAGGTAAGTGTCCATTATATTACACTGTATTATATATAATGATACAACTCCTATGTAAGGTAAGTGTCCATTATATTACACTGTATTATATATAAAGATACACCTCCTATGTAAGGTAAGTGTCCATTATATTACACTGTATTATATAAAATGATACACCTCCTATGTAAGGTAAGTGTCCATTATATTACACTGTATTATATATAATGATACAACTCCTATGTAAGGTAGGTGTAATTTATTTTTAAAAAAGTTGCTAAATGTCAGTTATAATAATCACTTACTAGAGATTAAATTGGTTTTATACTGTATAGAAAGTGATGTATTTACATGTTTAACATCAAACATCTTCTCTATTGTTTTTATATTTTTGGCTTTCAATTTTTTGGAGGTGGGTGGGGAAATGGCCATGTCTCAAAATATGTGATCATTTCCTTTATTTTTTCACAGAAATGTACTGGCTAGTGCATCAGCAGACTTCACTGTGGGACTGTGGGACTTAAATGAAGGCAAAATTGTCACATCAATCACACAACATAAAGAAAAGGTAAACAACAGATGTTTCCTGCTCTGTTCAAGGGCATTAACTCTCTGAAGATCTATTTAGCATTATGATTTAACAAAAAAGTGTCTTGGTGTGACATTTATAGTCTTCAATAAATGACATAACCTTACAGGCATGAATAAAATATTGTTCAAGTGATTTATTGCTCTAGTCTACTAATATAGAGAGCTAGCACAGCTACAGTTCCTGGACTTTGTGATCAGCTTTGAAATGACCAGGGAGGGGTACCTTAACGAGGTCAAGAGGAGTATCTGAATGGGATCAGGAGGGAAACCTGGACGGGGTCACGAGGGGTACCTGGACTGGGTCAGGAGGGGTACCTGGACAGGATCAGCAGGGGTACCTGGATGGGGTCAGAAGGGGTACATGAATCATTGGTGCCATCAGTTAAATGATTGAACACTATGTGCTGATATGTATTATAGCTTTTATCAATCCTGGATCATTGGTGCCATCAATTAAGAAAAAAAACTTAAATGATATATTTTTCAACATTATTGTATGTAACATTTAACACCATTCCTTGCTCAGTTAAAATACTTTCATGTATTCTCTATACTAATACATAGATAGATGATAGATAATTTTAGTGTATCCACTATAGCAATAAATAGGATAGATCATTGGTAGATGGTTGATAATTCCAGTAAAATCAATTGCCATTCATGATTCTGAACCAGTTCCCCGCACTTAGATGAAAAGGATGGAAAGCTGCTGTCACCCAATATATACAACTCCTGTGCATGAAAAACAATACATTTGCAACCAGGATTTTCCTGTGCTTCTCCCCCTACTAATGAATTCTTGTTCTCATTTTTAAAACAAAGGAACACTTCATTTCTGTACCTTATACTTGTACTTTATAATACAAATTCTAAGTGTGACATACGTGTATACATACCTCCAGCCAGAACTGGTCCTGCCTTGTCCAAGAGGGTGAAGCTCAAGGGTAGCTGGTCATAACTTGGAAATTATTGAGATCCTTTCTGACCATATCTGGTTTTATATTCCCTAGATTAGACCTTGGTCCAGTCTCCCCCTGAAGACCTTTGGTTCAATGCAGAGCAGTTTAAATCAATTCCAACAATCCTATATGTTGTAAACACCTGTTTTCACGATGCAAGGTTTTCCACTCTTGTTACAAGCATATTTTAGCCTTAACGTTCAGGAGAGTGATAACTGCCCTCTAGGAGTCTGGATAAATTGTGTGATGTTGTTATGGGGACAAATGGGTCAAAACGTTTTCAAGCCTGTTGCTTAGGAACATTTATTTAAACACCTTAATTATATAATAACACAGTTGAGAATTGGGATGATGTTGTGACTTCTAAGTGAAGATGCACTTTCAAATGTAACACAGTCTTGTCTACCTTGTCATAAATTCACTTTAATATTTCTTGTACTTGGTAAAATATTCAACTCCACGTCAAAATCATTAAAATGTTACTTTTGATTTCCAGGTTCAGAGTATAAAATGGCATCCAGTTGAATCCCAATCTCTGCTCTCTGGGTCATTTGACAAGTAAGTCAAACCTATTTCTAGTTAATTAATTGGAAGGCACACAAGTGCACCCTTTTAACAGGTGGTCTCTTTACAGCTGGTCTCTTGTTACAGGTAGTCCTTTATCTTATAACAAAGTGGTGTCTATGATTACAGGTGACAGGTAAGTGTTACAGAACTGAGGGTAGGATGAGTGGGTACTATACTATTGTGTTGTGTCATGCTGTCGTTCCACTCTTTATTTTGTCTGGGCTGTTTCCTACAACTTGTTAAGTGATCATACAGGATAGGTTGACATAGCTGAGACAGTGTGTCATATACTAAAGTTGAGCTCTATGATCTCTATTTTGACCTTCGACCTTAACTAGGCATTGGTGATACCAGTGATTGAGATTAGCAATGTTGCCAGGCCTCTTCTATGTTGTTCAGCTACTACAAGGAAACCTTGACTTAAAATGACCCTGGCTGTTCCTGAGGAGATGAACCCATAACCATACAACAAACAGCTTCTTGGCATCAGTGATATTTCTTTTTCCTTTGTGAACATCTAATATCACCTACTTGAAATTACATGTGTCACCAAATGTTATATAATGAAAAACCCTAGAATAGATGGCATCAGCAGATGTGATTTAATACTAGAGTGGTTCATCTTACCACATCCTCGATACTCGAGGGGTTACAATCACTTTCGCTCTCTGCACCCCTTGAACATGTCATGGCAAATTGAAGGTACTGTGTGTATACATCCACTCAATTAACCTAATCCTTATTGAATAAGACGAGACATTCATGGTCTTGAATCTCCTTGGCATATGATTTCATATTCAGTGGGGAACTATAATTCACCAAATTGTCAGGTAATTTTTTTTTTATTTCTTGTCAAGTTAAAATGTCTGTTACTATGAATAGAAAATTCGTTCTGACTCAGTAACTCAAGTTCCACTCAATAACTTGTGTTCTCTGATCTTATCTTTCTCAATGTTCCTGTACAATTAACCACTCATCTCATAAATCAATGGACAGATTTGATTGATTGCCTATCATAGCATCACCCCACCAAGGTCTACATCTGATATATTTTGGTGGTCATTGGTCAAGGTTTAAGGTCAAAGCCATCCTTAACCACTTTTGGAATAAAAAAGCTTGTGGACAAGATATCTTGAAAAACATTCAGTAGATTAACCCTTCAGTGGATTAGATCAAAAGAAAAAGATGAGGGGGTGAGGGTGAACCCTGCTTACTTTGTTTTTATTCACACGAATATATCTTTACCCTCAGTGAACCCCTTGTGGTGTAAGGCTCTATATGTATTCATAAAACAAAGAATTGTCTTTCATGCTTCAGACTGAAGCATGTCAGTGATTTGATCATCATTAGCAGTGGTCTTTTTTGGTTATATGATCTCTTAATTTTTTATTTCTGTTTTTTTATTCTTTAAAGAGACACCTTGTATTTGAGAATTACATGATAATAATCAAGGGTAATTTTTTTCAAAATGTTCAAACAAGGAACAAAATTTGAATACAAGTTTATGTATTGTTCTCTTTGTCCTCAGCACGGTGAAGGTGTATGATTGTCGGAGTCCTAATGACACGTTCAAAAGCTGGAATCTGGATGGAGAGATAGAGAGGGTCATCTGGGACTCGTACTCTCCTCTCAACTTCTTTGTATGTATCCTAATCTGTCACTGCTTGGTGAAACAATACCTAAATTTCTATATCTATATACGTATAATTCCTAATAAGTTAGACTTCATATGATGTTTTTTGATGGAAGAATCACAAAAGGATCTACTTCTGTTCTTATAGAAATTGTATAAACAAACATACAACATTTGATTTGTGGAAATTTTATATATATCTAGCTAGATTGATTTACAAACATCAGCTCGACCATGATTGAGCAACATCAGCTTTGCTTTTTATTAGCCAAATAGTGTAATATATGTATTGTTTGTATATGACATGAAACAGTCCAAACAAAGCAATGAAATCCTGATCCCAGCAGAAATTATAGGTGAACAGTGTACTTATTAACCCGCTACTTCGCATAAAAGCATTGATCCAGTCAGTGACTGAGGTCAAGATTATGTGAATTCAACAGGAGACAAATGATTTTAAACATTAGCACTTTGGGTACCTAAATGTGTACAAATAAGAACCTGGCCTAATCTATTTTAAAAGGCAAAAGAGTGAAAATATGGAGGGACTAAACTTAAGGTTCCAAATAAACAACTGTACATTTCTATCAACTCTAACTTGTATCCAAAAGACTTTTTATTCCTTTACAAAGTTTTACAATTTAAATAAGTTTAAGGAAATTAAATTTTACAAAAATCTTTCATCTCATATTTATATTCGAAAATTTTTAGGTGAGCATATAGTCCCCACTTTGTTTATCCGTCTTTCTGTCTGTGCTTTTGTGAACAGAGCATAACTTTTCCCGGAGTTAAGCAAGTATAATGAAACTTGGTGTATACATTGGTCATGCTAAGGTGATGTGAAGAGTACAATATTCTGGGACTGCAACCACTTAAGTACAAAGTTATTGCCTTTTTTATTCAGAGCAGAACTTTTCTTTCATTTCTTGCCCTTTGTGTCTGAAGAATAAATCTGCCTCTATTTAAACTAGAATAATGAAACATGTTTGTTAAAATTTCATGTCCATAGCATAACTTTGCTTTTATTAAAATTGGGATAATGAAACTTTGTGGTTACATTGGTCATTCAGTGCCTGAATCCCTTAATTTCAAAATTATTGCCCTATGTTAAAATTAAGTCATTTTCTGAAAACATTCTTCAGTTTTACTGACACTCTTGTTTTAATTTATTGCTATTTATGAGGTTCTCTTGAAATGGTCATGAATCCAACTTTTGATTGTAGGCAAGTACTGACTCGGGGCGAGTGTACTACCTAGACTCGCGCACAGATAAACCACTATACACTCTCTCTGCACACAACAAGGCTGTAACAGGTAGGGTATCTCTCAGACATGTAAACCTCTATACACTCTCTACCCACATGGCTGTAACAGGTAGGGCATATCTCACAGATAGATAAACCTCTATGTACACTGTCTCTACCCACAAGGCTGTAACAGGTAGGGTATCTCTCAGACATGTAAACCTCTATACACTCTCTACCCACAAGGCTGTAACAGGTAGGGTATCTCTCACAGACAGATAAACCTATGTACATTCTGCCCACACTGATGCTGTAACAGGTAAGGTATTTCTCACAGACAGATAAAACTCTGTACACTGTCTCAAGCCACAAGGCTGTCACAGGTATGGAATCTCTCAGACGTGTAAATTTCTGTACACTGTCTCCACCCACAAGGCTGTAACAGGTAGGGTATCTCTCAGACATGTAAATTTCTGTACACTGTCTCCACCCACAAGGCTGTAACAGGTAGGGTATCTCTCACAGACATGTAAATCTCTGTACAATTATTCCTCTCATGTAATTCATCTCTCTCAGACAGTTAAATCTCTGTACACTCTCCACCTCCATCATGTTTGTCACATGTAATGTATCTCTCACAGATAGATAAAGCTATATGCACACTCTGCCCACCCACAACAAGGCTATCACAGGTAAGGTGTCTTCTGATTGTAAATTTCAGCTCATATGAAGACAATCAGTTACAATATGAGGTAGATCCCTAAATGGAGAATGTCCGCTGATCCTTCAGCTAGTGTTCTATTCCAAACAGTAATGCATGACCTCAATGTTTTCAAACTAGACAGGGTAACACTGCTCTATATACTAAGTGTCTACAAATAGACAATGAATTTGTAAACTACTATTTAATCCTGATAACACTTCCTATCTGCTTTATACAAAGCTTGAATTCTGTTGATATTACATCCCTTTAGGACTGGCACTGAGCAGCAGTGTTAAGGGCCTTCTGACCACGGCCTCTGCAGATCAGTCACTCAAGGTGTGGGATGTCCTTGACAACAAGCCCTCACTGATCCTGGAAAAAGATCTTAAATTGGTAAGACCACCAGAAATAAAAATAAAATGTCTTTCCCATTGGGGTATACTTTGTTGTGAGCAAAGATAATATTTTATCACTTCTGGGATATTTGTTGGCAGATATATTACTACTTAAGGCACCAGATTTTATATAGTTCATTAGAGAATGTCCCTAGCAAGGCATCACAGGATTTCTACATTTGACGATGCCAGCCTTGCCAGCCTCCTCCGATTTGTGTGTTATTAATTTTGTTGTGTAACTGGTTTCTTCCTTGATAGTTTCCTCTGGTTAGTCTTTTTCTTTTTATTGTGTTTCCCTGGATAGACACACCAGACATGTTCATTAAGAAAATTCTGGTTCGTTTACATCTAATTGTAACAAATTACTGATGGACCTGGTTAATTTCGACCTTGAAAGACTGTCAAGTTTATTCTGAAAGCAAAATAATACCAGGTTTCATATCAAACTATTTGGATGGCAATAAACACATGTGACCCTTTTGAGCTTTTCATCTGCTCGAAACACTCATTTTATTATGTCACCACCATTCAAGTGATCATATACTCTTTATTTTTGGTGGTTGGTTAGCTTTCCATGCACTCTTTCATTTGCTTTGCTAGTCAGTTTTTTATCTTCTCTTTTGTGTGGATGGATAGCTATTTACTGTTTGGTGGTTGGTATTCTCCTTATCTACTCTTGTTAGGTTGGTTGGTAATATCTATATCTACTCCTCTTTAGTTGATAATCTCTAACTAATTTGTTTGGTTGATTTGGTCATTATCCGATCTCCTATCTGGCGGTGTCCCCATGGTCTAAAACATACTTTGTCAAACATTGATAATTCTGAAGAAACACACGATTTAAGGTAAACCATATATATAAGATATGTTTTCTTTCTTTCCAGAATGATCTACATTGCTTGTGTGCCTGTCCAGAAGCTCCATTTGTATTTGCTGTTGGAGGAGAAAAGGAATTAAGGGTTTGGGACATAAGAAGCAGTGCTGCAGGTTCTTTTCTTTCCTGATAATATTTAGCTTAGCAACTTTATTATGGCAGAAAGCTGGAGACATTTTAATTATCAATTGTTAAATAAGAGTCAAGTAATAGTAAATAACACCAGTTTTAACTTTGATCCCTTGTATATGAAATCTAATGTGATTATGTCACTACAATGACAAGCAGCCAGAATACATGATTTTGAAATAGTTCAGGATGTATTAGAACCAGAAAATGTTTTCTCTTTTCAGTCCGTAAGCACTTTTTCAATCGTGCTCCCTCTGGTGTCACAATGGAGGATCTTGATGAAGGGGAAACAACAGCTGCTTTTGAAAGCTTGGATCTTGATAAAGATTCTGATGCAGAAGAAATGGAAGAACTCATTGCAGGATTTTCTGGAGCCCCCCAAACTACAGTAGCAGCATCTGCCACTAATTCAACGAAAAAGAAAAAGAAGAAGAAAAAGAAGCCTAAACATAAACCGTCTTGAAAATTCTTGTTGCATAACTTTCACCAAAAATAAATTTTATTATTTAATACATTATGTATTTTGTCTTTAATATTTGTATTTTATAAATACATGACAGGTCACCATTTCCTCTTGGTCATCAGTAATCTCATTGATGAAAGTTTTTACCACAGGCAGTGATTAGCATTAGTTATTGTAAGTATATCAACATTTTGAACCAAAATATTTCATATCCTTTCACACCAAGGTATAACAAATCCTACAGAAAAACCAAAGGTGTTATTACTGAATTGAATTGAAATCTCTTCAGCGATCATTCAGTTTTTAAAATTACTGATTGAAGGTGTGAAGGAGGCATGTCCATTGCCTGTTGATATTGTGTAGACAACCTTGGCAGATGTTTTTGAAAACAGGTGTAAAACAATTACAGACTATTAGAAATCTATTAAAAACTAACATTACAGAATGTATCGGGATAATAATTCTCTATCACATTTTACTTCTATTTTCCTATTTTCATTTCAAAAAAACAAAAAAACAAACACAATGCTTTAAAGATGTGTAATCAAAATTGGAACTTTATACATACACAATACTTAATTGTTTACAAAGTAGTACAATTCTGATTTCACCTACATTTACATCATAACTTTTCTCCCCTGGTGTCTTTTCCTTTACATAATGAGATGTCTCCCTATGGTGCTGCATATCTCCAGTGGTTTGACATTAGATAAAAGCAAGACCATAGCTTCACACTAGCAGTAGAAATCCTGATATTAAGCATGGGAACTACAGAACATATATTCCATACAAACATAAATGGTTGCAAAGAAATCACACATCAGTGTGAAGTCTAGATCTACATAAATAGTCTCAAATTGTTGTCTTTGTTAAAACCATGTATCGTTTGTGACATCAATGTTTCAGCTAAATTCACTGACATGTTGGAACAAATCTGATATGATTGTTTAAATAGTAACATTAAACGTCATTATCATTTTCCTCACAGTATATCATACGCATTGTTCTCAGTGTATATGACAATTTTTTTTGTCTTTGAAATAATATTCTTCAGTCTACATCATCGATACTTTTCTTTTCCGTCGTTGAAGAGGCTGTATTCTGTGATGTATCACTGACCTCTGCATATTCACCCTCTTCCTCCTCCTCACCTTCCTCCCCTGCTCCATCTGGTTGTTTGTTTGCCTCCGGCACCCACAGACCAGAATCTATGCAGCGCTTAAGATGATAGCTTGCTTCCTCATGGTCCATCTCTGATATCACCTTCTGTAGCATTGGGATGTCCTTGGCTTCAAAGCACTCCTTCATGGCCTATGAACAACAACAATATATCACAGGTGACATTTATTTCTCAAATGATTCTCAGTGATGCAAGACTTAAAACAACATTCTTCACAGCCTTTTCTACTTCAGGCGATAATCAGGAAGTGGAAGAATTAAATTTGCCATCGTTCATATTCACAGATTAAAACGGTCTATTTTTTCAAATCAACAAATATAGATCATTTCTGTCACACTCTATCCTATGAAAGGGATTAAATGTCTTACTTTAAGGATAAAACAACACTGGCAGGAGGATCTAAGTAATGCACAGTCCTCTAGTGCTTTATATACTTTAGTTTGGACCCAGTTTGCAGACAAAACTGACACTTTTTAAGATTAAAATAAATTTTAAAGATATCTTGAATCCTATTATTACTTTTTCACCAAGAGTAAAGTAGGAGACGAATAACAAAATGAACATGTTTCTCAGTAGAAATTACCTCTGGCAGACTTTCAAAAACCTCCACAGGATCCTCTCCTCCTGGACCTAAGCGTTTCTTTCTCTCCTCCTGTTATAATCAAGCAAATATTACATGTTTGACAAAGATATGACTGGCACATCAGATGTGATCCATTGTTTCACAATATTGCAGATAATTATTCATTTTCATGTTATTTTTGAGGGAATTTTAGCTTTAATTCTACTGACTCCGTTGCAAAGTCATAAAACTCTTCAACATCATTTTCAACAATGTATCTGTAACTTCATCATTATTGTTAGCAAAAATATGCCAGTAACATGCCAATTTTCTGATGAATTAAATGAAAAATGTTTTCTGTACAAGTCCAAGAGCTGAGTTTAAAACATTAAGCACACTTCTATATCTCAAGTGAAGCACCAAGTGGGAGTTTGGACTACAATAAATATTTGTGATATGAATAGTGTCACAAACACCTCATCAGGACAAGATTAAAACATAATGATCATACCTCTTCATATTCTTTAATGGCAGTGTCAATGCGGGCCTTTGCCCTTCCTCGTACTCTCTCTTTGAATGCCTCTAACTCATCTTTGAATGCTTCCATATACTGTGGTTCCTCAAGTTTGATCCTATGATAGGTGCAAGTATATAAATAATCTTTATTTATTTTACAACAATTGCAAAGCAAGTTTTTCCAACTTATATTAATCACTCTTGTTGGCTCGGATGGAAGTGACGAGGGGTCTTAGTGTAGAAGGAAACCGAAGTACGTGGGGAAAACCCACATGGTCGGGTAGGTGACCCCATACCTTTTCTCATCCATTCTGGGAATCGAATCCCCGACGACTAGGTGAAAGGCGAGAGCGTTACCACTGCACCACCCCACCACCCAAGTGGTGCAAGTAATTAACATTACAGTACACAACAATACTTTCATTCTCATACTTAATCTATCAGTTTTCTTTTTGCCATGTTGGAAGACATTAACTAATTGGGGAATAATATCATGGATATCAGGGATAACTCACTTTGAGAAGAAGGGTCGAACACAAGCTCTCGGGTCAATATCCATGTTCTTAGACAGCTCCATGATAAAATTCATCACTATTGTCTGGTGAGCCACATGATGCATTAGGTTGTGTTTCTGTAAAAATATCAGCAATGGTCTCTTTACTTTTATCATATAATGCCACTTACAAATACAGGAATTAATATACAATAAATCTAAAAAAATTTAACATCCATGTAAAACATGAATATCCTGGCAAAACATTGAACAGTTGTATTGCAGCACATTTTCTTCAGGTTAGTAGTGTCAATAAAAAAAAGTTTTGATGATATAATCAGTAAAAAGTGTGATGTTTTGACACCTTCATTAAACAAATCTGGTGAAGGTGACTGTAGTAATCGAAACATCACACTCATATCTTTTACTGATTGTGTTATAAGTGCTTATATTCATTCTGTTGAAATTATAGATAATATACAATAATGAACACGTATTTAATATCAATTAAGAAATGAAATACACTGCAAGTTATATATCAACACATTTCTAAAATATTTATTGGAAATAACTAAGTCATTTACATCCACAAGAAAAATCTACAGTTGGAGAAATTTCCAGAGAACCAATGTCCGCTAAGCGGAAAACCAACGTTTGCTAAGTATACAAGTGTTTTGAGGTTCATCTTCTAGGCTTAAGGAGGATACCTAATAGTATATACAGAGGTCTCTTAAGAAGTAGTTAGTATTGAGTCACATAAAATTTCAGACCATCAACATGAAATTTACATTCATCACTGGAATCTGAGATAATATCTGAATAACACCAGGAAAACATATGCCCCAACATTATGATAATGATACAGACCTCCTCAACCTCCAGGTCTATACACCAGATCACCAAGTAGTTGGCTGTTTCCTCACACACCAAGTGGGGTTTTTCTGTCAGGAACTGTTGACTATCCTCGTACCTTTTCAACATTCCAAACTTCTTGACGTCATCTTTATACTTCTTTTGGAAATCTTCCTGTAAAAAAATCCACTCCAATATAATAACCACAGATTCAAGTCTGTTTAATATGAAGTCTGTTTAATATGTATCATTACACCTGATATTTTGCTATTAATAGATGTATTGTAAATATAGGTGTCTAACAAGATCTGACTGTACTAAATACCCATTTTATTTTCTGTTGTTAGTCTGAAGAGATTTTCATAATCTGGTGTTCAAATATGAACCTCTAGTGTAAATGGTATCAATATGTTAATTATAAATAAAGACTGGGTGGCTTGTATTGATTCGAGGAAACATACATATCAAACAGACTTTTTAAAACAGTTATACAGGTACAAATAGGTTACCTTCATATATAACCCCAAGCTTCAAACTTAACGAATGTAACAAAAAGGCATTCATACAATCATGAACCATAAAAATAGCTAGTTTCAAAAGTTTTTTTCCCTGTAAAAGGCTTACACAATCTCATTACCTGTCTCTCTGCTTTTTCTTCATCAGTGAGATCTTTCTTCCTCTCCGGCAGTTTGTTGATAACCTAAAATTTACATCTAAATTAAAATACTTCAAGATACTTCTTATATCATTTCAGATTTGATCAATATCTGTCTGCTAAGAGGTAAATGAATATTGGTAAGATTTTGAAATTCCTGCTTCAATTTAACGTCTTCATTTATCATAAAATATGCAATGTCAAAACACACTATTTTACTGAGATTAAATAAAGCATGAAAACTTTGTTACTTTTTTGCATTTTATATTTCAGCATTAAATAAAACACCTCATATTGAATTAACATTTACTCACTGTTTTTGACTTCCCATCATGACAAATTGTGTCAATATTTAAGGGAGTAAGCTAAAAAAAAAAAAAAAAACAAAAACACACAAGTTACACAGTTTATAAATGCAAGTTATAAATTGGGCTGTGCAAATTTCTATTCAGTGTGTACTTGCCTGTTTGTAGATTTTGAATTAATCCTTTTTCTTTTCATAAAGATTCACATACAAATCAGAGCAGTGGCATTTCGAAAATATGCCAACAAAGTATAATGCATGTACCTATCAAATCTTTATTTATTCTGAATAAGCGAAATTTCTTAACATCTACCAAAAGTCTGGTACCCAACATACACATACCTCCCTGTATAACTGTATACTGGGTAATACAATTTTCCCATAAGCATGCATTATGCACATAGTCTATTCTAACAAATTAAAAAGGATTTACAAGAGTTGTTTGATATCTAATCTCAACATGAAAAAGGACATGTTAAATAACTTAACAAACCTTTTCCTTTTTCTTCAATTCCTCTTCTTTTTCTCTAAATTTCTTTTCTTGTTCTTCAAGTTGTTTCAAGTCAATTTTCAGTTTGGATATTTGATCTGTTGCATCCTGTTTCAAATTAAAAAAAAGTAATAAGAGTGTAAAAAGCATGGTATGAAAATAAAGGAAAGTACTTCGTTTTCATGATCAAATTCTAAGGTCAATGCGAAAGTCAGAGTTGATTAATACAATGTGGGAGATCTCCATCACATAGGAGAGGTAGCAAGAAAATTCTTTTATTTTTATAATTTTTTTATTTTGAAATCATTTTGAACATACACATTCATAGACAATAATATATACTGTATTCTCACATACAGATACGCCCCCTCATACACAGATGTACAAACAGTTATTGACACCCTTATTGAAGCAAGATTAATTCTTTTTAGTTTTGTTTACACCCGTGCTACTCACACAGACACATTTGCATGATATTTTATCAATGTAAACCTAAGGTATCATTAAACTGTACGATGGGCCAGGTAAAGCTACCACCAAAGAGGCAAGAAGCAAATCATAATAGAAATGACCACCCATAGTCTGTCATACTACCAACACAATCCTTTATATATTCTGTCTTTTCGAAATGCACTATTATCTGCACTATTGTGCAGGTTGACGTCAGTTTGTTTGAGAAAATTATATCAATTTCTCTCAAATTTATGACATTATTATCTCACACACAATGATTTAACAATCAACACCTGCTCAGAAAAGCAGATAGCTGTATCTCATAAAGAATGAGTACATCAAGTGAAGAATGTTCCTCCAGTGGACAAAAATAGCAATGACATCCCTCATGATTACAAGTACTAGAGTCATGTTTTGTGGTAAAGTCACTATCAAGAAAGCTTATATCTAGAGACTTGGTACATGCATTTTAATGACAGCTCTTTGTAAAGTAATCACAGGAATTTACGTAGCATGTATTGCTGTTATATTTGCTTCTTGCTGCTTTGGCAGAAGCTATATCCTGTCAGCTGTTTAGTGATAATAATACATTGGTAAAATTGCTTTAATCTGTTTATTTTGATTATTGTTGTAATTACTCAATTGACTTTTTACAGTATAGTTGGTAATATTCACATGGGATTTAATTTTGCTATATTAATGGTTAGTAAATATTGAGTAAATAATTTTACTGTACATGAAAATCTCAAAAATTATCTGTAATGCCTGTTTACATGGACACCAGTTAATAGTAATATTTAATACCCATGAACTAGCTGAAACTGGGACAACCCGAAAATATTAGCCCCATAAAATTTAACAAATTAGTTAATCATTTTTAAAGTAATGAAATGTTATGGTGGTACTTTACGTGGAAATAAACACAACCATTAATATTGACCACTTTACCTTTGTCTCTTCAGCTGCCTTTATTTTGTCTTTAAGCTCTATTACCTTCTTCTGTTGCCTGTAAGTGTAACAAAAGCAAAGTGGCTTAATAAACATAAATTTCTGGATGAGGAATATGTGACAAATTTTAATTCAAACAGTTTGTCCTTAAATGTATGCACAGTGTTTATTTCAAATGAATGCCTGTTATACCATTGCTTTACCTGTTATATATACCATAGTCAGTTGTAAAAATCAACTAAAGACTTGTGTTTGGTTTTTCATGGATTTAAATGAAATCTAAATGACTACAGACTTGACACTTTAGAGACTAAAACTGTAAAATATTAAACAAATGTGCACACAGATTACAAGTTATGCATTAAATGAAAATTCAGAACAACCAGACAATCCTGGACCTGCTCTTAAAAACCGGTACATAATTGATGAATTTCTGATAATTTATTTACTCAGACAATCCTTTTTCTACAGCATCTTTTTCTTTCTTTTGTTCCTCCATTCGTTCAACTCTGGCTTGGTGTCTCCACCTGAAAAGGCTTCCAGTGTCAATGTTAGGGTGTGTGTCATCTTCATCATCTGATATCTGAAGAGAAGACAAGTTCATGTAACCATAAAGCAATGCTATAATCCTAAAAGTAATTCACTTTTCATCAAGGATGTGAACTGTTAGAACAAAATTTTGTTTAATCAAGAGTCTTATCAATTTAAAAACATGCACAATGGAGAGAATACACTTACAATCCATCACATCATCTAGATCCTCAAGCACATTTGTCATAAGTACTTTTTCAATAACCAATCAAAATGGCATTTTCTCTTTCATTGCTAACGGGTGAGATATGTAGACCATTTGGTGTTTATTACATTTGCTAACTAAAGTTTCAAAAAATATTTGAACAATACCACTATTCAGTCACAATGGAATAATAAATAGGTGAGGAAAAATGTACAGTCAGATCAGTTTGAATCTGGAACCCTAACAACTCTAGACAGATTCTCTCTGCCTATTTAGCTATCTGGTCACTGACGATCAACCAAGTCATGTCCTGCTATATTCCTCTTTCCTTTTTCCCCCTAAGTTTTCACCCCCCAAACATACAGCTATTGCTTAACACAGGTCTGTGTAACCCATTATCAAATTTTAATCTCTTTATATAAGGTTCAGCCACAAGCACCAAAAGATACATGCTTAGAGTGGACAAAATGCATGGGAAGAATGGAGTTTAAACCAAAAACTCTCTTAACTCTAGACTGATGCATTGCAAATTTAACTACCTGGTCACCCATGATTGACACAGTCCATTTCTTTTCTGTCAAAAGTAGATTTACATACCAGAAAATGATTAAATAATACCAGCACATGACTTCACAGTAACTGTCGATTGACTTATATCTGTCAAGTACATGATTTATCGAACTGTAATCAAATGAGACAACCTTCATGTCCTAGTCACTTATTGTGAACGGGTCGTTTTAAATTGTACTTAATTTTGGCTAAGTGGAAAGGATTTGAAATTGTGATGACGCATTATAGTTCAAGCGCATCCTCTTTTGTCCAATGTGCCTGAGTTCTGGAGAGTTTTATCCTCCGTATTGAAAGGATTCATTGGAGTTTCAGTGCATCCTCGCAAATCCATGGACGTTCCTAACCCGTTATTGTGGATAACATTCATTATTGGTCAGCAATGCTCCTCGAATTAACAGACCAATATTCCAGATCTAATCGTTTTAAAATCCTAAATAAAACAGTTAATGATGTGAATAAAAAACGCATGATATTCAGAATCAGGACAATGAAAAAATGATGAGAATCAGATTCTCGAAAATTCTTCAACAACAGACATATTTTCAAAAAGGCAGTCACTTATTTAAACTATCTAGAGAATGAGTTCAAAATCTATCTAAGCTGTGAATTATATTCAAATTTATTTCGGCATTACCTCAATGTGATCCCATTTACTGTAATTTACACAAGACATCGTCCTTTTTTACGCTTGATGTACAAACGCAGATGCAGCTCAAGAACAGGAAGTGATAAATACAAATAAGGGAGGTTACTCTTATGCTACATGTATCGGAACTTGGTAAATCGAAGTACTTAAAGTACTAAAATGTACCTACTTTTATGAATTGACCATTTGTCCTATTAGAATGAAGAAATTTAAGATGCTATATAACGATGCTTGTGCTTGTTGTTTGATATCCCGACGTTTTAAATTGCCAAATAAATCACTGAATATGTCGGCGTAGTACATTAAGGTCGCCATAGACGTATGTAACACCTGTTATGTATTTAGGCCTAATAGAGAACATGATCCTAGTATTTGTATTTGTTTTATAAGCATAGAATTTACATCACCGCCGTATATAGTAGAAATATATGTGACAAGTGTCAGTTCTGACAATGGCAGCACCAGTTGCATATGATTTAACTAAGCTAGTCAACTTACGTACAGCAGACTGACCATTGTCAAATTGTCTTCCATCGAACTCGGAAAGTATAAGGCCTTAATTCGTCCTGTCACCTTCTGAATCAATTTCACATCTCCGTGACTTCGTTTAATATGATTTTTTAAATTGAAAATCAACTTTGACAAAGTGTATATAGGGCAAGAGTTAAGAAACCTTCTTGAGTTACTATGTTGTGTATTGTGTGCGTATAGTCACGTGATGTTGATGTGATGGCTATTGAAATGTTTAAACAGAAGAGTATTTAGTATCTATTTAAGATATTATTATTATTTAATGTGTCAGTCCAGCGGCTTGACATGAAATTCCGTTTCTGTAACAGCAGATTATAGTTTATGAAACCCGAACACATATCAAGATAGAATTTTGATCTGTCTGGAAAACGAAAAAGTAAGATGCGTAACCCTAACCAAAGTAATCCTTGAACCGAATCAACTGCGACAAACACTATTTGTTGAGAAAGCACGTCGGTTAACACATGGAAATCGATCAATCGATATAGTCTTCGTATAAATCTGTATTGGTTGCGTTGTAAGTAAAGACCCGGTTTATTGACTTAAAAGAATATACTGTGTACCTGTACGTATAAAATGCAACAAAAAAGCATTACTCCGTTCTTGTCCACATATAGTCTATCTGCTGTCTGTCCATTTCCGCCAAACACGGTAGGCTTTATAACTGTGACATGACATTTCGTTTTCAAGTCGATCATTTTCATACAATCATTTTACCCCCATTTTTATGTTCGTTTTTTCCAAGCATGTCAGTTCGTTCGGAGATCTCTTCTCTAGGTTTTCAATTAATTTCCTTGAAACTTGATAGGCTTTACTGTCAAGATATTGAATTGGTCTTTCCTGGACAGTCGGTATTTAGATTCAATACTTTTTGGAAGAGTTATTGTTCTTTGTTATTTTTAGAATTTCCCATGCTTCGACCGATTTCTATACACTTTATCCTTTGTCATCAAACATAAAACTATTATCTCTAGTTTCACCTTGACTCTCCAAATTTTAAAAGAGTTAATGACCTTTTCATTTCACTTTGAATATTTTACCGATTTATTTCCACGAAACTTGATGCATTTTTTTATAGTGATACGAGGTTGTGCCTTTTCGATAGCATTTTGGTGGTAATGGTTTCATTTCTCTTTCGTATGGGTTCCGACATAAGATACTCTGGTGACACAATACAAGAGATTCTACAGGTTTATAGGTGCTCATCTTTGCTTGACCTTAATCTGGTCTTTAAAATTTGGCCCTTTTCTGTTCATTTCTCTTTTCTTCTTTGTGTTTGCTCTTTATTATAAGAAATGTGAAATTCCCTTTTGAGAATTAATGAGAATAATCTTTAACCGGAAAATCAAAGCCGACCAAGATGGTCGACATTCGGCTATTTTGTATTTCCCAGAATCCAAAGGGCTCAACAAGGGATCAAAGTTAACGTACATGTGAAAGCTGGGAAATATCTATGCAACACTTCCAGAAAAAAATACGATAACAAATTATGACCGTCAAAACCAAGATGGCATACGGCGTATCACGGATGTAGGACAATTTGATCAGCTCACCACTGGTGATAGTCTGGTAAATAGAAGTTGATATTGCTTACCTCTCAATTGTTGTAAACATAGTGTATAGCTGATTATATAGTTGGAACCATTAGGACCATAGCAAATGTTTGGCTTCTACTATTGATTAATGTTATATATCCGTTTGGCAGTCAGTTATTTCGACGGAGAAACCGCTCATATGACAGCTACATATGAATCTTTATGGACAAGACAAGGAAAAGTTTTATTTTTTCATAATCTTCATATTGCAGAACATTCGCACTTGTATTTAATTCAATCTTCCACGCGTCTTTCACACATCAGCATGGTTAAGTGCTAAATTCAAATGTATATATTATATGTAGGTATGTTTTTGATGAAGAAACTTTATCCAATGACTTATACTACATGTTATCACGTGACCATTTTTTGAATGAGTGTGTGATCTTGTTCTCGTATTTATGTGTACTGCTATTGTGTGTGCATGTGTGCGAATACTGTATTTTTTCCGATACGGTATGTAATATTGGTGTTCATATGATTTTAAATCTTTCTGTCTTGAGAGAAGAAAGATCAACGATAGAAAGGATAAACGCAGTAGCCTTTTTCCGTGTGATGGAATCGTCATAGGTGAGGGTCGTTTAAAAATCAAATGTTCCGAAAAATTGAATCGAGAAAACATAATTACAAATTTAATATGTAATGCATCTAAATGACCTTACTTGAAGTGGTATATGACTTGTTAGTGACCTCATGTAAAATACTATGTGACGTGTAAGTGACCTCGTGTAAAGTGGTTTGTGACGTGTAAGTCACTTTTTGTAAAGTGATTTATGTAACGTAAAGTGACCTTGTGTAAAGTGGTTTGTGACGTATTAGTGACTTAGCATAAAGTGGTTTGTGACGTATTAGTGTCCTTGTGTAGAGTGGTTTGTGACGTATTAGTGTCCTTGTGTAGAGTGGTTTGTGACGTATAAGTGACCTTGTGTAAAGTGGTTTGTGACGTATTAGTGACTTAGCGTTTAGTGGTATGTGACGTATTAGTGACTTAGCGTTTAGTTGTTTGTGACGTATTAGTGTCCTTGTGTAGAGTGGTTTGTGACGTATAAGTGACCTTGTGTAAAGTGGTTTGTGACGTATTAGTGACTTAGCGTTTAGTGGTATGTGACGTATTAGTAACTTAGCGTTTAGTGGTTTGTAACGTATTAGTAACCTTGTGTAAAGTGGTCTGTGACGTATAAGTGGCATTGTGTAAAGTGGCCTGTGACGTATTAGTTTGGTTGTGAAAAGTGGTCTGTGACGTATAACTGATTGTGAAAAGTGGTATGTGACGTATCAGTGACTTAGCGTAAAGTGGTCTGTGACGTAGTAGTGTCCTTGTTTAGAGTAGTTTGTGGACGTATAAGTGTGATTGTGTAAAGTGGTTTGTGACGTATTAGTGACGTAGCGTAAGGTGGTTTGTGACGTATTCGTGTGATTGTGTAAAGTGGTCTATGACGTATTACTGTGATTGTGTAAAGTGGTATGTGACGTATTAGTGACTGAGCGTTAAGTGGTTTGTGACGTATTAGTTTCCTTGTGTAAAGTGGCATGTGACGTATTAGTGACTGAGCGTTAAGTGTTTGTGACGTATTAATGTCCTTGTGTAAAGTGGTATGTGACGTATTATGGACTTAGCGTTTAGTGGTTTGTGACGTATGAGTGTCCTTGTGTAAAGTGGTTTGTGACGTATTAGTGTCCGTGTATGAAGTGGTCTGTGACGTATCAGTGACTTAGCGTTTAGTGGTCCCTGACGTATTAGTGTCCTTGTGTTAAGTGGTTTGTGAAGTATCAGTGACTTAGCGTTTAGTGGTATGTGACGTATCGGTCACTAAGCGTTTAGTGGTATGTGACGTATCGGTCACTAAGCGTTTAGTGGTATGTGACGTATCGGTGACTGAGCGTTAAGTGGTATGTGGCGTATAAGTGACCTTGTGTAAAGTGGTATGTGACGTATCGATGACTAAGCGTTTAGTGGTATGTGGCGTATTAGTGACTGAGCGTTTAGTGGTATGTGACGTAGCGGTCACTAAGCGTTTAGTGGTATGTGACGTATCGGTCACTAAGCGTTTAGTGGTATGTGACGTATCGGTGACTGAGCGTTAAGTGGTATGTGGCGTATAAGTGACCTTGTGTAAAGTGGTATGTGACGTATCGATGACTAAGCGTTTAGTGGTATGTGACGTATTGGTCACTAAGCGTTTAGTGGTATGTGACGTATTAGTAACTCAGCGTAAAATGGTTTGTGATATATTAGTGACCTTGTGTAAAGTACTTTGTGACGTATTAGTGACTTAGCGTAAAGTGGTTTGTGACGTATTAATGTCCTTGTGTAATGTGGTTTGTGACGTATTAGTGTCCATGTGTAAAGTGGTTTTTGACGTATTAGTGACTAAGCGTTTAGTGGTATGTGACGTATCGGTGACTAAGCGTTTAGTGGTATGTGACGTATCGGTGACTAAGCGTTTAGTGGTATGTGACGTATCAGTGACTAAGCGTTTAGAGGTATGTGGCGTATTAGTGACTTGGCGTAAAGTGGTATGTGACGTATCGGTGACTAAGCGTTTAGTGGTTTGTGACGTATTAGTGACTTGGCGTAAAGTGGTATGTGACGTATTAGTGTCCTTGTGTAAAGTGGTTTGTGACGTATTAGTGTCCTTGTATAAAGTGGTATGTGACGTATTAGTTTCCTTGTATAAAGTGGTCTGTGACGTATTAGTTTCCTTGTGTAAAGTGGTTTGTGACGTATTATAGACCTTGTGTAAAGTGGTTTGTGACGTGTAAGTGACCTTATGTAAAGTGATTTCTGTAACGTGTCAGTGACCTTGCGTTATGTGGTATGTACTTTCCATATAATATTTCGTTTACACTCAATATATTTATTATATTTTGATGTCCTTTCCCAGTCGCAGTAGCATTTACTATCAAAGAGATGTTCTAGTTACATTAGTAGTTCATTCTGATCATCTATCTTCGTGTATTTTACATGATTTTATCAGACTACAAAGCATTACTTAAAGACCACGACTCAATCAAGAAAATAAGTATTTTTTAACCGATATTGTATATTAAACATTTACGGAGTGTATGTTTGTTTGGCGATCTTGAACACGTCTCTGTAAAATTCATGTATTGTGTCACTGTATTTATATCATGTTGTGCTCATCAATTTGTAAGAAATGAAGATAATCATATGTAACGCGTTAGAATGAGATTCTTAACTGGACTCCGTCTGTCCATGCACGAGCTGGCCCGTCCGTCCGTCCATGCATGTTGCTGCTCCACAGTTCCAGAATCGTTCAAGAAAACTAACCAAAACTTTGTGCGCATATTAAGCTGCCTTTGGGTGCATTTTTCAAGAACAAATTACCTCAAACCCTCCTTTCAGTTTATATGAAAACAAATGATAAATTTCGTATATGAACGCATATTCAGCTGCCTTTGGGTGCATTTTTCAAGAACAAATTACCTCAACCTCTCCTTTCAGTTTACATGAAAACAAATGATGAATTAAGTATATGAATGCATATTAAGCTAATGGCCTGTGCCATTTATTGTAAGGGAGGTTTAATTTCTTATGTTTTTTCTTGTTACTTTGGAAACGAAGAGTCACGTTTAACAGTTCTACAGCTTTCCTTGGCCACAACTTCAAAAACATGTATAGTATACTGCTACGCAACACTGTAAACATAACAGGCTCGTGTTTATTCTTGAAATTTCTTTTATATCTCCTTTAACATGGAACAGATCTTCAGACTGCAAAAGTCCTAGCTACAACATAAATATCATTGAACATATTGCTAAAAACTCTCATATATCGAGGTTAATTGTTGTCCGTCGTTGAGCCGTTGGCCGATAGGTAATTGATAATGGTGTAATATTTTGGTGCGTTATCATGGAAACATATCGCCAAAACGCAAAAGTCGCTGATTTCGAGATTTTCCGCGCGGGCGCTCGAGAACTATCAACTTAACTTTGTACAACAGTGTCCTTTATTAAATACATTTTTTTCGTCACGGAAACAATAGCCGTTGACATCCGCAGTAGGATATATATAACAAGAGTGGTGAAATTCAGTGACGTTTGTTAAGCTATCTTCCAATCTGCAGATCAAAGGGGATCTTTAGATTCCTTCATTTGTCCCTCTTGTCTTTCATTTGTCAATATATGGATGTCCAAACAACCACACCAAAACTACACAGTTAGGGTCCCTGTGTGTAAGTTTATACACCGTAAATAACTTGTCATGTAACGAATGGTGAGCCGTTTAAGAAAAAGTTTTGTCAAAAATGCACAGAAATGTCTACAGAACACACTCAACGAGGCTATATGAGCAAGCGAGAGCTGGGACAGCTAATGCCTTCTCGTCTTAACACGGGGGACCCAAGGTGTACTTCAGTGTGGCTCTGTCAATGGCCACACAGTGACTGACTCCGTGCGTTCGCACCAGGGACTTTTCCCGTCAGCGGAATCAATGAAAACCCAGAAAGCCATGATACTGACGGTGGGCGTTTTCAAGTGTGCAATACAAAAATATACGGCCACGTGGAAAAGTTGATACACCGCTATCGAACCACGTGGATCGAATGTTTAGCTCCTGTGCTGGCAAACAGAAAGTAGGGTTTGTCGTCGCCGCTGAGGTATCGGCAATGCGCGGCCTCGGAGTTCACTGTTGGTCCAATGGTTGGACTAACGTCGTCGTTTTGCAGAGGCTTATACAACTCCTTTGCATAAAGGAACAGTTGGCAATATTGGAAGCTGGTGGAGCTGCCTGGACGCCACGGATGCAGGAGTATGTGAACTGTTCTGGGTGATATTTCAGGTTTACGGTCTGTTACGGGTGGTATTTAGTAGTTCAACAATGCGTTACCGGTCACCTGGGACATGTATAAATGTTACCGGAGAGTATCTTCACGTGCGGATTCCTAAATGGAACTTTGTAATATGTGTGGTAAGGACCTCGGTGTTTCAATTCAAAACCAAATTTTGGAGGAACAATAATAGACGTTTGATACTTTGGTAAGTCATATTTTCAATTAATTCGGTTTCTACGGTTTGTGATTTATCGGGCATCAATTCAATGTACTATATGATGTAAAAATCGCTTGAAAATAGAGAGAACAGAAAAAGTGAACACTTAAGACAGTATACAGTGTAGAATAAGTAAGTTTCGAAACAATTTGTCTTACAACAGGGTATTTATGGGAGTGTTAGAAAGCCTGCTGATGTTTGAAGGAACTAACTTTTTTCGGGGCTTACTTTCTATGTTCTTTTTATATATAACTACTAGTAATATGTATATGATTTCTTTTGCAAAATGTCAGTTCACGTTGTCAAAGAAATAATGGTCGGGCAAATATTTTTTTCATAACTTGCTAACCGTAACCAATATTGTCACAACGTAACCTGATGCAATTTGTCCCCATGATCCAGTTAACTCGTCTTTCGTTATCGTTAATTGCAATTATATCAATATCTTAAGACCGATTCAATCAATAAATTTCAGGCTTTGTGTACTAGTTCTTTGTGTTCTCTTTTTGATAAAGCCCCCTTGCACCTGTACCGTGTGACGCAGGTAGTCATACAGGTAAATTGGTCAGAGTTGTCGTTCGTGGCTACAGAGTGAACAAAGACGACCGGCAAACATCCTTTCGGCGTACATTGCACGCTACAATTTCATTATCAATTCATTTTATGGCTACGAACAACCACGCTCCATTATTTTCTACCAGCGATGCGCTTTAGTTCCTGCAATGTGGCTGAATTAAGATAGTACTATTTTTCCTATTGTGCGAGTTGAAGGACAACAATGGCGATGCGGCAAGATCAAATGAAATGCAAATAAATACTGGCAAATAACCTTTTTATTTCACTCATACAAACAGGAAAACTTAATACTTTTAATAACAAATCAAATGGCATCAACAATATCTGCATCTAAGTCATAAACGAATCAATAATTTCAATCAAAACCACGTCATCCGCGTGCCCTCGTTGTGTACCAGTGGCCGCCATATTGAATAACTATACCGAGGCAATGCTTCATTATGCAGACCCCTCTAGAGAGCAATGTTGGTTAGGCATGATCATTATGTTTTTTGTTACGATTTTCCTAGATTTTATGCACGTATGGTCAACTATGAAGCCTCAAGGTTGAGCCACGGACTGCATTTAAGGGAGTAATACTCCTTAACTATCATCGGGAGTCATTACAAGACCTCGATCTTCGATCTAAAGACTATTTTGAGTGTATTTTAATGTTGTGGTAGCAGTGTCATTGCAGCCGACTCGGATGTGGAATCCCCAAATTATCGAGGATTTTCCGTACGTCTGACCACCCTTGTGTTGTGTTTCCGTGTACGCTGTGGTCACAGAACGATTGTTATCGTTTATTTAGAACGCATGGGGTTTGTTTAGTTTCTGTGTAGTTCGCGTTTCATGATATTATGGCTGGGATTTTGAACAAAGACCCGTTCACTTACCAGCAAGAACAAAATGACTTTCTGAAGGAACTCAAACAATTCCACTGCAATCGAGGGTACGTATTTTCATCTGGTTTTCGCATTTGTTCTATTGTTTTGATGTTATTGTATTGATAATTCTTACGATGTGTCATTTGTTGTCTTTTCCAGAACCCCAATAACAAGAATTCCTCGAATAGGTGGGAAAGAAGTCGACCTGTATTTGCTCTACCGACGAGTGATCGGCTTCGGTGGATGGCGAAAGGTAAACTCACCAGTGTGTTTGAATTTACCTCCGTTCCGAGTCGTTTATATATCAATTGCAGCCACGCGCGTCTCTTGTTGTTGTTGTACTATCTGCATGATAATATTCTCGATAGAATTACGTTTGACAGGGTCAGTTTTGGTCGCGTTTACTGATCTCGCTTTTTATCAAAGATGGCTTCCATTGCTTCGAAGGGGAGGGGCTGTTGTTTTCATCATAAATGGCAGATTTTTATTTCTGTTATATTTTGTCTCATCCATTGTTTATGTTGTCATGTCGTATCGTGTGATAATTTTGAATTGATCATTTGCGATTGATGGGATATACTTGGCAAAAGTATTTTTAACTTGCATACATGTGTTTGACCTGATTTTTGAATTTATTTAATTGACTAAAAAGATTAGATGGGGATTCATAAATTTTGAACAAGTAAGTCCTGGTCTTTCCCTTTGTTCAGTTACCTTGGAGTGTAAACACTTAACTTTGTTTAGAAAGATGTGACTAAAACCATTTATTACATACTTATTCAATTAGTAAGTTTCTAACTTGTAATGTATTTCTACTTTTAGTACTTGTCCTCAGCCTCATCTCTGAACTGATTTCTAACCTGTTCAGTATGAAGCTTCATGATAGATGTATATAATTATTCTTTTGGACAAAAAGAAAATATTAGATAGTTGTTATATCAATGTTCTTTCATGCATGTTCTCCATTACCTCATGTTATTTACTTGTCTACCAGCAATATAGTATAATTATGAATACAAATTCAAAACTGCAGAAATTGCATTTGAAACGATAGTTTTGTAATGGATGTACTGCACAAATGAAAACATATATTTGTTTTGTACTTTAATGCATCTTCTTCATTGTATCAAATTTCAGTTGAAAATGTTGAATGGACATTTTCTTCTTGAAAAGTTAAAGAAGACTATCAAAGTCACCTGTATTCCATCAAGCTTTTCTTTCAGTTTAGTTCAAAATAAGTCATTCCAACTCAGGTAACAGTCTTTCTGCATTGATGTATTTCTTCATTATTTATTGAATATCAGTAATCTTGTGGTACATATATTGGCAAGATTTCAGTACTTTTTACTCCAGCACACAAGTTTCAAGAAAGGAAAATAACTCATCCACACAGGCGTTATTGCAAAAATTGGATAAATTAATTTCAGGAGGTCATTCACTTGGCCAGTGGAAGGTTCATTAGTCTGAATGAATAAGTAATCATCATCTGATTTTAAAAAGATAACATTGTCACAAGTACCTAGATATGGTAAGCTCGTGGCTAGTGTGGGGAATCAATTGCAATTTTATGATTGATTATCAGATCATCAGAACTGATTTATGATCAACTGATAATCGATTGTGGGATGGACATACATCTCCATTTTTGCAATGATAAATTGATGACAGAATACATAGATAAAGGAGAATTAAAAGTACATCTGGCATTCTTGCCAAGAAAGTTGTGAAGAATTGAGTCCTCCATTTTGATTAGATTTGTCTGTATGCATCAGAAAATAATAATTTTCAATGCTTTAATGGCAATACTAACTTGTGTGCAATTTAATACACAAAATGGTAGAAGGAAGCAGCATTTTAAAAATCATTATCAATAAAGGTGCAAAAGCAGCAGTATAGTCACAATTTGGGTGCGTTGAAATTCAATGACAAAATGTTTCAAAACTTATCACAAGGACAACTCCCATTTTTGAAAACAGACATTTTCATTTAGTAGATAACTATGTTATCCTACTTTTACGAGGCATATACATTCAAACTTTGTGAATCAAACTATAATGATTCAAATTTCTTAATGGATAAAAGTTTTTGTCAGGTCCTGAACTTTATTCTTTTATATCACTACTAACCTACCCCTTTATGAATCAAAGTTTTATAAATAAAACTTCTTGATGTGTCAAAGTTTTTTCATGGATGGTTAGCTATGATGACATAGACAATGGAATTTTGGAAGCACACTGTTATTGGCTCTTTGGTACAAGGTTGATTAATGACTGGACAAATTATATTCTAATTGCTTACTTACAAGCAATGACATTTAAGAAAAGATAATGGAATATCATGTAATATTTGCTTCTGTCATTGCAGTAATAGCATATAGTCAGGTCTAATTTATGTAATTGTGTAAACATTCATAAGAAAACCTGAACACTTGTATAATGATTTCTCTCATTCACAAAGGGTCACTTTTCCATTTTAAGCAGAAAAGTATGAGAATCATGATGATGTATATTTCAATCATGTGTTTTATTGATTAGACTAGGGGCAAACATCCTTGTAATTTATTACGACCCAAGATGTTTGATGTAAGTGCTGTCATTAACAGTTCGAATACATTATGATATTAATTTGCTTTCCTTTAAATTCATCAGTGCCTATAATGTTTATGTATCAGTCTTGAAAATTGATATGTAAAATATATACACTGTAACAAGAAGGCACATATGTAAACATGAGCGTGCATTACCGATTTCAATTTAAATTAAAAAAAAACTAATGCCAATGTTTTCTTTTGATATAAAAAATGCCATGGTATTTGTTGTGTTTGTTGAGTAGAAATATTGCGTCATCAACTATTGCTATGAACATGAAAATGTCGACATCAGCCACCACAAATGGTTTGAAGTCTTGCTGTATCAAAGATTTTTTCCTAGTCCCTCGCCCTTGAACTTGGAAACATCAAAGTTTGACTATATATATATTTGACACATCTCTGTCAACATTGTATGTCAAAACCAGATAATTAAGTTATTGAATTAATTATTCACCTTTTAAAGGGTTTTGGCCACAATTTTTCACAAAGCCGTGTTTCAGTCTCAAATGATGCGATAATGTATATAATCTGCAATATCTCGCAGCACACAGACAGTGAAAACTGGTTCCATCCCCATTAGTATATTTGGTGAATATGCATTTTTTTAATGTGAAACAAAATTGTGTGACATCAAAGTGTTACTTCGACATGGTGATACTCTATTTATCTAATTAGACACTACTACACAGGTCATGCCTATATTCATCTGCTGATGATCAAAATCTTTCAAAAGTGAGATTTATCTTTGTATATAGTATTGTTTACATAATAATATATGACAGCGAAAAATTAATTGTTTTTTTTCTTTCAATTTTTACTTATTTTGAAAGGAAACTACATTTCTTTGTTACTTAAAAACTTCATTTCTTCATGGTGTGAAGTTCGATGATATATCATAACAATGCCAAGATAGATTGTTACATCTCGGTAACAATAAAAAGGGTACATTTCAAGACCAAATAATACTTGAATTGGTAGGAAAAGGGATAACAAGAGAACTCTCTGTCCAAACAAACCCCTCCAGACAGATGACTGCGAAACTGAATCTTCATGTGTGTAATTAGCTACACCTGTTTAATGGTTGTTTGATTTTTTAATGAACTTGTTATAATCACAATGTTCACAAAACAGTACATTTTGGGTCCTCTGTACAAACAGCTTACTCCACTTGTGCGCAAACACACACACACACACACACACACATTCTATAAGCATATACCACAGATACTGTAGATATATGGCCATCTTGCTCTGCCTCAGAGATAATTTCTTAATTGATAATTATGTATTTAAAAATTATTTCTCCTACTCTGAAAATTTTATGCACATGTAAATATGCAAATTCTATCATAGATTTTCCATACTGCCAGTCACAGCAAGTACATGATATAGAAATTCATATTTAAAAAAAATGTATAGGAATTTCAATGTTCAAAAGCCTTTGAGTCATATAGTTTATATGCTCTTACTGCTGAATTATTGCTGGGATTCATATATTTATTCTCCCCCATAGTTGCTGCTTTGTCCATCCATCCGTCCGTCATAATTTTGTTCAGAACATAACACAAAAACTATAAGAGATATCAACTTAAAACTTCATAGGCAAATAGATCACATCAGGAGAAGTGCACTGCACAAGAACCATCACTCTCTTTTGCATAATTTAGGAGTTATTGCCCTTTGTTATTTTTCATACTTAAATTTTGTCCCAGTCGCAGAGCATAACCTGTTTGTGACCGCCCTTGTTTTTATGAATTAGTCATGAATATCTGTCTAATTTGCTTGTTCACAATACAATTGTTTACACTCGTACACATGTATAGAGCTAATGTTCATGTGTCATGTGTAAATACCTTTGTCTCAGAACAATTTTATTCTTGTAAAACTCCTAAGCCAATTTAATTTTTTAAAATCTTAAACACCTGTATAATCATATTCGATGTTATATATAAAAAAAGTTATTTTGTAACAGTAACAGCTGTTCTTACCATGATAATTTATACAGAGATGTTATGATATACAGGTATAATTAAATTCTGCTGATTCATGATCCTTTTAAATGGATTTCCTGCTAATTTGGTGTTATTTAAACAGTTTTGTTTGCTCTGTTTTTTTGTAGATATGCAGATATGCAGAGTTAAGTTTAAAGTAGAATATTTCACTTTCAGCCAAAAAAACCCAGAATTATATGAGAAGAATCTACCTCCTACACTACTGTTTACATATTAAACATGATAAGTGGAACTAACACTTTGACGTCACATGCACCACGTAACTGATCAAATCATTAGATTTCTCTCTCATGCATAATGAGTACTTTTGACTGTCTGAAAACAGGTATTGGTACATATTTGAGCGGCGCCATATCAGCAGTACTGTTATTAAGATTATGATGTAACAGAACTTAACGAAAACTAAAATCGTGGCCAAAACCATTTGAAATATAATCAAAAGTTTAAAATGAAGAGGAAGTTAATCAGGAATTTATTGTAAAAATGAAGACTTTGTTTGGTGACCTTGCTTTATTTCTTGGTTAGAAAAGCATTTTTTTAAGGTAAAAAGAAACCGATCATAACACTATCGTAAGAGTCACTGGACTATCGCAGTGATATCAAATGGTAATTTGACTATCCCATTACTATCGTGATAGCTTTTTTTTACCT